AGAAAGACTGAGATTCATGAGCCGCAAGGTTGTCAATCACTCGAGCGCACACATGTGCAGATAATGTGTATAATAATGTGATTGATCAGTGGCCAGAAAAGTGTCTTCCGCGTGTATCCACAAGTGTCTCACTTCGCGCCTCGCAGCGACTGTGCTTCCGGAAGTGTGCTCGCACGCCCGCCGGGATCATCTGGCACAATTCGCGCAATGGATTCCCTATGCGATAGTTAGCATTAAATCCCAATTAAGCGTGCCTTCTTCAATTGTGTGGCCATTAGTGACGCCATCACGGGTGGATGATTAATTGAGAATTGTGGCACAAGTCACACAATAATTGCATTCAACATTTTCATGCACGCTCCGAGAGTATCACAATTAAAAGTGTTGATTCCTCGAAGAATTTCCAATTGCTGTGTGTATGTGGATCAAGCCAGGCGCGCCAAGAAAGACGACGTCATGTCACCGCACAGTGTCCGAATTGGAGATGCAGAAATTAATTATTCCCATTCAGCCAGCATCTCTGTCTATCTTCATTTAGAATGGTAATGAGCGGAGTTGCAGAAATTTAATAGCATCACAATCACACTGACATTCAACGTCATTCATGCTGCAATTTACATATTGCAACTTAAAATGCCACACCATTTTTAGTGACCGTCAAATGTCTCTTTTTTCCATCAGCGATTGGCAAATTTAATTTCATGTCTCACTTTAGCGCGGAGTTTTTTTCTGCACCGCAGCGGGAAAAAGTTCAAAGTACTCGAGAAATGCGGAATATGAAACTTGACAACATAAACTCATAAGTTTGTTTTGTTTCACTCTTTTCTCATTTCCCCGGCATTATTTGTCTACCGAGGCTAAGTTGAATTTCATATACCGCTGGCGTATTGCACTATTTTCTGTATAAACAACCCATTCGGAGTGCTCTCTTCCAAGAATGGCCCGCGCCCTTTTAATTCTTCCTCAGTCAGACATGTATATTCCATCGAGAGCATGAAGCTCTAGCAAGTGGAGAGAAGTTTCGCTGAGATGCAAATTTCATGCTTCAGACATTTGATATGACAGAGATTTTCCACCATCCATCTTCTTATTTGTCTCCTGTGGGGAGAGAAAAGCTGCGAAATTTCAATTTTATGCGCGCCCAACTCAAACTCAATTGAGTTTCACATCAAACTTTGTAAATTCACTGCCACGTAAGAATTCACGTGCTACTTCTGCATGTATGAAGTAATTGTCATATTTTTTGTCTCTCCCGAGATACCGTTGTGCGATAGCGTAAGAAATACGCTTGGAACATTCTCATATTCTCACAGTCAGATGACATTATTTTGGCTGTCTTCGGACAAAGACATTCGACGGAGGATTGAAGCGCTGGCAGAGTGCTCACACTGAGGAAATGGAAGTCATTCACCATGGAAATGATCATCCCTTAAGGGATGTCTTTGTGTTGCCACACGTCATGTCTCGAAAAGTCTTATCACTGTGCCAATACCAACATCCCTTGACTTTCCATGATATTCCTTATCAGTTTTTCCTTAGCATTAAAGTTCCTCTGCAAGCGGATTTCACTTGCATTCTATGACAACTATTAAATGTGGAGCACAGAAGATTAAGAGACACATTGGCAAAGAGTGATTTGATTGACAAAGACGTGTTTCTCCATGGAAATTGGCACGGATCAATGAGTATTATTGAGCAGAACAATGGATGACGGTATGGCTGTCTTTATGGCGCGCCGAGCGAGTTTGAGCAATAAAACGTTATTTGTTGTGAAACAAAATTCAGAGACATGAAGAATTTTTCAATTTCCGTGTGAATCTCGACGCAAAAGTCAGGACGATTTTCCATTTTCACTCTCAAGGAGAGATGTCATCCTCGGCAGAGTGAGCGTCTGGTGAGGCGATAAGGCAAACATGCCATTTGAAGAGGCCAAGAAAGGAGGTGAGGAAGTTCGCTTATGAAGACATTTTCAGGTGAGTGAGTTATTCAGTGGTGTTAAGAGAGACACATATTGAAAGAATATGTTCTGTGCGTGATGCATATGCAAATGAGACTAATTTGTATGCCAGTCGTATGTGCAGAGAAAATCTCTCTTGGTGCGCTACGGAATGCCTTTAGTCTTTCCCCTTCATTACACCCGTTCTATACCTGTGTCTCCTCCCTCTCACCTCAGCCTCAATATCCTCTTGCTGCCAGAATCACACAGTCAGCCGCACAATTGTTCCCCTCCGAGCGATTTCTTCGTCTCGAACGCACCGCAATTCTCATCATACGTTCCTCCCTATCTGTCGGTTGTGTCGACAAACGAACCGTATGGATTATGGATTACTCGAGGAGTTTTGTAAGACGAGAGAGAGAGCAAAAAATTGGGTGTGTAGGTGGGTTTGGGAGGAAGAATGCGCCACGTATAGATTTAAAATAAACCGCACCAGATACAATAAAAAAAAGAGAAGAAGACGAGTGGAGAAAAAGAAATGGGATATTTATGAAGTTTTTCGCCCTTCATCTCTAGATAGAAAATCTAATAGACAAATTCACCTTCTTCACACAATTTTTCCAATCTTCACACTCTCTATTCTCACCCTCCACCATTCACAGTCCGCTTCCCTGCGGAAGCACCCTCGCCCTCTCTGCCCATTTACAGAGGTGGAAACTTTCAGAACTTCTCCTAGAGGATTCCACCGACGTTAGTTGGAATATGGGATGTGTGAGTGAATTTAAATTGAACGATTCCATCGACAATGTGAGTGATCCATTGAAATTTTCGACAAGCTTTTCACATCAGCCAGAATGAGATATTTCTGGATATTCACAAAGTGGATGCGGACGGGCATAGTGGCAGCGATCACAAGAGGCCACAGAAAAGATCCCCGGGAATTCCAATGGTGATGACACTCCACTCGTCTGCTACACACAACACTCCCCCATCCCCAAGTACAGCGGTTTAATGTGACAATTTATCCATGTGAAAGAGCCCAGGAAGAGTGGGTCTCGTGGGTTAAAAAGCGAGCGAATGACTCTGGGTGAATTCCTTATGCGATGGAAAGGAAGCCCGCACTCAATGATCCACTCTGGGCTGTACTTCAGTGTCTCTCTCTTTTCTTTTTTTCCTCGCATTTTCACTTGCTAGCACGATGGCAAAAGGGTTTCCCGCACCCCCAACCGAAAAACTTGCATTCAATCACGTTTTAATCTCCTGTTGACGGTCATGTAAATTACATTCTCACAAGATAATGCTCATCCTCATCTTCTCAGGGCGGCACAAATACTCGCTAATGGTGTACATTTAGGGCTCATCCAGCTGAAGTAATGTGCGCAAAAAGCGAGAGAGAGGAAAGTCACTTGTAAAGAGATATTTTACCGCATTTAGCCGCAGTTATTTTTTTCACACAACACTTTGTAAATAATCTGATTATGACGGAAGACAGCTAATGACAAACACTGCGATTGTAAAAAGATACAAATCAGTTAATTGCAAATGCGTAATTGCAATTGGAGGCGATTGTGTAACAGAAAAAATGAAGAGAATAAGCAACATGCAAATTTCTCTGATAAATCTCTCGAATGATGTGACATTGGCTAAATTGCGCAGAAAAAATAGCATTTGGAGGAAAATCTTTGCCCATAAATTATGCATAAAATGGTTTCATTGACACGTTCAACCGAAAACTGATTAAATATAAATTGTATAACTTTAAACTTCCAAATCAAATACTTAAAAGTTGTTTTATTAACACTTTGTGCTGGCATAGAGATGAGTTTTTGAAGGCCAATGTTCGTGCTTCAACTCACAAATATCATGCAATTTTGCTTAATTAAGAAGGTAAAATCTTCCGGAACAATATGAATATTATGCGATTTTTGGATGTGACAATATTTGTGGGCGAGGCTCTCGAGTGGGCGGAGCTTTAGTCAGAAATCGTTATGAAAAACGCTTCTATGCAGTCGTGGAGTAAAGTTTGCTTCCCATGAAATGTGTTTTCCAACTCCTCGAAAAAGAATGGCAGGAAGAGGAAAATTGCCCGGTCTCTTGTTTCATTCCCACGGCGTCTCATCTGGAAAATGTATGAATATTCGATACGAGATATGCTCCTCAGTTGATGGATAGAATATTGTATTGAATTTCATCATTGTCATCGCCACAGCTGCAAATGTAAGCATCCACACAACTCTTTTGGGCGCCAGAAGGCACGAGGAGGCGCAGCAGTGGTTGTCAGGAAAAGTGGCAACTGTAACTCCCCATTCGCGTTGGGATATTAATATGCGATGACTCCCAATAAACATGAGGTCGAGTGTATTAAATTGAAGCAATATGATGTGGCTTTTTCCTCCGCCGCCCCGCAACACCCGCTCATACGTTGCATATCGTGATTGCTTGACGAATTGAGAATCAATCGTATTTGCGCGATATATGATCAATTGTCACGTTTGTGCAGACAGTCAATATGCGTCTCTGTGGCTTCCATTCAACAACATTTCGACGGTATTATTCGGCATGATTAATATAATAATCCATCGCATGAATTGTTCCATGGGTGGATTGAATTGTTATATGTATTTTCACGAGCAATACTCAATTTAATTTTCATTATTTTCCTTACTATTTCTACACACGGCGAGTGAAGTTCAATTGTGTGGGCTCGAAACTTTGAATAAATGATAGACTCCATTGAGTGAGAAAAGACCACGAGAAAGAATGCCAAGAGAGACATGAATGGAATATGAAATGAGGCAGAAATAGTTGAAAAAGGTCCAAATAAACAATTTATTGTTTTACTGGAGTTTCTGTGTGACAAGCCATTCAAGTGGGGAAATGTATCATTCATTCTTAATCACTGTGAAACAATTAAAGATATGGACAATTTCAAAGTCAGGCCAATTAATCGCACAATTTCCTCACGCGACACCGCAAGTCAGCGCGGAGTTTGAAGACCTCGCATGACAATAGTGAAAAGTTTATCAACACTGATGGCCAATGAATATCCACTTTATGAACTTACCTAATAAGATGACATCCTGTTAGCATATTTGGTGACAAATCCATAAGTTGCAACTTCCATTTCGGACACTCTGCGGGCAACTTTCTGTGCGCTTTGCCCACCAAATGGACTTGATGGCAAACGAGACACTCACACGCCGGCTTTTACTCGTATTCGGGGATAAAACTCACTTCCACTGGAACAAGCATTTGATGAAAGAGACATTTTCAGTTGTGGTATTTTACGTGTAGAGAAATATTTGCACTTTAGCAGAAAATGCTAATGATAACTCGGAATACGCAATGAACTGAGAGTGTTTCATGACTATATAAACACAGTTTAATACACCAAAGGTGGCTCTTAAAAAGCCACAAAAGTGTTAAGGAACTCGCGCGGTTTTTAATTGCGAATAAAAGTATTTACGGGATATCCGAAAAAACAGCTCTGCCGCAGATCATTTTGGAAATGTTCAATGAATTTTACATCAAGTGTTTTCCATTTTTTAACAGCACACTTCTGACTACATTGGTTTTAGTTGTATTCTCTGTGTTTATGAATTAATGCATGGATTTGGAATATAGCAGCGAATCACGCACTGAACTTAAATCATGCATTTGCCCTCATTGTTGCGGAATTTGTTTACCACTTTGAAGTCTCCAGGCAAAAACGCTTCCTAATAAAGTGTGGAAAATTCCCTTTAGCAAGATGAGAAGTTAATTGGAAGCTGACGAGGATGGGAGAAATCTTTAATTACACCGTGATTTTCTACTCCTGCACACCGTCGTAATCATCAGTCATGGGACATTGGAAAGCTTTTGTACAAACATCTTTTCACTATGTAAACGGATTAAAATGTTGCACTGGCAGCATTTATAGAAAATATCCAATGATGGCAGAGATAGTAAAAGTTTCTGTCGTGCATTTCAGGGGGAAAATCTGAGTGAAAAGTTGGGAGACACATTCTCATGTCGCAAAATTGCCATTTTGCTCAGCATTTCACAGCATTTGACTTTTCAGTTCGCATAGAGCGAGTTATGAGAAAAAAATTGCGACTTGTGTCCAATTTCAGCGAAACTGGTTCAAATGATCTCTTGTCGGCGAAACAACCTGCCATATGTTGGGGAGAAAAGAATTAATTGGAATTTAAGTTGTGACAGTCGCCACATTTCACACCCTTTGGCACCTCCATTCCGCAGAAGAGTGTGGGTGGGCGCCGCACATACACTGAGTAATGGATGTTCGAGGAACACCCGCGTGAAAACAATCTGCGGGCAGCAGCTGATATGCTCCCGGATGGTACGTTTTCCATCAATTTCGCCGCCCCTGCAGCGTCTAACGGTGATTTAATTGCAAGTGGCGACTGTTTTTCAACTAAAAATGTCCATTTTCCAGCTCCAGCGCACCTTCATGGATGATTTCCCGGGCAAAATGGCCGGATTTTCGCGATCGCGAGTGATCATTTCTCATGCGTCAATGGATACATGATTCTCTTTCAATTGTGCCAGAGTCGCGAGCATGTGTTGGAGGAATAGATTGATTGTGTGCTTCACCTCCAAGGTAGGAGACACGCCATTTCTTAGTCAGTGCTTTTTTGCTCGCAGCCAAGATCTCTCCGACGCCACCAAGTCAGTCCCCAATATGGAATTTATGCGCGCGCCACTTAATTACGCTGAGGATTGCGCAAAAAATGCGCGCCAGCAATGTGATATTTGAACAAATTGACATGAGGGGATGGAATGTGAGGAAATTAGCCAGGAATATCACATCGCGGTTTGCATTAATGAGTATGAATTTTATCTGCTCAACATTCACGGTCAAAGTATCAATATGCACTTCAAGTGATAAGCTCGTTGGCAATGAGACGTGCTGCAGCTCATGTAATCGAGCAAGTCAATTGGGAGCTTCTATTTCGTCAAGTGAAGCTGAAGAATTAATGGCTTTTCTCCAATTGATGGCCCAATTTTAATTGATTTTAACGATTTCGGGACTCTAAATGTAGGTTTTCTGGCACAACGTGACCCTTAAGAATATTTAACAGCTCTTTAAACCATCTCAATTGGGATAGTCACAATAAAGAATTCAATTCTACTTGATAACTAAATTGAAGTATATTAAAAGCATTTATTTTTGCTAATTTAACACCCAAAAACACCAAAATGTCATCATGTTTATTTCAGTCGATAAGAACATTCTTAGTTAAATTACCATCAAACTCAATTATGTCTGCTTTGAATCCCAGATACTGTAAGTTTGTGGCGCTTTTGCACTTTGCAACTAATGTAATTTGTACACACAAACAAGAGGCAATTTTCAGTGGTTCATTGGCAAGAAAGGCCCTCCCCAAAAGTGTAGTAAATTAATATCTTCAGCCTGGTTCACGAGATAATTGTGGGAGACACCGAAATGAAACTGAATCTCCCCACATTTTCACGCCAAAGAAGTCACTGAAGAAGAAAGAGAAGTGATTTTCGCAGTGCAACTGATTTCTTCAGTTGATGTTGCAAGCAAGAGTTTATTGTTTTTTTCTCAGCACAACACACTCTTCATTTTTCCTCGGTGGTTTCGTGCGGTGGGAAAAAAGTGAATTTAGTCGTCACAATGAGTGTGAAATATTGCACGTTCTCAGAGGAGGAAAATTGGGAAATAAGCATCCCGAGAGGCAAATTGAAATGGCACAAAATTTTAATTATTGTATTTCAACTGCGTCACTATCATATGAAACACTCTCCAAATAATGTATTCCATCCATTTATTGTTATTTGTTATTTGCCGGAGGACGCACCATCGCGATATTTCGAGAATTTCCATAATATTGAATCGGCATCGGGAGGAGGGGAAGTGGGAGAGTGGAAAAAAGACAAACACAGCTCGGAATCACGAAAATATGTAAATACCATTGGACTGATGGAATTATATACCTTCGATCTATTTTAATTTCTAGCTCTATGTCGCCTCTTTTAGGCGCTTATTCCAACTATGCACACACCAAATCACTCTTGGAGTTTGTTAACATTCACAAAACTGCGCCATGCGAAATTTCTCGCAATTATCGCCTGCACTGAAACTCCTGCTCTTTTCCTCTCTCTGTGTTTTTTTTTCGCTGCACAAATATGTTTTACACTACTAATTATCTCGCATGTTTCCGTGGAAAATCCCGCACAAGCACTGCTCAAATGGCGAACTTCTTTCCCTTGCGGTCACTGTGTCCGAAATTTCACTGATTCTCAAGTTGCATGAGCAGAGTTTCATGAGCTCTTTTGCTTCCCCACTTTGTGTGTGTGTGTGTCTGACCGCCTCAACTTTGGTCAGACTTGGACAAGATGAAGTATTCCGTGATCACGCGAATTTCACGTCCACATGCCCGCGAGTTCTCTGATAAACTGAGGCAGAAACGGTGAATGGAGTAATGTCGGGCGGTTGTGGAATTGAGTGCTGGTGAGCGAAAAAGAGCGGGAAAGCGAGAAAACTCTCTCTGGCGCTCGTGGTCTTGCGGCTGGAATGCGCTGGAACGAAACTGTTAGATGTCCATTCAAGCTCACTGGCTGGAGCGAGAACGCTATGCCGCGCTGCTTCCAGTCTTGGAAAACTCGCGCGATGCAGAGAAGGACGGCTAGAGTGGCAGCATAACTTGTTGCAGAGGCTGAGAAGCATGAGAGACAAGTTCTCACAATTCAAGCACTTCTTGTAGTTCATATTCCAACACCTTCGGGCTGCTAAGACTAGCCAGAAGAGGGAGTGCGAGCGCACCAAAGAAACGGCACTGAAGAAGTCTTGTTAATCTCAATCAACAGGTGGGAGCTCTTATGTTTCACTCGCAATCCGTGGTCTTTTTCTCCTCATATATTTAATTACCACATTGACATTGTAATTCAGTGGAAAAAGAACTTCCTCATTGTCTCATGTGAAGAAGATTTGTAGAGTTGTTAAATGAGAAATGCACAGATTTTAGTCAAGAAACATTATTATAAAAATCTTCCCTAGCTGAAGCGTTTCAAACTCTCAAACTGTAGTTGAGTGATTATTGAACATAAATATTTTGCATCTATCAAAATTTGCAGTTTTTCACGGAGTCATTAATTTCGCAAAGCCACGCCCACTTGGACGCACCGCCCATTGTCTTCTATGCAATTTTCTGTGATCTCATTGGGATCAAGTCTTGATTTGTCGTCGCATCCATCAAATTATAATTGCCTCATATTCAGTGCTTAACCCTCTGGAGCACAGAAGTCTCGACTTGCCAAAGGGGGCGGTGGGTGAGTCGCAATTGAAAAAGCCCAGATTCCACTTAACGTGATAATTTATAGATCGAGAATGACAGCATCAAACCTGTTGCTGGTCCATCACGCGGGCTCGTAAGTAAAATCCATTTCTTCGCATGCAATGGAGTGACACTATTAGATGAATGTGACCAAGGGAGTTAATGGATATCGCAGTATATCAGCATCGGGAATAATGAATATAAAATTGGTATACGAGGAGATTTAATTAGCTCTCCGCAGCATCTCCATCCATGCTCCACTCTAATTTATGTGCTCAGTGTAATCTCCAATAAAATTCATGTCGAGCTGCAGGGACTATTTGTTGATTCACGTGATAAATCGTCTAAATGTCCTCAATGAAAAGTCCGTCTTCAGTCCACTGTGATTATCTAACTGTATCTCTTTTCTGCGTGTAATTAAATGTCGCGCGCATTAAGTTTGGTTATTAAAATTGTAAATTACATGACCACGTTCAATCCATTCAATTATTCCGCACAGAAGTTCATTTATCATTGCAAAATTGAGTAATAGAGTCTCTCGTGTTAATGCATTAAAATAAATTATTTCATATTTATTATGTGTGTCGCTGAAATTGTGTTTTGCTGGGGGTTATTTCGGTAATTTCCACCCCACGGATTGCATATTTTAATCAATTTCCCTGCAACATAAAATATTTACATTCTTGTTAAATAACAATCCACCAATTATTAAAAGCTGTCTTTTAGCATTTACTATCGTTGTCATATAATGTTTGGATGTACATATTGAACTTGTAACGGCAACTTTGAATCAAAAGCCCATAAATTATTATGTGAATTGGATTAAAATCGCTTAGAATCAATTGAGAGCGAAGACTTCGAGTAGGAAACTTCTGTGACACTTTAATGTCTTCACGAGGAGCTTTTATGATCTCAGCAGCGGTCAGAATCTGGCTGATCCCATAAGATTGTGCGAGTGACTTCGGTGTGAAACTTGTAAATTATCTCTGGGTGACACTCGGATTGCACTCTGTGAGAAAGACGACCGTTCACCTCGCTGAGGTTGAGGAAGGTGCGTGTCAAAAGGCCGGAGTCTAGATTGCAGCGTCGGTATTTGTATCGTCATATTTTATGTAATTGGCGGAAATTTCTAGTCTGCGCGCAAGAAGACAGAGCAGAATCCATTAGGTGACCGTTAGAATGTAATTATAAATTGAGTTGGAGATGAAGAAATCCAGTTCTGCGTAATCCTCCTCATACTTAGATAAATTTCAATTAAAAGTTGTTCCCCCTTATAAATTATTGAGAATATTTTCTTTGGGGTCTCTTTTTGATAAAACACCGCGCGCGCACATCATCTCATGGACAATTTTAGTGAATTGCATTTCTGCCATTCTCTCATCTTCTCCTCTCCCGTCAAATCATTATGTGTGCGCGGCGTTGGAAGATGCGGAGGATACAGGAAGATCAAGAAACGTGCCTGAGGAGTCATTCTTGGGCAAAAAATTGGCAGCTTCTCTTTTTTCCTCTCCTTACATCACTAATATTGCATACATGGAGCCAAGTGCATCTTCCTGTGCCACACAATATCGCAACGGAGCGCATTTTGTGCCACAGAGAATGCATATTCTGTCGATTGCATCAATGAGCATCGTAAGTTTCTTATTATCTGCCTGCTTCAGAACCATGATCTTGATCTTGACAATAAGACAGCCTTCTGAAAGTGTGATTCGCTAATTGAATTCACGAAAGGCTGCCAAATCAGAGCGAGAATAACACATCGCGATGAGATGCTGAATACAAGACAAAGGTATATTGTAAGCAATTAAGCGGATATATTGGAAAATCAACAAGTTTTTCGTCACATCTCATAATCAAGCCAAGTGCTTTGAAGAAATGGAAATACAAAGTATTTGCATTCATGGTATTTCATCTTTCAGGTGATTGGCTCTGCGATGTTTTCCGTTTGTTTACTTCAGGGTGAAAATGAAGAAAAAGCATATAGTTTTATATTTGGAACTATGCGCGTATTTCACATAAATTTTCCGCGCTTCAAATAATCATTTGGCAAATTTGCGATGGAATAAAAAGATGATGACCAAGAACAGGAGAAAAATTGTTTTAACCTACATTTTATTCTTTTTTAAAAATATATCAAGAAAGAGGCGCCGAAGTAGCGAAAAAACGCACATTTTCTCCGTGTAAAAACCTCCTCGGGCTGAGTTGATGTGGGAGAAGGGAAAGCAGATCTAAATGAGTTCGATATTTGCAGAGAATCTCGAATAAACACACTATGAGCATTTTACTTCTGTATATTTTAAACATTTCTACGAATACGTGCTTCACTTAAGTGTGAATTTTTCTTCAGTCTGTGATCATAAACTTCTCGAAGTGGTCGTGATTCGATTATGATCGCGCTCTTAAGGCAACTTTGGCGTTCTAATTAATTATTTAACGCAAAAACCACTCATTCCAGTGATGTCAAATAATTTATACACTGTCGCATTTGTCAGCGAAACATTCTTGAATTGTGAGTTTTTGTGGTAATTAAAGATTTCGTGTCACACAGAGAGATTCTTCAAAGAAAACCCCGAAATGTTTACAAGAACGTGCCGAAAAGATGGTGAATTGTGCGAATCACAATAAGGAGAATTTATCAGATTGAAAAATATGCTTTCAAATTGCCAAAACTCATAACATCTCTCCAAAGCAGATGCATTTTCCGACCCTCAACGGTGGAATTTTGCGGGGATATAAATTTTATTATGGGATGTTCAACTTGATTAATTTGCAGTCAGTATTTCATCGCGTCGTATTTTGAGATATGTTCACAGATTACACAAGTGAATATTTATTTTGATATTTGCAACGCATCGAACAAGGGCGCAACATTGTAACGCAAGTACCAATTTCCTCCACAATCACTCGTTGCCATCAGCATTGGAAGAAAGTTTATACTTGGAAGTATGATAACTCATTTTAAAGTAAAATGCGCGCATTTGAAGAAAAAGAGTCATTTCTAGAGCGTAACAAAGTTCAAATTGAAGCCCTGAGTCGTTGCACTATTCAATTAATTCATACTCGGTGTATTTGTGCCTACTTAACAGGTCTAAATCAACACTTTACGATCATTTACACCTTTTACTATGTTGTGCATAAAAATCCGTTGCGATCAATACAACACACTGAGCACGCATTAATGATTCAGGGGGATAATTATAGTACAATACAGTAAGCAGATCAACATGGTTTCATCTTCACTGTATTAGCAACACAAATCTCGTGTCTGAATGCTCGTCTAAACAATAATACCGCAGCAGAGTATTTAATTCGCATTTCAGCCGTTTAATGCGTTATTTCCTTTTGAATTTACCCATGCATACACAAGCAGGAGTATTTGAACTACAAATAAATTAAACCTGCAGGGATAATATTTTGGAAAATAACACTATTTTTCTTTTTGGTAGAAAAAGTAGAAGGAAAAGCGTAGACATGTGCTTTCGATACATTGAGTAAGCAGAAGGAATAATAAACACAAGGACAACAGAAGAATTGACCTAAATATGGATTCAGTGCGCTTTTCAATTATAGTGAGTACAATTCATAAAAAAAACTAGTGAAAATATTGAGCAATGGACGCAATTCGGAATCTTTCAGGAGAGCGACTTGAAGTGGAACCAAAAAAACGAGGAGAATCTGGAAGGAGAGGAGGATAATAAGAGCATTTCGAGCGAGGGCAGTGTTGAGGGAGGAACTGTTGATGTGTCCACGATTCCCAACAGGCAGCACAATTCTCCGTGCGAACAGGAGATCTGGCAGTCCTTCGAGATTGATAACTCCCTGAAGAACCTGCCCAATTACGAGAAGATCCATGAGTTGATAGAGTGTGGCGATCTCGACGGCCTGACTCACATTCAGAGGGACATAAATACGGCTCTTCTTCTGGCCGTTTGGCATCAGCGACCGAGTTGCGTGGTTTCGCTCCTCAACGAGTTCAATGCTGATCCCAATACGTCAGATCTCAAGGGACGCACTCCGCTACATTTATCCTGCTCACGAGGAGACTTCTTCACCACGAAAGTTCTTCTCAGGCACGGCGCAAAGTCTCATCAATGGGACGATAGCTTGAAAGCTACTCCGCTTCACTGCGCTGCCAGGTAACATTAACACTTCTGAAGTCTCTTGGTTAGCATTCAATGAGGAACTGTATTTCAGTGCCGGCAGCGCCGAATGCATCCAACTTCTCTTGCGCAACGGAGCTCAACTCAATGCCGGAATCGAGAGGAGGTCAGCACTTCACTATGCTGTGGAGAGGAACATCGTGCACTGCGTCCAGATCCTGCTACAGTACGGCGCCAATCCCAACACTCCTCAGGTTTACACCGAGACTCCACTTCACGTGGCCGCCAGTCTGGGCTACGACAGGTGCATTAAACTGTTGCTGGATCACGGCGCAGACGTTCGATCACAGTTCGGCAAGAGACGCTTGACGGCACTTCATCTCGCCGCTGAGGATGACTACATGGAGTGCGTGCGACTGCTTCTGGACGCGGGAGCGAAGATAGACGTGAGAAATCACTTAGATCAGACTCCTCTCATCCTGGCATGCCTCGGCCAGTCCACTTCCACCCTTGAGATCCTCATAAAGCGCGGCGCTGACGTTCACACCGTGTACAAGGATGGCCGAACGGCGCTTCACGCGGCCATCGTGAAGGACAACAAGTCGTGGGATTGCGCCAAAATGCTTCTGCGCGCCGGTGTGGACGTCAACCGACCAGACAACTACGGTTACACACCAGTTCATCTGGCCGCTCTCAATGAGTTCAGCTCCTGCGTTCACATGCTAATCGGTGAATCACCCGCCGTCACACTTCCACTGCAACCACTCGATCTCCATGTCTTTTGCATTTCTAGAGCACGGCGCAGACATAACAGCGCGCACGAACGGCGGCGTCAGTGCACTCTCCTTCATAGTCCGGCGCACACCAGAAGTCATCCCCAAGTACATCTCCAAGTTCGACAGTTCCATCAAAGTCAACGAGCACGAGATTGGCGACGTGGACTGCGAGATCAAGCTGGACTTTCGTCTGCTGGTGCCCAATAATGAGCGCGGCGAAACCGAACTCTTGCTGGCCTTCATCGAGGTCGGACAGAAGCGTATCCTCAAGCATCCGCTGTGCGAGACATTTCTCTTCCTCAAGTGGCGCCGCATCCGGAAGTTCTTCCTCTTCAGCCTCTTCTACCACTCGATCTACGTGCTCCTGTTCACTCTCTACGTTCTCGGCGTGTACGTGAAAGACTGTCCCATCGCTTCCAGCTCAACCGACCACTGCAAAATCCCTCCATACATCATGCCCGTGGGATACTTAGTGCTCATCCTGAACTTCCTCCTTCTGGCAAAGGAACTCTTCCAAATGGCACACGGCTTCAGTTCTTACGTAAAATATTGGGAGAATTGGCTGCAATGGACAATCATCTTGGGCGGATTTCTCTGTGCAGTGAGTCTTTTGCAATTCATCCGCCCAACTGCTATAAACAATGTTTCATGCTTCCTTCCAGACTCCACAAGCCATCATCTCAGATGATTTAACACTCGTTCCCAAATGGCAACATCACATGGCGGCGGTGGTAATATTCCTCGTCTGGGTGGAACTTATGATGCTGGTTGGGCGATTCCCCATCTTCGGCCTCTACGTGCAGATGTTCACCAAAGTTGCTGTGAACTTCTCCAAATTCCTCCTCGCTTATTGCTGTCTTCTCGTGGCTTTTGGCTTGAGCTTTGGCGTGCTTTTCGCCAACTATCCAGCCTTCAAGACGATTCCTTGGTTTGTCATTTCCCAATATTTGCGTTCGCAACCTCTGAAGTGGGTCTCTTTGCAGGGCACTGCTTAAGACCATCACGATGATGGCTGGAGAATTGGAATTCGAGGATATCTTCTATGACAATGAAAGACCACTCAACTATCCTGTCACTGCTCACGCAATGTTCCTGGCATTCGTTCTCTTGGTCACAGTAATTCTCACCAATCTCTTGGTGGGTTTGGCTGTTAGCGATATTCAAGGATTGCAAGCATCGGCAGGACTGGACAGACTCTCGCGTCAGGCTGAACTCGTGTCACGCCTTGAAGGACTCTTCTTCTCAAAGCTACTGAGAAAGCTTCCACCGAGACTGCTGGCAATATGCCAAAGAAGCGCTTTGCTGAGAACATCTCGATGGCATTTGCAATTTTGCATTAAACCCAACGATCCTCGCGAGAGAAGAGTACGATCCTGTAACTAAAACATTGAGAATTGTACTCTTAATTTCCCAATTTCTTCCAGCTCCCCAAGGATCTCATGCTGTCTGTCTACAAACTAGTGGCGGAGAGACGTGATCGCAATCAGAGCATGAAGCGAAAGAGGAATTCTCAGAACTACAATCTCTTTAAGGACTCCATTAACGACAAGACCAACACAGTTCAGCTGCGAAAGCACACATCTCAACTCAACTCCAATCCTCGACCGAAAACCGTTGCTGAAAACTCGAGGATCTTTTACAGAAACGCCAGATCGACTCCTCCGCCGATAACTCTTCCGCAAATCACTGATCTCGATGGAGACAGCAACAAGTCGAACGTGAGCGGAATTGTTGAGCGACTGGAGAAGATGGAAGAAGAGATGTCGAAGCGATTTGACGAGATCAATCGCGATATTGTCTTCATCAAGATGCGCATGGAAACTTGACCAAAGAATCATTTCAGATATACACAATATTTGCATGTTAAATTTATTAATAATTCCAACTTATTATTGGTTGTTAAAATCATGGTTTTATTTGGCAATTATTAATCTAGTCTTGTAAGGATCCTTTGCTAACTGTAGCGATTCAGAGGCACAAAGTGCTGAAGACATTTGTCGAGGAAGAATCAATTCAGGCAGAGTCAGAACATGATGATAGAGTGGACGGTCGATCTCGGAGTGCTCAGGAAGAAGTGTTGCATGTATTCATCGCTTGGATGTAGCATATTTGTGCACTAAGCGATCGATAATCATTAAAATTCATAAAACAGAGAGGAGAATGGCTGCAAAGGCACACAGTGAAGCGACGATGTACGAATACTTGATGTTCACACCATCTTAGGGGTGAGTACTGGTAATTCACCTGCAAATTCACACACTTTTTCCAGCCAAATGGCCAGCGTCACTTGAGCATAATTCTCTGTTCACTTTCATTGTCTCGATGTGCATTTAATGTAATGGAAAAATTTCCTGCGGCAAAAGTACAGCGATGGCGAGTAAGGACAACCCTTACAGAAGTGGCCAATAAAATCGGCGCGCAGCAACTCTGAAGAGGTTCTTGTCTTCATGTCGCCTTGTCTCCTGACCGGTCCAGTTTTGGTTGACATGTTGCCTTGGCCATTTATCCCAGGCCAGAGAGACGCGACGTTCCAATCGATAATTATTGATTTAAGGAGTTCGCGGCAAAAAGTGCGGCAAAATGCGCATATTAATTTATTCTTTTATATATCAATGCAACGTGCGTTTGCGAGTGATTTGCAATTACCTGACTGGTGTTCACAAAACATGGAGCTTCTGGGCAAGAATTGGAGCTCAACACTTGACATCATGAGGAGATGGACAAGTTGGGTAGCTCGATGAATGTCACCAAGAGCAATTATGATAGATTGTGTCTGACTTCATATCACCATAATTCGCTGGCTTAATGCACACAACAGCAAGAAGGTGAGCATTGAATTTGCTTTTTATCCACCTCTTCCTCTATCCACTCTTTCGCAGCCTTCCGCTGTCCAAGGCTCAATTAAGCACCCTTTTCAGCTTTTTCAAGGCACTCCAGAGAGTGGGATATATTCAAAACCTCTCTTGCAGAGCGTTTAGCGAAAATCGATTAACAGCAGTCTTGTCTATGGGAAAAGAATTGAGCAGCGATAAAGAAGTTATTCTCAATGACCATCAACTGCATGATTATTTAATCAATTCCCTTTTAATATAGCATTATAAGTAATCACAACTGAAGAGATCGATTGAAGAGCGAGTAATTGTTCTGTCTTCGGCTATAAAGCGATAAAATGATCACATTTTATACACCTTAATCGCTCTAGATTATGTCTTCAACCACTTTAACTATTATTAATATTACCAGCAATATTTTATAGTTTTTGTGTGGTTAAGTTAACATTTCTATGACATATCGCCTCTTCAGCTACACTTTCAATACTATGCGAGTTGAGACACGTTGAATCTCCTGAAGCGAAATCTCGCGTTCTGTGGCAATGATGAAAATTATCCGGCGATAAGAAACGGCTAAGGAAATCCCTAAACATCCAGAAATAGCAACATTTTATTCCCTCTGGCATTTCTTGGTGTACACAAAACTGCGTGCAAGACAAGTTTCAGGTTCTGCGGTGGGTTTTTGCCAACGCAACAAGTGGATATGGCAGAGATTTTCTCATATAAATTTGCACTGCGGCTAAAAAAAACGTTCGATCCCGCGACGGATCGAATGGGCGGGAAGAAGGAAAAAGGTAAAACACAGGAGGAAAACATCGAAAGAGTCTTATTTGTGATATAATGTATAAATTTTATATCTGAAACACATCTCAGAAGACTGTCAAGACAGCGCGCAGTGTTTCAAGCGCGACTCTTGAGCCATTTAATAGGCGTTTTAATATTTGCAATGATCACCGAGGTGCAGATGGTGGACTTTCGTGATTGCTATCGCCTCTCTGAGCCCGCGAGTGCCTTTTTGCCTCCCCAAAAACCCCTACAAGAGGCGAGCAGATTGCATTTCTGCACTCCTGCGGTCGAATTCTCGCCTTCACGCAAGATCATTTGAAGATTTCATTACTCCTTTGCTTTCGCCACTATTATTTCTGCTTGTTTGGGTGGTATTTTGGCAGGGCATTTCCTTTTTGGCGCAGCACTTGATTGAATCTGGCACGATAAATTGCTTCGCATTTTGTGCGTAATTGTTCCGACCTAAGCAGCCGAGAGAGAGAGAGAGAGAAGAGCTGAACTCTCTGGTTTGGGAAGCGATTTGTAGAGCGATCACCTTAAATGGGAAGGATTCATCTCCATTGAATTTTGTATTCATTACACATTGTTCCGCGCTGGCTTCTTGCCATTTTCGTTTGGGGCATGAGTTTTTTTTCACCACCGCAGCATCAAGACACATTCCAGTGGACCGCATATCCAGTGAATCGCACTTGCGCCGTGCCTTTGTAATATATTGTTGAACCAAATTGCCATCCTTGCGAAAATGTGTGTTGGTGTCCATATTATATGCACAAATCGGTTTTGATTTAGCGTTTTGCCTCACGTTGTACTTGGAAGATTACAAGGTGAATGCAGCAGAAATTATTCTTTCTCAAAGTGCACCAGACAATTTATTATAACGAGCAATGAATGACCGGTTAGAGAGGCTTGCGATATTTTCTTGCTCGTCTTTTTCCATCATCGCTCACTTTTTTTCCTCCTCTTTTGCTCACTCAATACTGTATATTTACCACTCTGCGGCATCTTGCGCTTCCATGGCGCAATACTTAGGGCATATTAGCGTTTTCTCCCTGGGCTGCAGGAAGGCGCATTGGGGGTCAGCGGAGGGGAAGGATTGCAATTAGTAGTTAAAAGTAGATTATCGTGTTAATTTTTGAGAGCAAATTGAAATCCAAAACGTGCAATTACAGGCCAAGAGAGAGATTAGGAGTGGAGCTGCACTGAGGGGCTTCGCATTCATCCGCTGCTGCCCAGTTTCCCACCCAGAAAGGTGCGTAGGAACGCGGATTGCCATTGAAAAAGGCCAGCGAGCGTGTGTATGTAAATATGTGAGACGGGAGGTGAAGTAAATACAAGATGATCTGCTCAAGATGCTCCGCAAGAAGTGTATAAATGTTCTATTGCAATATGCATCAGTTGCTCTACAGCTGCGGTAAAGACTTTATCTCAATGCTACACTTAATCGAGGCAATTAATGGAGCACCTGAGCGGAGACAGCGTGTTGAGTCAACCCTTTTCCGAACGCAGAGGCCATCAGACATCTCTTGCACAATTTAACAGGCCAAGAGAAAAGACCTCAAGACGACGCACATCCACACAAATGTGGAATCGCATCGCGTTGGAATTGACGTTGCATCGTGCACACATTGAGGCCAGAACGGGCGAGGAGTCGCTGGCTGGGAAGTGGCGGAGCAAGAGAGACGGCGATGGCGGAGGAAAAAACGACAAGCACGACTAAAGATATCAACCAACAGGGCCTGAACCAGAAAACCAAGAGACAAGCGCGAGCGAAAGAGGCGAGGGAGCCAGAAAAGAGGAAACTCCAGCGCGATCATAAATGTCTAGTCACCAGAGGAGTGAAGATCATGGTGAGTGCAGTGTGCCGAGACGGAGATCAATTCTGTGATCAGTCAATGGCGGAGTCCTCGTCGAGCAGGACCAGTGCTTGTTGTCGGATTCTGTGTGTCGTGATCGTGTGCAGTGCGCCTAGTGAGGTCAGACAGGGTAAGGATCATCCCAAGTGATCTCCAGTCGAGTGTGCTCAAATTTGTCTGCGCGCCCCATAAAATCACAATCTTTACGATATTTTCGGCATGCTTTCTGTGCGCCTCCGTCGCGTGGGGGACATTCGGCTCTAATCCGCGCGCGCCCTCACATCGTGAAGACAGAGAAGAGACACCAAATTTGTCCCCCAAAGTGCAGAATCTCTCGGAATGACTTGTTGAAATTTTATTGCTCGTGAATTTCTGCTGAAAAAAAGAACACTTTTGCATCTCCCCAAGTGCAGACTCTGCGCGATCGTGGTGTGTGAATGAGAGGCAGGACAGGCGGAAAGAGGAACGCATCGCGGAGCGACTGGAGAGGAAGGAAAAAGAGAATGAATTCACTTGTGAATGTGGAGAGTCGCGCAAAAAGTGCAATTTAAATGCACTCAGCGACGCATGCAGCCTCATCTCACGATCACTTTTCTTTTCACATGCCAATGATCATTAAAAACAATTCCCAATGAATAAATCGCGCTGTGTCTGCGCGCTCGCCAATGCATTCCGTTAAATCTGGCCACTATCACTCTCGCGCGCGCGCGCCTTTTTGGAGGGAAAGGGCAGCCAATTGTGCAGAGTCAAGGTCAGTCAGTCTCGGGGTCATCTCGTCGCGTTTCGTGCCCTTTTCGTAGGAACTCAAATTGTGCTCGCGATCACTGACCAAAACCACGCAAGTCTGACGAAAAAAGAGCAGCGCTCTCGTGCAGATCACGATGTTACTTTATGCAGAAAAGTGGGTAAAAAAGAGAGCGCGATCGGAGCCCCAACTCATGGGCAGAAAGGGGAAACTTTTATGGTTTCTCTTGCATTTTTTCTGGCAATGAGAAGCTCTCTTCCCAAACGCTCATGATCTATTTCCAAAGAACACTTCTCAGCGCCACTCTCTGGCCAGAGAAGATCGCACAGAGGGAGCGAAGAGCGTTTGAGGCTACAAAGAATTTATGGTGGAAGAAATATGCAATCAAAATCTCTGCATAATTACAAAATTAGACATTGTTCTTATTCGTGAATTGCTATTGTATTTCTGCCTTCTACTATCTTCACAAGCGCGGACAGGCTTCTTCTTTCCCTCCAATGCAGTGTGCAGAGAGAACGGGTGAGACAGAGGAATTAAGTTATAGTTGGAAAAGAAACACCTTCTTAACATTTTTCCTTCCCTCCGATTCCATGACAATAATTGCTGTGTCTGCGATCTTCGCGTTCTGTCGCTACGATTTTTACCATTTTCTTTTTGCAACTCCTCCTGCATCCGCATCCAAGGACACCAGTTTATTAAACTCCAATCCCAACTGTGCTCCTATGCACATGAGCGCACGCTCAAGTCAAGCGATCGAGTCAAAAGTCTCTCGATCACGATCTGTCTTCACTGCGATATTCGCGAAATTGTCTTGAAAATTCTCCGCTCTTCACTTGCAAATTCTCACCCAACTGCCACTTGTTTAAGGCCGAGGGGAGTGCAAATCCTGTCATGTATTGGCCAAAAACACAAGGAAGATTAATCTTCCTAAACATTTTATTTTTTTTAAGTATCATTCTTTGATAAAACCTTAAGTTTCTGGCTAAAAACGTTGTTCTTGATTGATCGGACATAAATCTCTCTTTCTGAGGTCATTATTTTGTTAATTTACCGCAAAATTAGATTCTTTTGGGGAAGAAAGAACGCCTGTTCTTGCATTTTCTTTGAAATGTCATAAAAATTCATCAAATCCGTAAACACATTATCTTATGATTAGCACTTCAATTCCAAGAGTTTAAGCTAAATATCGATATTTCCCACATTCCACGTATCTTCTCAAAAATCCCAACTCACTTGTAATCTCAGTTAGACGCTTGATTGTCATGTTTTTCTCCTCGTCGCGAAATGGACCAAATGCGTGGCTCTTTGTCATATATTTGGATATCTCTCGACTTCTTTTTTACCACCTAATTCGCGATCAAAACGGTGCCTCGGAGATGAGATCACATGTGAGACGAGTTGCACGGGAAAAAATCCATTCAAAGGAAAAAATATGAGGCGAAATTTATCAAAATAATAATCGTAAAATAAAGTGGCTGTGGGTAGTTCTTTGACCCATAAAAAGTTTCACGTTAAGTCTTGTGTTGACTGTGGAAAAAATTCTCGCCGGAACAATGACTCCCCATCCAGTTGGCGATCTCAGACTTCTGCCGATGTCTCTCGCCCCGTGTAAGATCACTCTTTATGCATATAATGGAAGCAATTTAATTGCGCTCTCGTGATCTTCCCCCTGAGCTGAGGAAGATGTGAGTACTTCAGAGACGGCTGAAGATGCCACATGATTCAATCGATTCATCCGACGCGATCGCGTCAGGCTCTCTTCCTGAGTCAAAAAGAAACCTTCACTCTCAAATTAATCTCCAGACACTTTTGACGTTGACGAATATTTGAGGAGAAAAAAAGGAGAGACGAAATTCTGTAGACGCGCTGCACATGGGATATTTGTTCATGGGTTCTGTTTGTCTATGGTTGGATTCTTGAGAGAGAGAGAGCAGACAGCCAACAAGGCGAAAGGTCTCGCTGACGAAAGTGTGATCACGCGGAGGTTACACAAAATATTTGATTTTTAATAATAAAAATCCGAGGAAACACTCACCCCTAATTATATATTTAACTTGCGCTGGAACATCGCTGCGATGTCTCTTTATTTTTAAACACCACCACAATTCCTGCACAAAATGTATTCCGGGATAATTTGTACACACAAATTCTGTGAGACACTGAACAGATCATTTTTTCTACAGCGCCTTCACGAAATCACTGGGGTCTTGAAAGTTACGGGAAAGTTTCAATGTCTCTCAAATTTATACGATTCTTTCATAAATCAAGCGAACGACATAAAAAAGAGCCTACAATTTTACGATTACACACAAGATTTAACATAAAATATCATATGATTTCAAACTCACGCATTTACATATGACTTCATCTCTGAATGATCATAAAACAGTCGTTATTCTGAGACCCTGACGCTCTTTCTACCGTAAAAAGTCCAGCTTTCCTCTCATAAATCCACTAATCACTCGTGTACAACCGAGAGGACATTTCCCATTAAAGAATACAGGTAGAAATCACGTTGAAGCATCGTTTCGTTGCAGGATGAAAGGAAGAGTGCAGACGGAGGCTTTTAGCTCTGCCATCGAGACTGATCGTGACTTGCGGATCTGTCAGGGATGCTGGGATGCTGAAAAAATGCCCTACAAAGTGCAAAGATGCTGGCGATCTGGAACCTGGTAACTCCACCACCGTTGGCGATTCTAAGCTGCCAATGGGAGCTGGAGTTCCCGTGTGCCGATCGTGAATCAGCGAGAGGACTTTTCATCACTTTCCATCGACTGTGCGTTCCCATCATCAGCTATTCATCAAAACTGGGATTATTGCGACAAGATTTGCAATTACGTCTGCAGTGGGATAACAGAGCCGTGCATTAAATGTATGATATTCCTCCCCGATCGCCAGCAATTCCTTATAAGATGAGAAGCGACGCGCAATGCTCTTTTTTGCCTCTTACTTCTCCTCTGCAGACATTGTCTCAAGACGCCAATGACACATGTGAAACGTGATCGGCGATCTTGAATTTATATACCCATTTTGAAAATATTGACATTGAAAATGTACAAGCAAAAAGATTACCGCGACGGTGCAACGCAGAGGCAAGATAATAAGAACACCACCATCTTCCATGGGGAGATTTTGCACCGCGCGAGAATTGAGAGGTGAATGCAGGAGATAAAGAGAGAACGAGTGGTAAATGCTGTGATCTGCAGCTGATATGATTGATGGGATTCTGCGGAGCGTCAGTGGAATTTGAAGCAAATGAAAAAGTTTCAAACACCTTAAAGTAATATTTTCTTAAATATTAACTATTATACTATATTACTATACTATTATTAACTATTATTACTTAAATATTTCTATGCGTAAACAGATATTATTGCAGAATTGATTCAAATTTTGAAAAATTTCGGACAGATTGACAAAAACTCATAAAGCAAATATTTCAGATTATTATTCTTCGCACAAATAGTTAATTAAATTGAAAAGAAACTGAAGAAATGTTTAGCAGAGAGATGAATTGCTCTCTGAGAATCACAGAAGATTACACCTCGCGATCTTATGAAGCATTCTCACAAATGCGTATTTGTTTTCTCGTTTGATTGCAGCATCTGCGAATGGAAGGCGGAGCGCAGAGAGCGGCCCAGCAGTGATGGGGAAAAGAATGCAGAAAATAAATCCCAAGAACCTCTGGTGGCTTGGCTATTGCCCTTCCCGCGCATTGCAGAAAACCAGAAAGCAGAAAACGCACCATTAAAAAAATGGCATTCAATATGGTCGCCGCGCGTTCCTTTGGCAATTTTTCAAATTTATTCCCGCGACCGGTTCCAGCGGAGCCCTGGTGGCATTTTATCCCGTCCCGCGGTGCGCTCCGCCATCGATGCTGCCCCAATGCATTTGCACTTAGAGGTGTAATTTACCTATTAAAGCATCTCTCTTGCCTCCGAGATCTCGAGCTCTCGAAAGGGCATCTCGCCAGCCAACCGGTTTCCCTATTTGTAACTATTTGTCTTTGAAATTTGACAAAAAGGCGCTGCCCAGAGCGACGTAGGGATGAGAAAGACTTGTGATGTTTTGTGTATTTTCCACAAAAGAAAATAAAATATTTAATTACGCAGTAACGTCGAATCATGGGCGCATTTTTGTGGTCGCGCCCGCAAACAAGAAGCTTTCAATGCACTCTGTAATCCCACCATTTTCTCAGCCACTCTAATAATATTTATTGTATATAGATTCATCTTGTGCCTAGCATCGATACACTTTCATGAATATTCAATGATTATGTAAAAAGTGATTCAATTGAATTTACCCCCAATTGCTAAAATCCTCTCGTCTTCTAGACGCCAAAAAACATCTCTAGCGCGGTAGCGTGTTAATAAATTACATTATATATCTTTGCGAAAAAGGGAAATATACATATGCAATGCTGCAGCTTCTTGCTGCGATTAGCTGGGCGCACAGAAAGGTGGATTGATGTCGTTGAAGTCAAAGGGATCCTCGTACATTCGCATCTGGTTCTTCTTCATCGCCTTCTCTGTGTACTCAACGCGGTGCTTCGACTCGAAGTTCTCCTCCGGCTGCGGACTCCACAGCTTGATGCTGTGATCGATGCCGCTCGTGGCCAGGAGACAGACCGACGGATGCGGCTGCACGCAATTCACGATGTTCGTGTCGCCGCTGAACACCTCGGCGATGGAATTCGTCGAGCGCTCCCAAATGAAGAAGTTGCCATCGTCAGAGCCGGCAATGATGTGGTTCGAGTCGTTGCCAAAGAAGTTGGCCTCCTTGATGTCCGTCGTCGTATTGCAGTGACCCATGAAGCGATCCTTGTAATCCTTCGCTGAGGTGCGCCAGAACTGCAATTCGAGATTTCAGCAAGAAATTCATAGGTTTATAGATAGACAACACAGACTCACTATTTCATTCTCCGACAAATCAAATATATCAGGACTGTCTTGGGAAGATGAGTTGGGATGTTGCTGCAAGAAACAATCAACATTAAACCACATTCACCAATGTGTTTCTGCAAATTCATCACTCACCTTAACAGCCCGCTCAATGTCCTGCTCTAGCATTTGCACACCGTAGCTTTGGGCATATTCTGGGAAGCGATTCTTCAGCTCCGCAAGACACTGAGCCGCATCTGACACATAGTTTAGCGCCAATAAGGCGCGGGCAAGTCGGAAGTGCGCCTTCAAGTACGACGGATCGAGCCAGAGCGCTGTGTGACAGTCCCTGAGACCAGCATAGGTGTCTCCACACCAATTGCGACGCACCAGAGCAATAGCCCTGTTTAGATATAGAAACGCACACTTGGGCGCCTTCTGGATGGCCTTCGTGTACTGGTAGATCGCCTCGATGTACTTCTCATTCTCCAAGAAGTCCGTGCCTAGCTTCTGGTCTGCCTCCACATCCTCAGGCAGTTTCCTCCTGATCGCCTCGCTGTTCACAATCTCCCTGTCATGCAGTGGCGGCAGATCGAGAAAGACAGGCTCCTTGGCATTGTTGATGTCGTACAGATAGATCTGCTCGGCTCCCATGTTGACCAGCAACTCCTTGCCGTCCGGACTGAAAGTCAGATACGTGATCGCTTTATAGCGCTTGTCGTACTGCTTCCTCAAGTGTCCCGGACAGAAGTAAGTGACGCTATTCTTCGGAATCGTGTCCCTATCGGACGGGCTGCTGATCCTCTCCTCATTCGACGTCCACAGCGTGCTCAGCTTCATCATGCGTCGATCGTACATTCGCGCGTAGCAATCATTTGCACCTACGGCAATCAATTCCGGGCGCCGAGGATTCACTGCAATGCACTTGGCCTGAGCAGGACTCGGCACAACATTTGAGACTAGATTTGAGGACGAGATGTAGTGCTTCAGACAGATTAGAGACACCTTGCACTCGTTGGACATACACTTATGCGGCTCGCGCAGATCAAACTCCCTGGAAAATCATAAAAGAATTCTTAAAACTTTATCCAAACATTCTACATAAGATCGCAGCCTGTAAAAGATTGAGTAACAAGACCAGAAACACATTTGCACTCTGACCTGAGCTTTCTACCCAAACAAAAGATGACTCTCTGTCATTTTATATTAATAGAATTATTGGAAAATGCATTCATAGGAATTCTGCGAAATTCACTGAATTGGAAATACTCGAAATACTCTTTTCCATCATCTACAGGCAGACGACTTACAGAATATCGCCGTCCTCGGCGGCTGACCAGAAGACAAAGGGAGTTTCTGGCGCGGTGGCCAATCTCTTCACTCTTCGGCTGTGGCAGCAACACGTCCAAGTTGGACTCTCTGAGCGATTGAGATCAAACACGTATATCTTCCCATCGGCCGCGCCCGTGACCACAGTGGAGCTGCCACTCTTGGGCATGAACTTCACTGAGAAGATGTTGCCCTGATGCGGCGTGATGACATCAGCCACGCGCTTGTGCGAGAACGCGTCCCAAATCATCACGTGGAAGTCATCAGAGGCCGAAGCGAGAAGTCTGCGGGGGCAGTGAGACATTAGAATCACGCTAGAGTCCTACTAGAGGAGACATACTCACTTCCCATTGTCGCTCCACTCCAGACAATTGACGCATCCATTGTGACCGCGGAGTTCCGTTTCCAACTCCAGTCGCCTTATGAATTGCGGGGCAGTTTGCAGTCTCTGCCGCACAGTCGCCTCCAGTTCGAAGTTGCTCCTGTCCCAGAGGAGCGAGGCTGCATTCACCACATGCCCATTGCCGTATTTGCGTTTCATTTTTCCTCTGGCTCTTGGCGTTTCCACGTAAACAAGCACAGCAGAACAATGAAAACAATGGAGAAGTCTCGAAGATATCGCCAAATGTTCACCTCACTGAACTCCTTCTGCACCCTTGCGCATTGCCAGCCAGTCAGGACACCAAAAAGCGCCCGAGAGGATGTTTTCTGCTGAGTATTTGTTTGAGAAAAACCACACAGAAGGAAATCCCGACTGTATCAAAATAAATGCCTGTCAGATGTGATCGTTTTCCTGATAGCGCACCCGAGCGCGCCCGAACGTTCATTCCACAGTCCGCCGAACAGCTGTGGAATGATGATGTGTCATTCTGGTGCGTGTTGTGAAAAATCCCTCTGTTTATGCAATGAAGTGATTTTCAGCCAAAATGCTGAGAAACAGTGAGTTTTTCACCTTGCCCGCGGGACCAGTGGAGCTCTGCTTCGACAAGAATGAGTTCACAAAGGTATTAGCCGGAAAAATCGCGAGAAGCTCCCATAAATCTGAGATTTTGCATTTCAGAAAACCTTCTCTGTGGATGACTTCCTGCATGAGCACCGCAATGCCGGGAGTCTGGAGGAGATTCGAGATGATCTGGGTGTTTACCTGAAAGTCCTGCGATCCGCAATGATAGAGCTCATCAACGAAGACTACGCGGATTTCGTCAATTTATCTGCCAATTTGATTGGACTGGACAAGTCGATTGAGGGCATCCAGGCTCCACTGAGACACCTGCAGCAGGAGATTGAGGGCGTGAAGCGTCTCCTGGGCGACAATATGAGTGAGTTGTCTGAGTGTCTGCGGCAGAAGCGACAGCTGAGGAACATGAAGAAGAGCCTCAAGAGTCTCGGCAGAGTCAGTGAATCCATGGAGAAGTTATCGGGAATGCTGGAGCCGCGAGATGATTCTCCGCTTCAGCCGGCACTGCTCGAGAGAGCGGCCCAGGAGTTCGTGCAGATGCAATTCAACATAAATTGCTGTGAGAAGTATCTGAGTGAGGATGTGAAGATGAGAATTGAGGCATTGAAGGAGCGAATCTTCAGCAATTCCCGGGATTTCTTCCTGGCCGTCCTGCAGAGTCACAATCGCCAGGGTCTGGAGCAGAGCCTAAGAATCTACTACACCTTGGAGGGATGTTCGGTAGCCGAAGACATCTTCCGCAAGGAGATTGTGGCCAATTCCATGGATAGAATCATCTCAGAATCTGCTTTGCAGAATTCTGTCCAGGGATTGACGGGCATATACAACAAGATTCACGAGTTCATCACAGTGCAGATGAAGGATCTGCTGCAGCTGACGCAGGGCAGAAATTTGGCACAGATAAAGGGCTATGATTTCTTCCTGAACAGCTTCTGGGTGGAAGTGGAGCGGCGTCTAGAGACACATATGGCATCGATCTTCGCTCCAGGCAATCCCGATGCCTTCTACATCAAGTACAGAGCCACTCTGCACTTCCTCGAGCAACTAGAGGCCATCCTCAATTCTCCAGAGGCCATCGAGCAGTTCAGAAGTCACGCGCAGTATAAGAGTTTCCAGACAAGATGGAACCTGCCAGTTTACTTCCAGATTCGTTTCCAGGAGATCGCGGGTGCCGTGGAGGCGGCGTGTAGTCGCCAGATCTCCAGTGCATTGCTCTCCAAGGCAGGAGACATTCAGCTGGTGCCTTTCGTCACGGCGCTCTCGAGCATATCGCAATGCTGGTCAGACTCAGTATTCCTGCCGCAGCTCTTCCATCGCTTCTGGAAGTTGTCGCTGCAGATCGTGGCCAGGCTCTTCTCCTGGACAGAGGAAGTGTTGGCTGTGAAGAAGTGGAATGTTGCGGAGATGAGTATCAAAAGGATAGATTTCCTGGTCGTTCTCCTCATGGATTGCATGAAGCTGCTGGGAAAACTGCCTGGACTGCTGCAGATGGCGATGGGAAAACTGCCCCAGGAGCTCAAGGAGCACTCTGGTGGCCTCAAGAAGTGCCTGGAAGACACCAAAGAAGCCCTCAAGAACAAAATCGAGAACATCGAAGGCGCCGTGCTGACAGAATTGGTGGCCGAAAGTGATCAGCACATCCGGCAAGTCACGGACATTCCTCGTCTGTACAGGAAAACCAACAGGGATGTTCCGTCGAAGCCCTGCTCCTACGTGGCACAACTCTTGGCTCCGTCGCAGGCCTTCCGCAAGCGCTATCTCAACGACATCAGCGAGGAGAAGATGCATTTCTACCTCGAGCGTCTCTTCTCCAGACTCACAGAACAGTAAATCACAGCGAAAATTAAATATCTGCCAGATTGTCTAAGAGGGACTTCCTTGTTCTTTCAGATTCCACACTCAGGTGAATGAGGTGCTGACGTCTGTGCAGAAAACCGAGGAGTCGCTCAGGAGGTTGAAGAATCTCCGGGAGAAATCCTCGAGCGCCAGTGTGGCCTCAACAGAGCGTGCCGGGATGACAGATGACGACAAGATTCGTCTGCAGTTGCAGGTGGACGTGATCTCCTGGGTGAACGAAATTGAGAAGTTCTCCCTCAAGAGACACCAGATAGATCGTCTCCCGGACCTGATACGCCTCGTTGAGGAGTCCACGAAGATTCGCACAGAAGAGTAGCGCGCAATTCACAATAGATAGTTTTTCCAATGACAAATAAATGCCTATTCAATTAAATGCCGCCTTTACAATAGTTCAAACTTCGTATTTATTCATGTACTCAAGTTAATAGTAATGGGGGGACTAATTATTCCTCATATTCTTTAAGGTATACAGTATTTCAAATTATAGGTATAACTCAGAAAATACGTCAGTCTTTAATACATATAATAATTCGTTTATGAAGATTGACTCTCTCTCTCTTAGCGGCAACTGAAGTACGAGGAACCGAACTCAAGGCGTCTCAAGCGAACACACAATCATGTCCTGTTATTCACGGAAAAGGCCTCTCGCTTTGGCAGTTATCTTCCTGATGCGCCCGCGACTGCTAATACTGACCGTCTGATCGCCGCCGCTGTCGCTCTCCGCCTCCTCCGCGTGGTGGTTCCGGCGCGTGGGCGAGTAGCTCATGTCGCTCATGAGACGCCTCTTCGTGCGCATCCTCACGCTGGGCGCCTCCGTCGAGTCACTGTCCTCATTGTACTGCAGGCGCCTCAGCTTCCTCGTCCTGCGACTGTACGACGGCCCAGGCGACTGTCAGTCAAGCAAGAGCAAAACAAATCAATCTTCGCATGCCCATCGACAAAATCAATCCATTTATTCAACTTACGGGCTCATCATCTGAAATGTCCCTCTGCGCTGCACTCCTTGTGCTTCTCGATGACGACGCCACGAACATCAGTGGTGTGTTGTCCTCCGGATCTGTCTCATCGCCCGCCGTTGTGGTGTCCTCCTGGCGCATCCTGCCGCGCATCGTTCTCCTAATTGTGCCCGTGGAAGTCGCCCGCGAGACCGTGCTTCCGCCCTCGCCATTCACGTTCGGCCTCACGCGGAGGCGCGACATGGACACGGATGGAATTGGCTGGGTGGCATTGTCATTCTCCTGCTGCGGATCCAACTCATCGGCATTCCGCTGGTGCCTGGACAGCATCGTCACCTGCCTCCTGCGCCTCCCGAGTTCGCCATAATTGTGGTCAATCTCATGTGGCGCCGGCGGCATCGCCAATTGAGTCGACACTTCGGTGGATTGATTCCTGGTAGTGGTGCTGGTGGCAAATCTCCTCCTGAAGCGATTCAACGTTGGATTCCCCGAAGATGACCCATTGATTGACGATGAATCTGCAGCTGAGTCAAATTCACTCAATTAGAGACAGCGTCAAACACACACATTCGTACAAGATTGTGACTCACTGTGAATTCGTGTCGAAGATCGCGTCCTACTGGAGCCCATCGTGCTCTGCTGACTCAGCGGCTGGTCGTCACTGTCAATGTCCTGATCAGGGTCCTCCTGCGGTATCATTCTGCCTCGTCTGGACCTCAGAGATCGGTACGACGAGCGACTATTGCTGGTCTGATTCTGATCAGTGTGACTATTGTCCGAGTCACTTTGCCTCACGCGCACACTTCGACGTCGATATCGTCTCACCTGAGCAGAAAGAAGTCAATGATTAGAGAATGTCCTTCGAATCACTCAACAGCACACTTACCGTGACTTCCTCTTCCTCCACCTCCTCCACATTCACATCGTCCTCATCTTCTTCCTCCTCCTCAGCCATTTCCTCAGAATCCTCATCATCGTCCCGCGGCCACTCGCTCTGCGCCTTCTTGATGCTGCTCCTCGTTGATCTGGTCACTTCGTTGTCTGTGTCCGACTCGAGAACAACGCCCCGCCTGCGCCTGGTCGACTCCAAATGATAGCTGTGGTCAGATTCGTACCTCCCGCGGCGCCGCTGCGTCCTCGGCGACATCTCAGAGTCTTCACTCTCGTCCACCGATCTCTGTGGACGCCTGTTGCTCCGCGTGAAGTGCGAACTCGTGCCCACCTGAGTGCTACCATTCGTTCGGGGCTTCTTCCGCGGCTGCAACGGCTCCTCCTCATCCACACTGTTGCCCTCGTCAAAGCTCTGTTCCTCCTCCGACGGCACACGACGGCTCGTCGACGGCTTAGGTCTCTTCGGACGTCCGCCCTTCTTCGGACTCGCCGTCTGACTGTGCGGCGACGCCTTCTGCTTGCGCTTCCTCTTCTTACCCTGCTTCCGCATCTTCTTCCCCCGCCGATTCGGTTTGTAGCTGTCCTCCGAGTCATAAATCTTCGTCTTCTGACTCGAGCGCTGCTTTGAGCTCACGCCCAGCGCCGACAGTGGGATTCCTGCACTCTCATCACTGTCTCCCTCGTCATTCTCACTCGAACTCGAGCTCGAGCTACTCGACTCAGACGACTCCTCATCGCCATTCAGGTGATTCGTATTCACTCTTCGACTCCTTGACGGTCCAGCCACAGACGAACTTGGACCTGGCACGGGTTCATTCATCGCCGCCGACGACACACCATTCGACAATCCCGTCGGCACTCTCCTCATCACTCTGCCATTGCTGCGCGTCCTCCGCAACTGACTCAAGTCCACGTCATCGTCATCACTGCCATCGGAACTGTTCACCTGCCTTCTGACCGCCGCTCCGCTCGTCGCCCTCGTCAACATCTTCGACGTTCCCGGCTCATTGGGATCCGCAGGCTGGTTTCTCTTGTCCTTCGCATTGTTTCGTCTCCTCGACGCCTTCCAGTTGTACAGAATCTGCTTGATGTGCGTCTCAAACAGCGTGCTCAATCTCAGTGTCATCGAGTAGATCTGCAAAGGAGAAGAGAAGCTCACAGTCAATATGGCACTCGCAAACACAGCACATCGTAATTGACAATAAGAACCCTACTACTCTCCATCACAACACATATTTTGCAGAATGAGAGGACAGTGAGCAAGGTGAAAAGGTGAAAGTCTTATGCAGCATCTCTTACCTGGATATTTTCCTATTTTTGTTCAAAATACACATGAAAGGAAGCATGAATATACAAAAGTGTCGTGTGATTATGACAAAATGAAGACTTTTTTGGGCAATTGCAACAGCAACAATGAAAAACTGTCCTTGCGGTGCTTTTCTTTTTTTTACACACGGACTCATCACACTCACGCTCAACTTTTCTTCACTAGCAAAAAGCTCATAAGACAAGGAGGAAAACTCACCCTTGATCTCTTGTTTGTGTTGTAGTTTCGCGAATTCTGGAAGATCAGACGAATGTCTTTGACAAAGTCCATCGGTGTCTGGTAATTGCCACCACGGAGATCCTCTTGAATTGTCCTCAAATCCATTGGTGTGTCGACAATTTGACTGTAATCGGGATGTTCAATGATATCAACAGGTTCCCGAAAGGGTGTTGAATCATCGCACTGCCAAATCAACTCCAGCAACTCCCGACAATCCGCTCGCCAATCAGTGGGAGCGCCAAGACGCTGAGATCTGCAAGACACACAGAGAGTCATTTAGACAAGAGTTTATCTCCGCACACGCATTGATATTTACCTTCTGGCTCCGGCAGGACGCGTCGGTGCAGAGCTGGTTGAAGGTCTTGGATTCTCCGTGTCTGAATCTGATGACATGTAAGTGTCCATGAGTTGATGATAAACCGCCCCGACGTCGATATCATTCAAATCTCTGCAAAGAACCAACATTGCTACAAACCATCCTTGAATACACGTCAATCATCACTCACCGTATAATTCTCAAACAGAGATCTGTGATTATGCGAGCGTGCTTTACAATATTGCTGTGCGGTTGATTGAACTTCTCAGCATTCGTTGCCAGATATCTCACGTCAAATTGTGCACTAGTGATTCGCCGGTAGAAGTGATTCTCAAATCTCGCCTTGATCGTTGACAAGTCTATTGGATATTCCACCACAAAAGCATAAGCTGGATAGATGTTGAGATCCACTGGCGCCAAGAAGAGATCAGCAATGGCCAGTCCCATCACCTGAAACACAAGCACAGAAGCACAGCATTATGGCATGGCACAAAACATTCCTTAAGAGATAAATATTACCTGCTCCAAGCCCGCAATGATTCTCCGACACGACGCATCACGATCGCCGCGAGGCCACTCCTCCGCCTTGGGCTGATACAGCGTCGCACGCAATTCCTCTGGTAGAACAGGAATTGCTCCGCCAATTTCGTTCGGCATGCGATTCTCATCCACCGGCTCCATATCCCACGGACTCATGTACTCGTACTCGCCATTGTCCCAGCGCACCCTGAAGCACATGAAGAGGGAATTGGGGAAGTCACTCGACAGCGCTGTGCGCGACTCAATCTGCCCAATCCACCATCCATCGTCAATCATGCAGCGGAAGATGTCGCCCGGACACCAGTTCCTCGAGACGGCCGTGTCGAATGTCTGTCGCAGCACCAAGAAGTCCAGCACATCCGGCATGTCATGGTACTTGATCGTGAACGTGCTCCCCGTGAGACTGCCGTCATTCATGATGATGCCCAGCTTCAGACAGCACAGTCTCGGCGGTCGAATCTCATACTTTATCCCAATCACCTTCACCATCTCGTGATCGCGCAGATCAATTTGCTGCCACGGTTCGCAGTTATTGTTCAGCTTGTACACTTTCTTCGCCCGCACGGCATCCAAATATCGCTGATGCCCTTGCCGCAGATACACCACTTCATCGCCCATCTGCGGATAGTACGGCGCTTTCCGCGGAATCACTTCGGACAGCCACTCAGGCGGACGGAAGGATTCTGGTATCTCCGTTCCGTTCTCCGTGGGAATTGGCAACTTCTTCCTTCGTCCCTTCCTCTGCTCACTCTGATCCTCATTCGCCGCCGGCGAGTACGCTCGACGCTCCACGGGCTTCCGCTTGGACCTCTTCGGCGGCACGAGATTCGGTCCAGGCTGGTCGGCAATCCAATCGGAGTAATCTGAGGTCTCTGTCTCCGAACTACTGCTCGCGTCCAGCACCAAATCCTCCTCCACAGCCGTAGAATCGCTGCTATCACCCGACGAGTTACTGGCCGATTCAATGTTATCCGGATCATCTTCCTCCTCCTCCTCCACAATTACCGGCTCGCGCTCTCTCACGGCGCGCGTCCTGTACGCCGGCGGCGGCTGAACCCGACGCGTATTGCGACCTCTTGGCCTTCCCGGTGGATTTGACACAGAAGTGGACAAGTTGGAGGTGTTGATCATCAGCGGTCGACGTCTCATCTCTCGCCTGTACGCGTCCAACTCCTGCATTCCCGCCGTGTGGACACCCTGCTTCAGCGTCTGCAGCTGCGAGTACTTCATGGGTCGAATGTAGACGCGCGACATGAACTTGAAGGCTCCGTCTCTCTGCCAATTACCGCTGCTCTGACGCACACCCTCCACATCTCCACTCCGGCGCAATCCCACGCGATTCAGCACCACGGACGCCGCTCGCGGAGAGTTCATGGGCCGATTGTTGGCTTGCACATTCTCACGCTCATTGTTCACCTCCGCAGCCTGATCCTGATTCGCGGGTCCCTGGCGATTCGCCAATGCCTCAATCAGGCGATCAATATCCGACCGAATGCCGTCACCCATCACTTCCACTGCTCCATCGCCGCCCACACCAATGTTGGGAATCAGCTGATCCGTGGGGCAATTCTCTCTGCCCGGCACGAGTCTCTGCAACGTCGGATGGTGAGGATTCCCATCCACATCCACCAGGAATGGCGGTGGCATGAGATGCGGCATTGTTTGCGTCTGTTCATCCATGACATGGTGATGAACATCCCTCACGAGAGGACGATAGTCTGTGTGGAAGAACAGTTCAGTGGGAAGAATTTTGAGTCTCTCATGGCCAGAGCCGAAGCCAAACATCAGGATGTGCCCATGAGAATCCGTGGCGGCAATCATCGTGCCATCCGGTGACCATTTGGCATCGAAGACACCACCATGTCCCTGTCCTTCGATGTGATTCACAAAGCTGGCGATCGATTCACCCTTGTAGATATCCCAGAGGAAGATCTGTCCATCATGTCCAGCCGAGAGCAGTACATGAGCATCTTTCGGATGACTCTCCAGCACGTACAACTCATCCGAATGTCCGCGCAGGACTTTATGCAGCTTTCCCGTCTTCGCGTGCCACACTTTGATCGTGAAATCATTCACTGCCGTCATCACCCAATTATCTGAGAAATCCCATGACACCATTGTCACCTTTATCTTCTTCCCGTCATCCTCTGGCTCGGGACACGAAGGCAGTCTGTCCGTCATGCTCAGCTTTAGCGATTTCCACTGCTGAGATTCAAAGTGCCACACATGAGCCGTTCCATCCTTGCTGCCCGAAATGAATCTCAGGCCATTGTGCGCCCACTGAATGGAGTCAACTGTGTCACTGTGTGACTCTGTCTCCAGGATACGCTTCGGCCCGTCCTCCGACATAAGATACACCCGCACATAGTGATCTGCAGATCCGGCCGCCAGAAACATTCCGCCAGGCGAGAATGCCGCGCATATCATCTGTGCCTGTCCAGGACGCAACTTCTCGTGATACTGAATGGGTTTGGGCGCGAATGCCGTCTTGCTGCGCTGAATTGTGAATTGCCAGAAGGCCACAGAGCCATCAGTGCTCGTGGTGACCAAATAGCGCAAATCTCCGCGTGGCGACGGACAGAAGTTCACCGAAGTTATCATTCCCGTGTGGCTGGTGAGTACGGCAATTGGCGCTGTGGTCTGCAGATCCCACACGCGCAGTATCCTGTCCAGAGATCCTGCCGCCAGGAGTGTGTTATCCAAGTTGATGGCGATGTCTGTGATCTCCGCCGACGCACCGCGGAAAGTGGCCAGCAATCGCCCATCAATGGCACTCCACAGCTTCACCAGTAGATCATCAGCGCCCGTGAGGATGTACTTGCCAGACCTGTCGAACAGCACGCAGTATACGGCCGACAAATGTCCGAGTGTGCGTCGCAGGAGAGATTGCTTCTCATAGAATTCCGGCTGAATGGCCAGACGCCGAATGATCGGACCCGCTTGCTCCCTTCCGTGCAGCACGCGCACGATGTTGTACGAGTTCTTGCGGTTGATGGCATCCGGCAGAGGCATCCCGTGCAGCCTCGTGCAGTACTCCAGAATGCCACGCGGCCGTGAGATGGTCTCTGATGTCCTCAGGAGACTCTGTCGCCCAGCGCCGAGCAGAGACAGGATGTTCTGCACACTCGGACATAATTCCTTGTCCAAAATCGGTCCAATGCGAGCACAAATATCCAGCAAATGATTCGGTCCAATGTGTGAATATTTCTTCTCCTGAAATAACAGCCATAGACAACATGTTTTTTTTTTAGTTTCTCAGGAACAAACAACATAACATCATAACTCTGTCTCTCGCTCCTCTCGCAAAAATATAGCACGTAAATATAGCGAAAATTCTCGAGTTCAAGAACCTCTTCGGCGCTTTCATTGGGCATAAGACCTCCCTGAGAATGCATCGGGGAAATATAGTGTAGGTTTCCCTGCACAAATAGTCATTCAATATCTCTCTCAGCTCAAATTTCATATTTATGCACAACATTTTATTCAGAGTTTCGTGCTTCTCCTCACAAATGCTCTTTTATGCTGCTGATATTGAGGTGAAAAGTGAACCCCAGTCACCGGCCGACCAACACCATCGCATGCCAGCGCTCTACATCGCACCCGAAGGGCTTCGGCTCTCGCCCAAGCGCACTAAAGCGTCGCTTCGGCTCGCCTTCGGCACTGTTTTCTGTTTCATCAGGGGCACGTCATGGCAAATAGAGAAGCTCACTGCCACAGAAACCCGGAAACACCGCAATAAGTTAGGCGGAAATCAAAGTAAAACTGAAGATCTTCACAATGAAAAATCCCGCATTTCTTGCTTCTATCTCTCCTTTCAGTCGCTCAGAGGCTTTAAAATCTCTAGCGAGTGCCTGATTTGCGGAATGACGCACCCCATTGGCTTCACACTTTTCGATTCTCTGTTCCTCTTGTGTTCGTGTGTGTGTGTAAACTCCGAGTTTGCCTGCGCCTGTGTTGGTCTGGTATGAGTAATAAAAGCGACGAGAGAGAGATACAAAAATGGTTGGCTCAATTTCATGTTTTTCACCCGTGCAAGCGCGGGGAGGAGCCTCAAAAAGCATTAAAAATTTTTATCCACTTTCACCCCCAAAAAATTTATCACAGTTTTTGGGGAGTTTTTCCACTTGAGAAATGCACTCGGCCAAAAAGGCGTGCAAAAGTGCCACAAATTGCGGGCAAACAGACACAAGAGGGTCTTGGGGGATGCTGGAGGAAGCACCTGGGGGTGCAAATTGAGATCGGTGCACTTTTGTGCAGCTGGCGAAGAGATTCATCGGCAGTCCCGTGATCGCAAAGCCACCTCAGCACTCGAAATATGGCGGCTGACCTTCAAATACACTCTACAGCTCGCGAGATGGCTGAGCAGCAACCAGTGGCCCGTGGGGAGAGTCCGGGCAGTACTGCCGGGGGTGGGCGATTGCCCAAGAGGCAGTGAAGGCGATTCACTTGGGATTTCATCAGACGCTCGCCCTTCGAGTCAGCGCGAGAGCGTCAGTGCGGAGAAAGCAGTGCCGACGCCTCGAAACTTGCCAAGAGGATTTCCCGGCGGATTCTCGAGACAGCGCTAATGCATTTGGGCAGTGGGTGAGGGAATGCCGGAAGCGATGAGACACTGGCGTTCGGCGGGCGGTGTTGGGAAGACAAGTGGGAGAAATTCTGCCCTGACTCGCGCAGACCAACATGGCCGCTTGGGCTCGTCGAGGTGCGGAATGTCGGTGGAGACAAAGGAAGCCCCCGGAGGTGGGAATGTGGGCAGGAAGTGGGAGATACGACCACTTTCCCTGGCCATTTGGGCAACTCCTGGGGTGCGAGTGCGGAGAAATGTCGCCGCGGTGGCGACACATCGCGAGAGGAGGAGAGAACAATGACAAGACTTTTACTCACCAATTCCGCAAAGGTCTGGTCGTGCTCCTGGCCAGTCCAGTCAATCCTCTTGGGCAGAATCTGGAAAGACACACGAGACACTCAATCACCCGCCACAAGTCAGAAGCACCGGGAAGTGGCGCCAGAGGCTGGCGAACCTCCCGCCAAGTTGAGGCCAGAAGTGGGCCTGATTTGCACACAATTTTTCCCGGATAATTTTCCACGAAAAAGTGCATTGTGTCACAGTTTGACAGCTAAGGAGCACGTGCAAAACATGTGAGATGCTCAATCTAACAACAATATTTTGATCCGACGATCCCCACAATGAAATAAATACAGAAAACCATACACAAAACCTCCTCAGTCGCCCAAAGGCCAAAGCACTCACCTTATGGCGTTCCAATTCTTGCACCAAGACCTGCAACAGAGAGGACAAATTTAGCACTTTCACGCACTCCAACCACCCCCCACGGCATCCCTGTACCTTCTTAGTGTCCTGCAGAGGACTCACGGAGAGGAATTTCGAGATTAAAAAGTACAATTCTGCAATAACAAAAACACACGGCATATTGAAAAGTGTTCCATTGAATGGAGTTTGATGGCAAGGCTGGCTGCCTCACCGAGCGACTTTTCGTCCCATTTTCACCCACTTGCACCCACTCTACCCACCTGGTGTCAAGATTGACTTCTTCACTGACTCATGGTTATCCATTTTCACAGTTTTTCACACCACCATACGCCTATAAACTAGCGAAAAATATCAAAATCTTCACCCGCTATTCACCATTTCGATAGCTCTGCGCTTACTATACTAGCGCCACTCTCGCCGACACGACGAACTCTGTGCCCAGGCGGCGCACCAGCGCCCCTGGTGACAGCGCCCATGAATTCTGTGCCCACGCCTGCAGCGCCTCTAGTGGTGCCACTTTCCCATTGGGCTGCGTATCTGCAGTAATCACATGCGCCGGACTTTGTCGCGGTTTCGCATCCAGCTCGACAGTGGAAAATTGTGAAAAACTCGCCCATCCGGTGACTGTGACTGCCCAGTATCCGCCTCCCAGTGTTCCAGGGGCAGTGTCCCGCGCTCAGGCCACACAGTGAGCACCCCAGCGGCCGAAGGTGAGGTCTGGCGATGACCCGGAGATGGGATTAGTGATGCAAGCTCTCTCGTTTCAGTGCAATGTCATGGGTCAGCGACACAAAACTGCCCTGGTGGCAGCGACTAGCCGTGCGGGTGGTGCGAGTGGGCAAGATTCCGCACCACATCGCCTTCATCATGGACGGCAACAGGCGCTTCGCCAAAAAGATCCAGGTGGAGAAGGCTGAAGGACACTCGCGGGGTTTCGAGAGGCTCTCCGAGGTGCTGCGGTGGTGTCTGGATCTGGGCGTGAAGGAGGTCACTGTGTACGCTTTCAGCATAGAGAACTTCAAGCGCAGCAAAGAGGAAGTGGACGCCCTTCTCGATCTGGCCAGTGAGAAGTTCGACAGGTTGATAGAGGAAGAGGACAAGCTGCACGAGAACGGCATCTGCATCCGCATCATCGGCAACATGGAAATGCTGCCCCTGGCGCTGCAGCAGAAGATCGCGCGCGCAATGTATGTGACCAGGATGAACAGCAAGGCCATCCTGAACGTGGCGTTCGCGTACACGAGCAGGGACGAGATCGCTCACTCCGTGAGGACCATCACGGAGGGCGTGTCCGACAGCGTCCTGGACCAAGACACCATCAGTGACGAGCTCATCAACAGATGCCTGCACACCAAGCTGTCCTCGGATCCGGACCTGCTCATCCGGACGTCCGGCGAAACGAGACTCAGTGATTTTTTGCTCTGGCAGGTGATTATGCCTTTTTTTTACTGACAAAGCTGTGATTCTGTCGCTAGACAACTATTTTGCGTGCCTTGATTTAAGTGAAAAAGAAGTTAGACAAGAGTAGTGATATTTCTATAAATGGGTGGGGCTTGAAAATGGGAGGAGTTTCTAATTTGGATTCTGCCTTTGTATTTAATGTGAAAATGTGAGAAAAGCATGGAAATTTACAGTGAAAACAATTTCGGCGGGCTTCACCCAGCTGTAATGAAGGAAAAATGAAGCATTTTAAGTAGTTTTAAGTGAGTTTCATGCGTCAATCGTTTTTATATCAAGAAAAAGTCGTTACAAATAACTTGTGCAATGAAAAACTAACATTTAGTCTAATTAGAAGTTTTTTTTGGTAAAACCTCTCTTAGAATTTTTAAATGACAAGTGTTTTATCAAACAACTCAATTTGGGAATTACAGAGCAAAACAATTGGATAGAGCATCAAATTTTTAATTTACTAATCATTTGCGGTCTCTCAAATGCTTTGAAGGTTCTTGAACCCGCTGCAATGATGAGGCGGAATTCATAAGTTGCCCTTTGACTCTCTTTCTCAATGTGAATGCTAAGAATGTGAGAAATTTCTCTATCTGCTCACATGATTGCAATATCTGTTCAGAGATTCAATGTCAGTGTGATTCGTGCTAATTTGATGCTATTTTTATCGCTCTTTCAGGTATCGTCTACAATTCTCTACTTCACGAAAATCCTCTGGCCGGAAATCACCATCTGGCACCTGCTCAGCGGCATTGTGCAGTATCAGCGGTGGTACTATCGCATGCAGGCGCCGCAGAAGTTCGTGCGGGCGCCGGAGAAGGACGCCCGGGAGCAGATTGAGCACTTCGTGAGCGATGTGGACAGCAGGCATTGGAGGCGCATGCAAGAGCTCATGGTGCAGGCCGATGCATCGCGTGTCCACGGTGATAACACCACTGAACTCCATCATAGCTTATAGTAGAAGGAGCGCGTTAAGTAATACTGTACATAATAGATAAGGAAATTGTCTTGTCAAAACCCCTTATTTCACTTTGATAATTCGGAATTATCAATGAAGCCGAGAGAGAAACATTCCACACAAAAGTCAAAAGTGCATAGAGGGACTTTATTGAAAATGTGGGAAAAGAGAGTGATGAAGCGTAATGTAAAAGCTCTAGAGCGCGATTAATAGAACAAATCAGCCTCACTGAATCCTATATTTTGTGAAAAGGAAGAGAGTCAAGATTCTCCTGTGAATAAAGAGAGGAATGTATAAAGAGAGCGTGTTATGACTTGAAGCAGTAGCTGTACGAATCTGCGGAGGACTTCGACTCAGGATTGCACAAGCCGCACACTTTGCTCCGCAAGTTAAATGATGTGCTCATCTGCAGGAGGTTTTTGCGATCAAATTGAAGGCCCTTGAAGAAAACGCCGTCGCTTATCTCCAGAATATCTTCCGGAGTCACGTGAATCCTACAAAACACACAATCGTGAGAAATTGTATTTGAATTGAGTGCGATTGAGTGTCTCACCAGAGATGCTTCGTTGCGTGATTCTCTCGGGTCAGAGTGAGATTCCTGATGGGCATTCGTAGATCTCCGCCCGTCACGAGCGGATTGTTCACGACCACGTGCTCGGGATCGTCCGGCGAGTAGGCGACACTGGTCTGACCAACGAAATACTTTATGGCAAACTTCTCAGCCAATCCTGATCCGGCGATGGGCTGCAGGAAGACAGCGAAGCTCGTCTTAGACGTGCAATCGGCAGCCAGGAGTAGAGCGCAAGGCTTCTTGTTGCGCTCCACAATCATCTTGCTGAGCTCCACTTGACTCTCCGCGAACGTGTGCAACGTCCCACCGGCCACGCTGCACGTCTTGTAGATGCCGTAAGTAATGAGCCTCGTGTCCCACTGATTGTACTTGATGTCGTTGGTGTTCCGGTAGAAAGGCGAGAAGTGCGCCAGGGAGCCCAGATGCGCGCCATTCACGTCCACTTTGACTGTCTGACCGCGTGCCGGCGGCATCGTCACCTTCACGTCCATTCCCTTCGCCCATTCCTTGGTGCTGGTGTCCGGGTAGGACATGAATGTGGAGTAGAGATGCTGCAGCCGCGCCACTCCGTCGTTGTACCAGGAAGGCATCTGAGAATCAGAAACAACATTGAGCATATTTCCAGTCTTGAAATTACGATAATTCTCACTCTGTTTGGCTTGATCTGCAGCGACAGATCCGTTATCTTCGTGAATGGCGAGAAGCGATCTTTGCACTGCAGCAACAGCATCGGCGGCGTGAATTTGACAAGATTCCCAGGACATTGCTCATCATTCTGCAGCGCTTGCAGGCTCTTCTTCGTGCTATCATCCACATCGAATGACCCGGTAACGGAGATCACAGACTTGTTCTGCGGACAGCGACTCTTCGAGCCTTCAGTAATCTGGCCAAAAGTCGCAGTCGTCTTAAAACTGCCCGGCGATTGGGCGTAAACCAGAGGAACGTAGTAGCCTTCGAGACAGAGCTGAAATAAAATCGAGTGAAAATTTTCTCGTGAGACAAATTCATCATGACTACGGTAAGAATTTTTGGCAATTCCTCAGCCTCAGAAGTAATTCCAATTGGTTATTCTTGCAGCTGAAAGAGAAACGCGATGCCTTCCGTCAGTATCTGGAGGAATGCGGAATAATTGGCTTTCTCACTCGCGCCTTGACGCGTCTCTATGAGATGAAGGAGCGTCCTGAAGATGGGATTGAGTTTCTGAAGCAGATGCTGGAGGCGTATGATAAAACACAACAAGAGAATGTCGCTATACTTTCTACTCCTCAATGCAAAGAGTCCTCTCCTCTGTTGGCCACTCAGGAGAAGAAGGAAGAAGCATTGCAGACTGTGAAACCTATTCCATCAAAGAACATTGAGATCAACAGCACTCCAGAAATTTCAGGTCAAGTGAAGAAGCAAGAAGAAGACATTCTCCCTCCAAAAGATACAGATTACAAAACTAACATTGTGCAGGAGAAGAAGGAAGAATCACCGGCAGCGGTCGATGATTCTAAGACCTCTGTTGAGAACAGCAAAAGCAGCACTGTTCCAGAAGCTTCTAGCAAGGTGAAGGAGAGAGAAAGTGCCATTGATCTCACGGAGGAGAAGGAAAAGGAAGCGAATTCTGCTGATAATATGCGAGAGTCTTCACACAAATCAATTTTGGAGAGCGCCATCAGTCGCCACAAAGAGATTCCTGCTCCAACTCATGCTCCAGAACATAGAGATTGGAGTCACAAGCCGAATGAGACTTCAAGCAAACAAATATCTCAGGAATACGCGCACTCAGGCCAATCTACAAGGTCACACATTTCTGCCCAGCAAGCAGAGGTCAAGGATACCGCTCATTCGGATGATTCCTTTGAATCCGCAAAAGGACCGACAAAAGAATTCGTTTTGTAAACTCACCCGCCAATCCTGCAAGTTGGAGATGCGCGTCAAGGATGCCTGAATTGTGTGCTTCCCCGTGCTCTTGGTCGTCATCAGCCTGACCACGGCGCTCCATCTGTGCGTTGGCGTGGCATTTCGATTCACCAAATCGCTCGTGTGCATTAACTCCATGTTCAAATTCTTGGCAAATAAATCGGGATTCCCATCATCGTGGTTAAGATTCAGTGTCAGGAGGATCTTGGAGTCCTGTTCATTCTTCACCAGCCACTTTATGTTTTTGTAATTTCCCAAATGAGTGGTGATCACTTGCAGGATATTTGCCGTCTGCAGAGCTTGACCAGCAAATTGGGGCACATTTCCATTCTCCGGCGAAAGGATGTTCGTGAAGTCAAACATGCTCGGCACGATTTTCTTCATTCCCACCGACACTTGCATCCTCGTGCCCAGATCCGCGATGTCCCAGTCCAGAACAGACACAGATTTGTCATCCTCAGACTCCACGAACACAAACGGATTGGCGGGCTTCGTGTCTGTGTCCAGCAAGAGGAATTCCCTGATGTTGACACTGATCCTCGATTTGAGGGCGAAGCCGCTGGTTGTTTGCTTTGGGCGGATGAAGCTGATGGACATCCCGCCGGTGACCATGTTCAGACTGAGTTCGCTGTTAATGGGCTTGAATCCCAAGAAGCCCTGATCCTGCTGCACTTGATGCTCATAGTTCAGGAAGGGATTGTAGCTTCGCGACAAGCAAGTGGAGTAAGACGAATATCTCATGTCGATCTGGTGATTTCTCATCGTGGAGCTCATGTGGTTGGGAAAGGTGATGTTGCCTCGCACCGCTGTGGCCACTGTGCTCTCAATCACAACCTCAGCCGGCGTGCCAAGAACCGTCGGCACTGAGTATCTGTTCATGAAAGGCCATCTGATAGTCTGCATATTGATGTGCGTCTCACCCATGATGAGTGTCTGCAACCTAGTGATGACTGGAGAGACAAGAAAATGTTGGCAACACTCTGAAGAGGCCATGAATTCGTCAGATACTCACTGTCTCCCTCCGTGATGTTCATAATTGTGGTTTGATTGATGTAGTAAGAAAGCACTGCTTTTCCCTCCACATTCAGCACGAATTCCAGATGCAGCGGAGTTTGTGGCACTGGATGAAGTCTCATGCCATTCAGAATGCTCCGCAGGCCATCAATCTCCTCAATCGGAAGGGCGATCTTCTCTATCAACTCAGCCAAGCCGCGGATTTTGACGAAAACCTGCGATTTCATCTTCAGTCATTCTGCGAATCCTCAACCTACTATTAACTTACAGAGAATTTCCCAGTATACTTTCTCAGTGATTCTGTATCCAGACGCAGATAAACCACCTCGGGAATGTCAGTCTTATCGTCAGCAATCAGGAGAGACTGAATTCCAATGCCAATAGCTGACTGATGAACTGTTCCGTCCATGTAATTTCCTGTCCAGTATTTCTTAGTCGATTCCAGCGGAAGATGGCGAGAGAGGAATCCCATCATGTCCTTCCTGCGTAGCACCAAAAATTAGCCATCAATTCATTGAGAAATTACTTCTCCTTACATGTTTTCGTAGCACGGATGCGTGGTTTTCTTGAGTCCCAAGATTGTCGTTCTGTAGAAATTCCTCAAGTGTGGACAATTGTCGGACAGCATATACTCGTGGATGCTCATGAGACGTGCTGGAGAGGGTTTGGACATGAGGAGTTGCATTAGAGCCGCCACTCGTAGCTGCAGCGGAGCGTCTCTGGACTCCAAGATTGGCCAGTACAGCTCATAAGTCTTCTCCGGTCGCACATGTGCCAATGACAGCGTCGACCAGATTGCCAGGAAGCGAATGTCTGTATTCTGAGGGTAATCTCCCTTGACAATGGGCTCCAGATACTCCACAACATTGCCCAATTCCAGGTTGGTCAGGGCCAAGAGGTACAGCATCTGCTGCTCATAGTCTGGACTGTCTGCAAAATGACACCAAATCCCCATTAAACAGAGGAATTCTGCCAATTTCTTCATACTCACTGAAGAAGAGATCAAAGTACTTCTTCACGTATCGTTCAAAGACATCCACAGTCATCTTCCCGCCCACGAAAGTGTGATGAATGAGTGTGGCGTAGCTCAGCACTGCCGCTTGCTTCACATCTGGGCGATCAGAGCCGAGAGACAGGAGGATTTCGCACTCCCGCGCGAGATCCTGACTCATCTCGTCAATGTGAAAGGGCAGCGCCATGAGGAGCTGCACAGCTGTTGTTGGCTTCACGCTCTTCTTCACCACGAGATCACGTGTGAGGAGGACAGAAGCTCTGGTGCCCACGCGCGACACGAACTCAAAGAAGAGATTCCTGATCGTCTCCTGGCGATACGATGTGCCGATGTCGATTTCCTTGAACAGCTTCTCCAGCGCCTCGAATTCCATGAAGCCAATCACACGGAAAGTCTCTGCCACATGACTGTCGATGGGATCTTCGAAGTCCACCTCAGCGGCGTCCAGTGCATCGGTGAGGTAGTTGAGGAGATAGACAACCTGACGAATCTGGTGATCATCCGTGGCGGTGTTTCTGCCGGCAGTGGGATCTTTGTTGTGATTCACGTACTCGAGCGACGTGAGGAGGAGTTTGTCCACATCCAGAGACACTTCCTTGGGATGCATTCGCTCCTTCACAAAGTTCACTTCGAGCCTGGAAGAAAATCAACGTCAACACACTCACAAATTGCCCCGAGGAATGTTGTGCACTCACTCTGAATTTATGTACTGTGCAGATCCTGTGGACTCGAAGATATTCACCAGCGTGACGCCCTTCATGGTGGCTTTGGACACAAACACACCCGAATTCTTGTTGGGCCGGAGCTCGTACGATCCCTCATTGCTCACCACAACCTTGCGCTCAGTCTTGTCCAGGCACGGCACGTTCGGCACATTGATCCTGGAATGGTGGATTCCCTTGCCGTGCGGCGAGCAGGAGTTCAAGTCCACCGTCTTGCGCACCTGCCAGTGCGTCGTGCGATTCGTGACGAGATAGCTGGTGCTGCAGAAGCCATGCAAGCCACCCTCGTTCATGGTGAAGAGGCCACTCTTCTCCACCTGCAGCTGAAATGTGGACGCAAAGGCGCGTTTGAAATTCGACGTCCATGCTTTCTCCTTTGCATTCACGGCCACATAGTTGATAGCACCATTGTTGGCAATGATTATCTTAAACGGTGCCCGCAATTCGTCCGACATCCACATTCGCTTGGGGTCAGCGTGTTTTGGCGGGAAGATATTCACTTCTCCATGTGGCGTAATCTGCGAAAAAGAATGCCTCAATTCAGCCACAAGTGCCTATCGCCAGTGAATGCGTGTTGTTGGATCAAGTGAAACACTCTTTCAGATTAGGAGCTGCGCGCCGAGAGGAAATCGCATTATCAAAATGGAAATATTTCCTATCACACCAATTCACTCGATGCCACACACTGCCCGAGACACTGGCGATGGAGGAAATCACACGAACATACCCAGGCCGCCAGAGTTGTGGAGTCGATTCTCTGCATCTGGAAGAGTCCAGTGATGCGCCACCAAGTCGGATTGGCATTGTGATCACTGTTGCTCTCTCTGGCACCAACTTGGACGCTTCCTGTGAAGTTGTACACGTACACTCTGTTCGGCTGGAACAAGTTGAATGCCTCAGACCATCCCAGATGCGAAATATCTGCAAAAGCAGCACAGAAGTCACACAGAAATCCCACCACTGACCATCCATTGCGTCCGCCTTACAAATAAACAATAAATAATTGAGGCGAGAAGAGGCCATGTCCTCACTCTCTGCACTTGTGCACAGAACTAAATCACTCACTAGGAATTTTCAAGCTCACTTCCCGTCAACGGACACACACAGACTGAGTGAAGGCATTCACGAAATTCCACTCCCGAGCACACAATATTCCTTCACTCTCACCCAGTACAATGGAACACGTGATAAGCTGTTGAATTTCGTGATAAATCTGGGGAAAAAGGCTATCGCCCCATTTGAACCTTTCAGCAGAAATCAACTGACTGTCTTCTCTCTTTTTGCTTCCTCAACGCGTCATGCAATATTCTCAATAATCTCTCTGGCTGTACTCTTGCACTTGAATCTGTGGTCGTGCGATACTTCCACTGTCCGATAAGCAGCATCTTCACATTCTGGCCAAGGCACAGATTGTAAATACATTTGCACACATTTCCCACAGTCGCCATACAGTCTCGATGGATCCATCTCTGGCTTCAATTGACGTCAACCAAATCATCAGGGCTTTAACTTAGTCTCAAAAGAGTGTGTTTAATGCCTTTTTTGCGCTATCTCTCAATACAATCTTGGGAAAAATTTGTATTACTGCAAACCCAACTAAAAATATGGACAAAACACTTCCCTTTACTCTCTTTTCGGACTCTTATCACCACCACTTCTTCTTCTCTTTCCCCTTCTGTCTCTTTAAAGTGTTGCATGAAGACTACTGAGAATTTTTACAATCTTCTCCAAGGAATCCCTGCAAGCAAAAAAAACACAGTCGCGTTAGTTCAATAAATATTACACCCTGTAAGTAATCACACTCACAAGTGAATTGGATTCCTCTTGTCCAGCTGATTGGCCACCAGTTTGAGGAATTGCACAAACATCTCGATGCTGGGATTGAAGTCACTGCTCTGCGACTGGAGCCACGCTCTCGGCAGTGTGTACACAATCACGTGCGCCTTCGCGATAGCGTCTGCCGGTGAGCAGACACGCATAGCGGACAGTAAATAGCGATTAAGGAGTGACAAGATTGCCACCTCGCGCAGTGACGCGTCTGATAAGATGCCTTGCCAGCTCAGGATGTTCCTGAACAACTTCAGTCCACTGCAGAATTGGCGCTGGAAGAATGACGTTCGTGCATCTTGCGACCTGCAATAAATCAAAAAGAAATCAAGTTTAGTATTTTTCTGAGAGAGAAAAGTAAAACAATTGTCTTCAATCACTCACTGCTTGGGGAAGATCGGGATGAAGACATCGTTATCCAGAGAGGCTTTGATCTTCTCCAGAATAGCATTGAACATCGTTGTCAATGGCTTCGAACATGGCCTCAGAGACGGATATTCTTGATACAGACGATTGATGAATCCCACAAGTCGTAATGTTTGTGATGTTGACATTGGATCCCAGCAAGTTTCAATTTGTTCTGCAACAAGAATCGCATTATGTAAAGTATTTCCTCATAATCAGTGCGAAATCTACAGTGTGTGTCGTAAAGGCACGCTCTCCTCAAATAAAGCATATACAGAGACCGAGCGCGGGTGATAAGAGTGCGTCAAATTCTCATCACTTTATTGTGCATCATCTCACAATAAAGATGAGACAAGGGAATGGGGAACATTTTTCAACTCATCACCCAACAGTGACCATCAAACATTCATCAAATATAGTTGGACTTATTCTGCAGTTCGCACGCGACAATGTTCACTCTGCACACAATTCTAATCATTTTCGTGTTAATAGCCGCCAAACGGGTGGAATCACAAAATATCACAATTACACCAAGTAATGCTACCACCATAATTGTGTTCAATATTAATCGACCTCTTGTGCTCTCGTGCAATTTAACGCTCCCGGAGATTAATGCGACTCAGCAGATCAAGTGGTACAAAAATGGCACAGCTGTGGAGGAGTTAGAGGAGCTGCAGGATCGCCACCAGGTCATTCCCGATGAGCAGCTGCTAATCATCGAGCGCAGCCATCTGGAGGATCACGGCGAGTACACGTGTTCTCTCAACACCACCCTCGATGTCCTGGAACAATCCTTCACCGCCGTGGCGAACGTCGCGGCCAGACTCACGAAGAACACCCAATTGATCGAGGGCGAGAATCTCTGGCTGCACTGTCGCGTCACAGGAACCGATCCCGTCGTGCACTGGCTCCTCCCGGACGGCCAGACGCTCATCACCAACTCCACAGAGCGCATCCAGCTCTTCGAGATGGATGGCGTGCCCAATTCCGCACTGGAGATCCTCGACATCCGCCTGGACGAGAGGGGAAACTACTCATGCATAGTGAGCAACCTGGGCGAGGGATTCCAGGGCTATGAGCCGGCAGCGGCGTATGGAATGGTGAGAGTGCGGTCGCACTTGGCCCCCCTGTGGCCAGTGTGCGGCATGGCAGTGGAATTCTTCGTTCTCTTCGTCATTCTCTATCTGTACGAGAAGTACCGCGACCCCGAAGATGTCGATGACGACAGTGTGTGTGACATGCCGCAGCGCAAGAGGGATTAGAGAATCATGTGTATCAGAGAGCAAGACAGAATAAATTAATGGAATTTCATTGCAACATTTTCCTCCCAGTTCAGCAAGAAATATCTGGGCCAAAATCACAGTATCTCAAAGTGAGAGGAATGCGACACGCTATTGTCGCTTTTATGAGCGCATCATAAAACATCTCCAAGATAAATGTGAACCTTGAGTTGCTAAAAGTACAGCAGAATGACATATTGAGGGAAACGAAATGCTTAAAATTGCAGAGTTAAATTATTTTGAGACTTGTAATATGAAAAAGGGGCGGGGCAATCAAAGGGGCGTGGTGTGTAGAATCTATTCTTCGCTCTCCATCATTGAATGACTAATATTGCAGAGATCTGCAGAAATTTGTCAATTTATCTACAAGACTACAAAGAAACCACGAACGTTCTCACAAAAATGTCCAATTTGCCATGTTTCGTGATAAATTGGATTCAAGATCACCTCATAATATAAAAATAGACGATGTAAGACGATGAAAAGACACTGAAGAAACAAGTACAAATATTTCGAGTAGAAAATATCCATCTAGAACTAGTATTAAATGAATTCTTGGCAACCTTGTTGACCTCAAAGACTTAAAAAAAAATCCAGAAATTCCACAATCTCATACATCGTAAGCTGTACTCACCCGTGAGTTTGGGCAGGATGATTTTCTCTACGAGCACCGGCACTAGCGTCACGTCTGGATCAATGGACAGCGACTCCTCTGTCTCACTCTCCGCGTACGAATACATCATGCAGGCAGCAAACCAGGGACTCTTCTCAATGTCCGGACAGTGATCAGAAAGTGGATTCCATGTGATCATTTGCAGACGGATGAATTGACCGATGATCTTGGGCAGACACAGACTCACGTACGCATCTCTGTACGCCGCCGTGTCAGTGCTCTTCCACGCTTGGAATTTGTTAAGAATCTCTCGGATCTGGCAAAACTCGTCCGCCACATCCGAGAAGAGCATCTCCGCCTCACTCTTTAGCAGCTCCAGCTGCGCCAGATACTGACTCAGGTCATGATCCGAGATCTCATCATCGCTCGACATCCCGTTCAAGTGGCTCTCGTTCATGTTGCTCCGCTCGCGATCCCTCCGACGCCTCGTCCTTCGTCCTTCCCGCTCGGCTGCACGTCGAATGTGCTCCTCATCCTCACCCTTTCGGCTGCTCCCAGGCTCTGAAAAGCGTGCCTCGTTAATTAAACGAACTTTGTCACGCAAGCAATTAGTACACTCACTCGAGGAGTCGGATATTTCCTTCGCCTGGTCACGAATATCCTGCCGACGCCGCTCAATCAAGTTATTTGCATGCTTCGCCATCAGGACAATTGCCCTCTTCTCCAGCTCCACAATCAACGGCACCTGTCCAGAGAAATCAAGCCAATTAGCCCATGGCAGTGGCAGACATCGTATTGCTCGACACGGGAGGTGCATGTGATAGAAAATGGGCGGTAAAATTCACAATTAAGGGCAAGAGAGAAAGAGAAAGAGAGAGAGAGAACAAAGATATATCGTCCAAGACCAGTACTGAGTGAGAAAATATTACCTTTTCGTCTAAGCATTCAACCAAGTCTGAGACATACCCACGTAATTCTTGATAGAATCGATATTTGGCAGCTGCAACGGGCGCTTTCTGTTCGCAGTCAATCGCCTCAATCTTCATCTCTTTCATCTCCAAGCTCATCTCCTCAATCTCCCGCTTGTGCTTGCCACTGAGATCAGACACTTGCGTCAGTCTCTCGCGCACCTTCTGCAGGATCTCTTGTGGCATTCGCGGCCCACTCGACTTGCTCTCCGCCTTTGCCGTGGACGAGAGCATCTGCTTGGGCTTCTCCAGGCAATTGCGAGCGTACGCCTGCTCCAGAAGCGCCCCAGTGGAGAGACTCTGCTGGCTTCCCACCACACTGGCCGGCTGAATCATGTACTGCGATAAGACGGCCTCACTGTGTGCCAGAGCCAGCTGTGTCCCCGTCACGCCCTTGCGGATCTGCTGGTTCTCCCACTCATTCATCTCCAGATCCGAGTCGTCGGACAACTCTTGCTGAACAGAGTAGAATTTCTCACGGCGCTCCTCGCGCTCCTTCGCACCCGTGATTGCGGACATATCGATGCGCTCCTCCTCTTCAGAGCCATCGTCATCCGGATTCTCCTCTGTCCGGCGTGGCTTGACTTCTTCCGGTTTCTCCTCAACGGGAATTAATTCACCTAGAAGACAGATAAACACTCTCTTTAGATGAACAATCACCCCATTTGATGTCGTGTGTGCATTCTTACCCAATTCTCTGGCCTTTTGCCTCCTCTTCCTGGCCGCATGGATCATGGCAGCATCAGGAATCTTGCCACTCTCCAGCACCTTCTTAAAGTTGTCCAGCGGAGTGAATTTGTGGTTGCCTGGCTGCGACTCCTTCTTGTCCTTCTCGTTCGACTCCTCGTCCGAGGACATGTCATCGCGGCCTGCACAGAGAGCCGCGCGACCGTTCAGCACCACACTCTCAGGCTCCGACTTCTTAATGACGAGCTGCGGGACGAGAAAAGGGGAAGAATAATGTTAAACCACTGCCGAATTGCAGACGAAGCCCTGCAAGAGATCTCTGTTAGTATGTGTTTTAGTGAGAGAATACAAAATAAGCCAATTGATGCCAATTGATTTATTTTCACCCTCAACCGGCGAGAATATGAGGATCTTTTGATCAAGTGCATTATCGATCAGAGAAATTGTCAATCAAAGGAGGAAATCTTTGCACAAATCCGTGGAAAAATGTAGAAAATTGATAATAATAACCTTACCACAAAGTCGTCTGTGCGTATTTCGGTTTGGATACTATTGGAATTATCTTTTGATTCCTTTTTAACTTTTTCTTTGCTATTTAACTCGGAAGGAGTTCTCTTTGATGACACTGGCGGAGATTCTCTCTTCGGTTGCGCCGGAATCTGCTGTCCGGGCGCTATGCTGTCTGATCCCTGACGGCTCTTCTTGCGGCGCTCCTTGTCCAGCATCTTCATCACCTTCTTGCTGTGCGAGGACTTCTTCACTTGGAACACTTCCTCGCCCTCTTCTGTTTTCCGGAGAGTCCAGAGAAGGGAAAATAGAGACATGTTAGAGAAACGTTTGGGAGACACTCAATCAATGATTGTTACCTTCATCGTCGAAGCTCAGGAGATTCGCTGCTCCTCTGTCCTTGTCCTTCTTGTGCTTCTTCGTGTTGCTACTGTTCTGCTCGCTGCTGCTGATGCTCCTCTCAGACACCTCATTCTCATCGTCATCATAGCTCCCAAACACCCGCCGCTGCATCGGCTTCTTGGGCTTGCGAAACAACGACATTTCACCGGCGTCCAACGCTCCAGACACTCAGGCACGCAATTCACTCGTTTTCAGACCGACCACCACCAAAATTACCGAGTATTTTGCATTTTTCAGCGGCAAAATGTGTCCTCCTATCGATCACTGCAGTCTTTTCAATGGCGTCATGGCGGACATCGACACCCAATCACCAATGAGACTGGAAGGTGCGGAATTATTCCACTGTCCGACGGGAAATGTCCTCTTGATTTTGGGACGGTTCTTTTGGGACAAACAACACTCCGAAGAGATTCGCAATGGCAGAGAATTCAGCTCATTTAGCAGCAAATTTGCAGAGTAAACCATCGATTTTCGAGGTGGTGGCTGCAGAATCCCTCGCGGGAACATTCTATCCAGCGTTTCGGCGAATTACACAGGTGAATTTCTAGATATTTAAAGAGAAACAAGAGAGTTCAAACTTTGTTTACCATTTTCAGTTCTTGGTTTTGAGGAATCCAGAGACGTTTGCTTTCGTGCTGAGACACTACGATGAAATATTCTTCCTAGCCAATGGAGTGATTCAGAGTTACTACCTGAAGAACCGAGGCGGAACTCTGGCGGAAGTGTTCTACGGCCTGAGGAGATTCTCAACGGGAAGCAATGACTTCAGCAGGAAAGATCGGATTCTTGCTCTGCTTTTCTCTGTGATTTTTCCTTATGTGAAGATAAAGGCGGATAAGCGGATTAATCAGTGGAAGGAGGCCCTAAGGGACGGAGATTGGATGCCAAGAGCTGGCCTGAAGCAGCTCATAATCAAGATTCACGGCGTTTCCATTGGTGTTCATGAGTGCCTCAAGATTGTTCAGTACATCGCTTACTTGTCGGGCAACTCTCAATCCCACACGCCGCTCTTCAGAGCCATAAATCAAGGACTGACGTACATCCAGGGAGATGATGAAGAGACTGAGTGGACGTGGAGGAATTTGCTGCGCGGACACCTGAAGATGTCTACAATCTTGAGCGAAGTCATTCTTAAGAGCCTCGAGTTTTCCGCCTTCTTCATCCAATTTCTGCAGTGGTGGCAAACTGAGGCGCAGCACACAGATCTCACGAGTCTTCCCACGCCCAGCTTCCCCGTGCTCACGCGGGACCTCAACTACCAGAACGTGTGTCCAGTTTGCCTGGGCAAATGGAATCGGCCGGCGTGTTGCGCCCTTTCCGGCTACATTTACTGCTACAAGTGCATCGTGACGGCGATCGAGAGGACGGGCGTCTGTCCAGCTTCCAACTATCCCATCTCCATCGAGGACATCTTCCTTGTGTACGATGACTAGAATAAAACACTGGTGATTTTGAATCAATTGGACTCTGCATAAATTTATTTTCATCAATTTTTTCCACTCTTGAGATGTTCTGAAAATTAATCAATCTGCACTGCATTATAAATGGTGATTAATATATCAACTGATAAGACTTTGCAGCTTTTGTCATACACACAATGGTATGAAATTATACATGAAACAGAGAAAGAAAAAACGAAAAATCTTGTATCAAATGGTCGCATGCATTGAACAAAGTTTGTCGACTAAAGTATAAATCTTAAAAATGTCTCTAAGTATTCAACTAATAACTCTTGTCTGCATTGCTAGTGATTTTCACTGGCTGCACTCAAAAACTCCTCCGGAAACTTGAGCATTCCAAAGGACGATTCACTGAAATTCGAGGGAAGCTTTTCTCCTGCATTCATGCTCTGTATTTATGATCTTTTGCTTGTCGTTCATCCTGAGGAGATTTTTGATCCTCTTCTCTTTGTTCATTGTGTCCTTTTTTATTCAACATGAGATCAACAAGTGATCTTTTGCTGCTATTTTGCTAGCAAGATCTTTCAGGGCTTCTTTCCTCCATTGACAGGGTTTGACAATGTCCTCCAATGCAAATCATCTCAAATCTCAGTTCGTCCCCCGAAATCCCCAAGTTCACGCGTTCCTTTCGAGTGCAGCAGCACATTTGGATGTAAAAAGGTATTTAAGCATTCTTGTATTACAAACTGAAATGTAAAAATTCAATATTCACAGGGTCAGTTGGGAAAACATGGGAAAGAAAGGTTGTTAAGAAAGGGGAGAATTAGAGAAAAAGTATTTCACATCAATGCCATACCCATTTATCCTGTCTCACATTGCAATCCTTATCCCTTTGATCTTTGATACATTGAAATCCTCTCCTCAATTTATCCTGTTCCTCAATCCATGAATCCTCCTCAACATCCAATCCTTCCTCATCACTTTCTCTCTTTCTCACTCTCTCAAATGATTCCTAGTGGATCCTTCATTATCTTGAAATCCCACGTGTGATCCTCCTTTTTCTCACATCCATTTGTCCAAATCCAGTATTTATCCTCCTAAATTCCTAAATCCTACTTCATTGCAAAATCCTTCCAGAGTCCAATTCATACTTTGTCCAGCGAAATCCTCCCAAATCCACATCTATATTCAATTACATCTCTTATCCGAGGGTAAATCAAAGAAAAAAAGAAAGAAAAGATGCATTAGTGATAAAATTGATAGAAATGCACATGTATAATTTGTCATTGTCTCATCAATTAGCATTTTTAATCTTTTTTTAATGTTCTCTTTCTTTACGATAGTTTTCTTAGAAATCTCAACTGAAGATTCCATTTGTTCGCTCTTTACTTTTCATCTCATTTCTATAGAAATGAATCTTCAGTTCTCTCTCTCTTATTTTTGCAAAAATTGGTTCTTGTTGAAAGTGGTTTTTTTTTAATAATATATATTATTTTTTCATCGCGGAGGGAGAATTTAAATTGTGTGTTTGCAAATTGCAAATGCAACAGATTAAAGAAAAGGACATTAGAGAGAAATTGTGTGTAAATCTAAAAGTTTGATAATACTTCCTTCATGGAGTCCAGATATTATCCTAATCCTTTTCATCCCATTTTCCATAAACTTCCCTCTCTTTTTATCATACTCTCTATGCTTTCCAATTTAACTCATTCTGCGAACGCTGGAAATGAAGATAAGACGGCGACCGTGGGCTGTGGGGGAAGTCAGTAGTTGGACCTGGAGTCTGAACGTGATCTGGAGAATGACCGACGCACCGGCGAATAGGTTGGCGTCCCTCGGCGACGACGCGGCGAGAAGGAGCGCGAGCGAGAGCTGAAAAACCAACATTTCAATGTAACTAAATCAGTTTCAAGTGCTTCTCAGAGCAAATTTTCTCACCGATCGCGGAAATTATCTCGACGCTCTTCACCAGAATCCTCCCGGACGCGAATGTAAGCGACTTCTCCCTGCAAAGCAAACAAACAGCAGAGTGAGAACGGCCGCAATGCGACTGATAAGAACCCGTTATCTCACCTCGTGGGAGCGGAATCTCGAGTCGTCCAGCTTCTTGATGGCATACTTCATGTCCTCGTGGCGCAGGAACTCCACCACGCCAGTGCCGTCCTTGTACGTGTCAGCGAAGCAAACATCGCCAGCCTCTCGCATGTGATCCTTGAGATCCTGCCAGGAGCCGGAAGGCGGCAGTCCGGAGACAACCACCCTGAACTGAGATCTCTTCGTGGGCGGCCGGTTGCTTCTGCTGCCGCCGCTGTCTGTACCCCGGCTGCGATCGTTGCTGCGGTTGCCCCTGTAGCTGCCCGGGCCTCCGCCGCGTGGGAACTCCACCCTCAGACGGTATCCGTCGTAATCGTAGCCGTCGCGCGCCTTCACAGCGTCATCGGCGTCGCTGAACACACAAAAACCAACGCCAGTCAATATTTCAACTCCCCAACGGGCGATTAAGTCCACTTACCGGGCATCTTCGAACTCCACGAACGCAAAAGGGGGCCCTCGACGGTTCTTCAGGTCGACAAATGTCACTTTGCCAAACTTGTGGAAGAGATCCTGAATGTCCTTTGTGCGAATGTCCGGTGGCAGATTACCCACGTAGATTCGGCACTCATTGCGCGTATGAGACATTTTTCACGGCAATAATCTGAAAATATACCTACAAGGGGGCATCAATCAACGCACTTCGCACAAAGATAAATTCGAAGCGGATGCAGCAGTAATAAAAATTAATCAACCACCCGGAAAACAGGTGGTGAATTCCCGACTACTGAGCCCTTCCCAGTGCGCCCACAACCCACAATTGCAGTGCAGAGGATCAGAGCAGTAGAATGAGTGAATTTGAGAATGAAAATACCTGCGAAAGAGACACAATGACTGTGAAAAACAACGAGGAAAATAAGACGCGCTACCCAAATGGCGACACTTCACAAATTCACTCCGGAAGCCCGATCACCAGCCGAGCGCCTGTCCCAAAAGTCACGAAGCCCCGCCGAAGATGGTGTCGGTGTGAAGTTGGCAGCACTTGGCGATGCCACCTGCGTGTTTTGATTAGTGGGGATGACTTTTAGTACAAGATGGAGAGTCAAAATGGAAAGTTTGAGTAATTTTATTTATTAGGGTGGAAAATCCTTGTTATTTTTAGCATTACTGTTAGAAGGGACATCAATCCATATCATTCCGCGGTGTCTGTGTTGTGTGGCGTTCCATGTGCACTCACCACACGGCCGAGACGGCTTTTCTCACGGAGTTTTGAGTGTGTGTTTCATTTGCGCGTGAAAATCTTCCCCCCGTCGTGATTATCCTCGTTTTCTCCGCCAACCAAGTTGTGGATTTACCAATTATTGTGTACACTGCACGGCAATTAGATGTGCGAACAACATGTCGAAGAACAAAATCATACATTCCAAAGCTGATAGTGATATTATAGAGATAAAATCAAAGGTGAGAGAGCTTGCGACATTTTGCCCCGCGTCAAGAATTCCATGTTAGATTTCTCTTTTGCTGGCTCGCGCCGCAGAGCTCCGAGCCCCGCCAGTGTTTGCCCAACATATTCTCCAGTCACTGATAATGGGTGTCTATTGTGTTGCAGTTCGACGCGGAGTTCCGGCGATGGTCCATGAAGCGATCGGATCAAGTGGGCTTCGAGGCGTTCTTCAAGCAAGTGGCACACCTGCACAACCTGGCCAACATCCAATTCCTCCTCTCCTACATCGATCCCAGCGACAATGACCTGCTGCCCATCAACAATGACGACAACTTCGGCCGGGCCCTGCAGACGTCGCGCCCCAATCTGCGTCTCATTGTGCAGAGAAAAGGTTCGCTCAAAATGCCCATAAGCAGCAGTAGCATAATGCCCACAAATGCCTTCCCTGTGAATCACACGACGCTCGCACGGTCAAGCGCTGAGCTCACGCGGAAAGGAGTTGCATTACACATCTTGCGCACCGATCTGTTTTGCAACAATCGGCCGTTTGTTTAGCATAGTCGCGTATCTCGGATTGCATTATCGCTGCAAGATGCAACTGTAAAAGTCGCACTGCCGAAGAGCTCGGTGAGAATGCAGGCCGGAGAGCACCTGCGAAGACGGCAAAGTGCCGTATTTGTTTTAACGTTGATTTCTGAATAATTGGACAAAATCATAGACCATAAACAATGATCCATTTTCTCTTGAATCACCGACGTTCACGTGGTTGTCGCTGGTGTGTAAAAATATAGCTATTTGCTTTCCTGAGAGCAAATATGAGTGTTGTGTGAGATAACGTAGGAAAAAACTGCGTTTTCACCTTCACTGGAATGAAGAAATAGGCGAAGGCTGGAGACTTTGCAGTGCGCTGACACCCATTCATGTCTCTCTTCCCACAGGCGACAGTCTCGAGGAGATTACAGGGTATGGAACTATGAAGCCGCGCAATATCATCAGTAGCATTCTGGGCCAGACGCCGGTGAAGGCCAAGGGACTCGCCATCTCCAATCCCCACGACTTCCGGCAAGTGTCCGCCATCATCGACGTGGACATCGTGCCCGAGACGTGCCGCCGCGTGCGCCTGCTGAAGCACGGCAGCGACAAGCCGCTGGGCTTCTACATTCGCGACGGCACGTCCGTGCGTGTCACGGCCAATGGCCTGGAGAAGCAGCCCGGAATCTTTATCTCACGCCTTGTGCCCGGCGGTCTGGCCGAGAGCACGGGTCTGCTCGCCGTGAACGATGAGGTGCTGGAAGTGAATGGCATTGAAGTGGCAGGAAAGACACTCGATCAGGTGAGAGTGAATCTGTGGTGGAAAAAGAGAAATTTATCGTATCAAATGATCCAAATTGCAAAGACACAGAGAGAAATTCCGCTGAATTTATTAGTGTGTTTTGAGCCGCAAAACATGCGGGTTCATTGTAAACTGTGTAATCTTTATGGAGGAAGTGAGCAATTTTCGCGCTATTACCTTCTCATTTTTTTAGCATCTCTGAATTCTAACGTGTTCTTGAATGCCTTCACGCACATCGCTTTGTTGTTAGAGTTTTGCTGCATTGAATATTGGAATGAATTGTCTCAGGTGGAATTCCTTATTTAGAGCACTACTGTATTATTAACTTCTGTGCCGTCTTCGGTATTTGAGAGAATTAAGTGTAAATGGAACTCCGCCCCTTTTCTTGCCGCGCCCATTCGCATGTGTCATGGGATAGAAACGTGAAATATGCAATTTTATCGCCAGTCCTTTAATGCCAAAATAGGGACACTTTGTCAAGGATCTCTACACATTTATTCACAACAAAGTAGAACAATGTTTTCTTAGAGCATTGGAGGATAGAGTTTTTCCTAATGTTTTACAAAACATGTGAAGGTTAATTGCATTGAACCATTAATAAATAGTTGAACATTGCTGTTTTTCCAGCAAAGTTCAGAATCTTAATGTGATCATTGTTTTCGTTATCTAAACAAAACTGAAGCTCTTTGAGTAATTTGTGTAAATTTCTTGCAATAAATCTATGCAATTATTTATCAAACTCTAAATTTATAGTTTTGATAATATTTCATGGCTGATTAGCAATATTCGTTTGTCAAGAGCATAATCTAAAGTGAAGTGCAAATTCACCAATAAACCAAGATAAACATCTTATATTTATAAATATTTATAAATTACACAATCACGCCCCTGCAGTATTTTTTACACCCGCATGACATTGAATAATGTTGAGGGATTTTTAGAATCGGTTTTGTGTATTTTGACAAACTGAATGTTTATACAAACTCGAATCAATTCGATCCATTGTATGCATTTGATCTGTGGAAAATGCCTCATGATTCATTTCCGATAGAAGCATTTGAATAGCGCAGTGCTGTCGATGTGTGGCATTTTCCATTTGCTGTGCGACACTTGATTAGAGCCGATGGACACGTGAAGAATAGCAAATGAGGCAACCTTGAATTCCAGAATGTTGTGTACATTTTGCAAATCACAGGTGACAGACATGATGGTGGCGAACAGCTCCAACCTGATCATCACGGTGAAGCCAGCGAATCAGAGAACAATCGCGCCGCCGCGACGCGGCTCGTTCTCGCGGAATAGTCAATTGTCCAGCGGCTCGCAGCAGTCGCACCACACGAACATCTCGGATGAGAACGACCAGGATGACCAGGACGACGTGGTAGATCTCACGGGCGCCGACGCGTGCAGATCGGACGGCATTCTGCATCTGTAGAGGCGCGCGCGGCCGCGCAAAGAGGACTTAAAGCTAGGGGATACTTAATTTTTTTCTTTTCTGAAAATTGTACTTATATCATTCCAGTTTTGGGACCCTTATATATCCTATATACTTCTCATAAACATACATTTTATTTTATACATTTACCTTTTTTCTACTCACTCTTACAATTGTATTGAAGGAGAAACAGGAGAGAATATCATATTTGCATGTTGAAAAGATTGTTGTACTCTTGTTATTCGAGAAGAGGAAGAGCTTTTATCGACAACAATCGTGTATTAATTTATTATAATTGTATATCTTTCCTTTCACCATCGCCGGTGTGACTTTTTTCGCGATAAACACGATATTTAAAGTGGATCATGATGAAAAATTTATATAGTAATTAAATATTGTTAGAAGGGATATTTCTCTAGAAATTAAACAACAAGATGATATTTTTAAAAATGAAAATTGAAAAGTAATAAGATGAAAAGTTCACAAAAGAAGCAATTGTAAATATAAATAAATTTATTGTGCCTTTTCGATTGAAGATTTAAAAGAAAAAAAAAAAACACACATGATATGAAGAAATGTTAAGCAAGAGAAATTGATAAATTTACACCTGTTGAGAAAAAAAATTCGTGCTATCAAAATTAGGTAATTTTTCCAAGTAATTCGGCTCAATTGGTTTTTTTCGAAGGAATGGGAAAGAAATTGAACTTGTTATCAATAAGGCGTACCTCAGCGATTGCATGTTAATAGAGTTGACGACAAAGGTTCCGTAGTGTTGTTTCTGTCTCAAAAGTGTTTGGCAACAGCAAAGAATGTCAAGTATAAATGAATTTAATCAGCATTCCGCCCATATTTTCTTATAAACTATAAAGATTGTAGAATGAGAAAAAACAAGGCTAATAGTATTGAAAGGCAGTCTTAATAAAAAATTTACACCTTTGCGAGTTTCAATGGAGATAAAGAACAGCAAATAATAGAATTCAAACTAACAAAAACCGTTTAAAGACGAGAAGCATTAACATAGTTATTGAGTAGTTACTTAGGTGATGCCTCTGATTTACGATTATTGATCCATACATATTATTACATACCAAATTTATTCTCTATGATGATATACTTAAACAAAACATATTAAAGTACAGCTATTAAATTGCTATTTTATTGATTTTATGTAAAATATATAATTTTAAACATTAATTCACTTCTTGTTCTTCTTCTTCCGCTTCTTGGTCGGCTCTTGCAGCTCCTCCTGAAGTGTGTCACTCTCGCCAAGTCTCTTTTCGCCACTGGAATTTACAGAGAAGCTCTGAATTAGATGAGATTGATGAGCAGCAGATGGAAATACTCACCTCTTGACCGAAACTATTGACGATTTGTTGGCCGACAGTGCCTTTCCCCACTCCTCGTCCGTTCCTTTGATGGCGTACTGCGTCAGATTCTCCTTCTTCAGCCGACTCAGCTCTTGCTTCTGTTTCTTCTGCAGCTCCTGGGCAGCCGTGGTCAGCTCCTCGTCCAGAGACTGCTTCAGCGGCTCAAACTGTCCGTCATCCTTAGTCTCTTTCACCGTCATTTCTTCCTCCACCTTGTCCTCCATCACATCCACAATTTGCTTCGTCAGCTTCTTCATGGCGTTGTAGAACTTGGCCAGAATCTGATTGGTCGGCATGTTGAGCTCCTCAGCCACGGTGTCCATGGACTTGTTCTGCAGTCCCACCGCCAGAAGGACGGCTTTCTGGATGGCATCCATGCCATCGAGACGGTTCTGGAAGTATAGCATGCCCAAATCCGTCGTGAGATCCAGAATCAGCCGATACTCCACTTGATTCCTCGAGTAAGCCTCCAGACGCTGAATATCGTGCGGCAGGAAGAATTGATCAATCGTACTCGTCGTGAGTTTCTCCACTTCGGTGGATTTGGAGGCGCTGGGATTGTCTATCAGCGAGAGCGCTAGCGAGGAAGTGAATGAGTTGAAGCTCTTGCCCAGGAGCTTGAGGATTCGCCGCCTGAAGTCAGTGAAGTACGCAGAAATCCACGTGTCAGAGCTGGTTTTGCCCACTGCAAGAGGCGATATCATGATGCAGGAGTGCTCTCCTGTGAGATCGTTCTCCTTCTGACTCAAGTACACCGGCACGAAGCGGAACTTCTTCCAGAAGCGCAGCAAATCCAGTGTCAAGCCATACGATGTGCCGATGTAGTCCAGCGTTTCGGGACGCCGCTCGGACAGCCTCTTGAGCAACGTAGGCAATTTCTTCTTGGGCGCAATGGTTTCCTTCAGAAGTCCCTCATCATCTACTTTCTCAATCCCATTATCCTCCTCGTCGTACTCCTCCTGATCCTCGCTCAGCGACACAAACTTGCCCTCATAGTAGTTCTTCAGTAGTTTCAGTGCCCTCTTGCCATAGCCCATCCTCTGGTAGTTGGGGTGCGTGGCAATGCGTACGATTCTGGCGCCCGCCAGCTTCGGGAAGTTCACATCGTTGTACTGCTCAGACACAATCCACGGAATTAGATCTCCAGCGGCCTTCTTCCCTCTCGCCATGGAATCCTGCACTGTCGCCACCGAGATTTCTCCCTCTAGGCACACCTGCACCACCACCAGAACCTCCGGAAGGGCGTCTTTCTTCGAAATCGGCCCCAGCAGGCAGAATAAGTGATGGGCAGGAGCGTCGCTCATCATCTGAATATCATTCGGGCTGTTCTTGTAGTGTGACGACACATAAATCGACACGATTCTCTGCAGAAAAGCCTCTGCAGCTTTGTGGTAGGAGAACAAGGCATCGCGATCGATGTAGTAGAGCTCACAAGATTCCGGCGTTGGACATCCGCTGTTCAGCGACGGCACAACCGTGGCGTCCAGACATAGTAGGGAAGTCAGCCAACTCTCAACCTCATCTCCTGGCCTGTATCGAATGGATTCCTCGAGTTTGATTGGCGGCGGTGCATTGCTGTCCTTCTGCAGCTGCGATATCAGCTTCAGACTCAGCGATCTTCCCGTGCCCTCGTACCCATTGATTGTGGACGCCATGAAGACCAAATACTGGCCCAGCATCTTCTTCACAATGGGTAGCGGAATGGCCGCCGCCTCGTCAATCACCAGCAGGTCTGCCACACTCACCAGATGACTATCAATCGGAGAAACATACTGAATAGTTTGCCTGGTGTTGCGTGTGATATTAATCCTAATGATGGCTTTCTTGAACTCGGGATTTGTGCTGCGAATGATCGTGTAGTCCAAATGCTCTTGATACTCAAGCGCATCAAATCCCTTGAGGACAAACTCAAAAAGTGTGATCAAGTTCTCAGGATGAGGCGAAGTCACGTAAACATTCACGTAGCCAAAGGCGATGGCTGCTGATATTGCCAAGCCCATTGCGGCGGATTTTCCCCTTCCTCGAGACGCTGTTAATGACGTGGGCGGTCTAGAAGAGGAAAACAATTAATCCTGAAACGAAAACAGGCAAAATATAACTCACTTGAGCTGCTTCTCGGCCAGTGCATCGATAAATTGCGCCACTGCCTTCGCCTGATCGTACGTCTTGCAGAGCTTCACCAGCGGCCCGGCGGGTGGAGTGTCGCTGAGACTCTCCTTGAGCTCAGCCAGTGCCTCATCGTTGGAAGACAAGGAGATTGACGACACATCCACAGGCGCTACATCGGCAGTCTTCGAGCTGAATGGCAAGACGGTGAGATCGTCATTCATCAAAAGACACCTTCTGCAGTCGGCGAGCGACAGAATGAGGCGTTCATTGAATCGGCAAGTAACATCCCGATGCGCTTCCGTCCGATATCTCTTGTGCACATCCATGCTCATGGTGTACAGTTGCTTCAAGGAGGACATATTCTTCAGCAGAAGGATAATCAAGCCTCCGCCTTCAACAGTCTCAATGGTTCTGGCCAGCAGATTTGGCGTCAGCGCCTCAAAGTCCTGCAAGACACACACACCATACGTCCTTCCCAGGATCGTGTGCGTATCTGAGTAGTATCGACCGTGGATTGTTGTGGAAATCCTGAAGACATCAAATAAATCCGCCTCGTTGAGATCAATTTTGCCGGATTGAATCTTCTTCGATCGCTTCTTGCCGTGACTGGAAATTGCCTCATCCTTCGTCTTGTAGCACCAGAGAACAGTTGGACGGGCTCTTGTTGTGGACTTTGTCAGCATATCATAGAGAATAGGCACCTGCAACCAGAATATTCGCTAGAAGTATCCTTCTGGATGAGAACTTCTTAAAGACTCACCTGATCTCTCGCCTTATCTCCGATTATAACAAACATTGTCCGGTGACCCAGCTTCACGCCATTCTCTATCATCACACGAATGCGATTATCAATCTTTTTCTTCACCATTTTCACGGGGTTTTCCTCTATTTTGCAGAAAATCCCAGCACAGCGGCTCACGCACGTTGCTTTGTTTTGGTGTTTTTTGAGGTTACGTGGCTGTCCCAAAACCGCTGATAACGCCAACTGGCGATGACAGTTCGTTCTAAAGCAAGTTTGTTTACGTTTGCGGTGCAGACCAAGGATCACAGAATCCCCCAAATTCGTGATGAATTTCCCCCCTGTGACTGCTCGCGCCTTCATGGCGATGCAGAATCTGAACGTGGGCGAGCTGGCCAAGTGCTGCCTACGAGAGATTCGGCCGATTCTGCCGAGTCTCGTGCGAATGACCCTTCTTCAGGCCACGGACAACACGCAAGAGTGGACAGAAGCCCGCAAACAAATTCTCTCAATTCTCGTGGGCATTGAGAACGCCAACAACATCGTGTCCATCCTTCAAATAAACTACCACGAGTTGGAGGCGGACATCAAGAAGGAGCAGCAGCTGAGGCAGAAATTGGGAACATCACAGAATGAGTCTTCTCACAGCTTCGCCCTACAAAACGGGGCTGCAATAGGTTTTGAGCGGGCGGATGTGGCGCGGAAGGTGAGAGTGATTCTCTCAGAGCTGCTCTACATCCAGGCACAGATCGCCGAGCAGAACCAGCAAGGCGTCACAAGGAGCACCACAGAGTCCCTCGTGCGGGAGTCTGAGCTATTTGACAATGAGATCTACCTGGAGGAGGTGACAGACATTATCTGCATCGCTCTGGCTGAGCTTCCGTCGCTCCTCAACATCCAGGACATCGTGGATATCTTACTGTACGTGAATAATGGCGCCAATGTGATCTGCTGGATCATTGCAAACATGCCGGATTGCTTCAAGGAAGTCACGGCGTCGCTCATCTCCAATGGAGACGAGGAGACGGTGGACGGGAAGCTTCGGCTACAAGTTCTCACGGCTCTCTGCGAGATGAATCCTAGCCAGGCGCTGTCCACGCGCACACTTTGCGTGGAGCTCTCAAAAATGCCCTCATTGATGCTCAAGCTGAGTCTTCGTGATCCTCAGGATTTGATAGCCTTCGTCTCAGGTCTGCTCCTGGGCAATGACCAGAATACACGCTCCTGGTTTGCCCAATTTGTCCGCAGCAGCCAGAAGCGCAAGAGTGACGCTCTGCAACTCGTGCGAGAGGAATTGCAGAAGCAGCTGCAGAATCTTGTGGTGTTCTCCATGAATTCCGAACTCCCTGACGAGTGTGTTGTCCAAGCATCGACTCTCCTGCGTCTTTACTGCGCCCTGAGAGGAATTGCCGGCGTAAAGTTCAACGACGACGAAATTCACCTCCTGATTCAGCTTGTAACATCCAAACCACCTCCAACCCCAGCCGGAATTCGCTTTGTGTCACTGGGATTGTGTATGCTGATAGCCTGTCCCTCACTCATCTCCCAGCCGAACTTCGAGGCGAAGGGAATCGAGTGGATGCAGTGGTTGATCAAGGAGGAAGCATACTTTGAGAGGTATTTTTAGCACTTTCGCTCCTGAAATATTTCACTGATTGTTGTCACTTCTTTTGCAGCAATAGCGACATGGCAGCTTCCTTCGGCGAGATGCTCCTCCTGATGGCCATTCACTTCCACAGTAATCAAGTTCCGGCCATTGGGGAGCTTGTGTGCTCCACACTGGGCATGAAGATCCCTCTGAGGCCCAACAACACCACTCGCATGAAGCAGATCTTTACGCAGGAGATCTTTACGGAAGCAGTCGTGACGGCGCACGCTGTGAAAGTCCCCGTGACGGTGAATCTGAACGCCGACATCCCTGGATATCTGCCCGTGCACTGCATCCACCAACTGTTGAAATCCCGGGCGTTTTCGAAGCACAAAGTGCCCATCAAGAGTTGGATATACAAGCAAGTCTGCAGCTCGACGACGCCTCTTCATCCCGTTCTGCCGGCTCTAATTGAAGTCTACGTGAACTCAATAATCCTGCCCAATGCCAAGGGACCCGTCGAGCACACGCACAAGCCCCTATCCGAGCGCGAGATCCTCAAGGTATTCAACAACTCCGTGCCAGGAGCCAATTTCGACCACAAGAAGAAAACCTACACAACGGAATTCGAGATGGAAGCCAGCGATACCGGTGAAGAAGAACTCGTGGGTGTGCCAAATATCACATCACAGCTGCTCTTGCTGTATTATCTGCTCCTCTACGAGGACGTCCGTCTGAATCACATGGCGAACATCCTTTTGACCGGCCGGAAGGTGAAGTCTTACACGATGGACTTCATGTCCGAACTTCCCATCAAGTATCTTCTGCAACAGGCGCAGAAGAACCAGCGCAACTTCGGAGGACTTTTCTCGCCACTTCTGCGTCTCCTGGTCACGCACTTTCCGCATCTCTGCCTCGTGGATGACTGGATAGCTGAGGAGACAATCACTCTCGAGTCCACGAGTCGCAGCGTCATTACGGAATTTAGTGTGATTGAGGCATTTGAGGAGTTGGAAGTGTCTTCGATAAAAGCTATTCGTGTGATGAGGCGCATGTTGAAGAAGACACCCAAGGATCTATGGCCTCTATCGGGCACTTTCATTAAATACTTCAAGAACATCCTTCGCGACGACACGCCAAGGCTCGTGACAGAGCTGTACAAGCAAGTGTGGGTGCGTCTGAACACCGTTCTGCCCCGAAGACTCTGGACAATGTCGATAAACGCCTTGCTTCCAGAGGATCAACTCATAAAGAACTTCTCGCTGGTCCAGGAATCCCTGTGTATTGACGCACTGCAAGTGTTGCGCTGCGATGAGAGAATCTTTAGGTGTCCAGACGCTCTGTCCATCGTCCTACGCATCCTACAAGCCAGTCTGGCGGCATCCAAGAGCCAGCTATCGAGACACATCCAGGATAAACCACTGATTGAGAAGATAGGACTAATGCAATCCGAGGCGGAGCGCGAGGAGCTCAAGATGGCTCTGGTGTACTCCCAGGAAACGGTGGCGGTGCAAATTCTCCTCGAAGCGTGTCTGGAGACAGAGAATGATCGCAACTTGCCGGGCAGATTGTGGGCGCTGCGCGAAGTGCGCGGCATCATATGCTCGCACATTCATCAAGTATTCATCTCTGAAATCACTCTGGCCAAGCTGGTGATGTTCCAGGGATTCCACAGGGATTTGCTGAGTGTTGTGGTGAAGGGCATTCCCTCAATGCACGTCTGTCTGCATTACATACCAGAACTGCTGAACATGCCCGAAATGGAGAAGCAAATCTTTGCCATCGACCTGGCATCGCATCTCTCAATTCAATATTCACTCCCGAAGTCGCTCAGCATCGCCAAACTCTGTATCAACACTCTGTCCACTCTTCTAGGCAGTGAGTATTTAACATTTTACATTAACACTACAAACTCACCTGAGAATTCCTTGCAGTTCTTTCCGGAGACTCGCGGATTGAGATGTTCAGGGCAATTTTGCCGTGTATCGTGCGCTTTGCAGAAGCCTTTCCGCCTCTTTTGGACGACTGCATCTGCTTCCTTATGCAACTGGGCAGGATTGCAGACTCTCAAGCCGCTCTGGGACGTTCCACGGCTCTGAACGCGAATGCCAGCGTTGAGGCCAAGAACACATCTTCAGACGCAGAGAAACTCGTAATTGAGGTGAAGGAGACGTTCTCAAGTCTCCTGGAACAGGCTGTTCTCTCGCCGAAGATCTACTGAAATCGTTTATCATTAAAATGTGGTCCTGTATTTGCAAATCTTGCTCTCATCCCAATTGTTCTTCCGCCTGAGATTTGAGAACTCATTTTCTGGCTCTTGCAGGTACAATTTATGGTTTTTCTTCTGGTAGTGATAAACCTTCCCTCTTCTCTTTGGTGTCCAGTGCTTGATGTCACTCTGGCTGAGAATTAAGTCCGGAGACACAGAACTTTGCTGGATTTTCTCCTCTTCAGAAGGTTCGTCTGTGCGTTTCCGCTTCTTTCTCTGTGGCTTCTTGATAGATATTTCTTCTTCTCGTGGATTACTTGTTTCTTTGATAAACTCCTGGGAATCCTTCAGCAATCTAATCCCACTCAGATCGAGGTCAGAAGTTCCTGGAGCATTAGAAACTTCGTCCACGAAGCATGTCTTCTTGGCAACCAGATCCGATAGTTTTCTGCTCATGAACTTCTTCATAGATTCCGTCACTATCAATTCCTTGTCAATTTCATCAGCTTCAGGAAGATATCGCTCGGATTTTTGGGCACATTTGCCATTTGATTCCTCATCTGCTTGTATCAAAACAACATTACACATTATTAGGAATTCCAACACCAAACAGGATTTGTTCATGATTACTGACCTTTATGGGAGTTCTTCCCGAAATTCTGGAACATGGAGTTATTCAGGAAAGTCGTGTCTACAGCTTCTTTTAGAAAATCCTCCATGGCAATAAATTTTCATGAATTTGCCAAAACAAAACCACATTCCTGGAAGGCGACTCGCTGTGTGACAACTTGGTTCGTGTGGGACACTGGAAGTCTCCTAGTGTGGTGTAATGTTGTGGACTTCCTCGCAATATTTATCATCAAAATAATCCATGAAACCACGTGTAATTTCCACTGCTTTCCCAAGAATTGTACAAAAGAAGTTTTAGTGCGGATAATTAATTAAAAATGAATAGCATAGGAGAGAATTGCAATGAGCTGAAGCGCACTTACGATGCGTGCTTCAATAGTTGGTTTGCCGACAAGTTCCTGAAGGGCAGCACGGATGAATCCCAGTGCGAACCTCTCTTCAAGGTCTACCAGCAATGTGTGAAGGTGAAGAAGCTCCCCTGCTATCGGAAATAGAGACTCAATCCAACTGTATTTGCAGACGGCGATGAAGGAGCAGCAGATTGAGATTGGAGAAGTCGAGGCGGACCATTTAGGGTCCGATAAGGAGTACAAACCACCGCCGGGAAGCTCCTCGAGTTGACATCTATTCTCCTGCCACCTTCCGTGCTTGAGTAGATCGTGCAAAGCAGCAAAGTAGTGGCATTCTAGTCCGATTTCCACGGTTTTACTGGGTTCGTCTTTCATTCCTCGTGGAAATCCTCATTGAATTCCTTTCAAGAGTGCTTTTTCGTACTCATTTTACTCTATATTGTTCAGAATTTATTGATTTACTTCACTGGAAAATAATGAGCGTAAGAAAATGAAAATACAAGTGTGATTTCTATCTGCTGGAAACTATCCTCATGGCGCCTGATTTACTTCCCAATCGTGAACTTGGAGAGCCTCTCGAGGAGATCAATGTACTGTGAGTGTTCGTAGATTGTGCTGAATTCCGACAGTTTGTCCACGAACTCATTGCTAATGCCCTTCTCCTCGAGGAGATTCATCAGCAAATCGTACAAGTATCCATCCAGAACGTCTCCTGCCACGGCGTAGTTGTTATCCTTCCACTCTCCGTCGTACAGGACGAGTTCATCGATGCCAAAGATGTCATCTGCAAGAGTAGGCAAATCTCAGTCTCCTGAGGAGAACCGGAATGTGACTGACTTACTGTATCCTTCAGCGTCTTCTCCCTGATTCTGCAGAAAAGAGCATGTGAAGGAGAGTGTTTGGCTGCCTCTCACGATGTCCACCTCAAACTGCGGCTTGCTCTTCATTTCTGCCAGATTGGGCTTGTCCATGTTGGGATCAACTTCCGCCTCCTCATCTGTGTCTACTGTGTGATTCACATTGAAGGAGATCGTCACGGTTTCCTTGTCGCCCTCCTTTGTCAATTCCACTTCTGGCCCATTGATCTTCACTTTGAAACCCTCGACGGTCGTGGGAATGGATTTTACCTTCTGCGCTTTCTTCTCAGCCACAATCTCCTCGGTCAGGAATTCCACGAGCTCTCTCTCGCCTGTAGACAAAGTGAGGTTAGGATGCACAGTCGGCAAACTCCCGGAAACTCCTTCCTCCTCCCGCCTTACCTTTGGTGTGAATGAACTTCGCGCCACAGCCGCATGAGCAGCCAAGGCTGGGATTGTGCTGGATGATGGATTTGCCCGCAATCAGATCTTCCGGCTTCCGTGACATGTGCCACAGAGTTCTCGTGAATTCCCTCTTCCCCAGCGTCGACCGCATTGGCGACACAATGCTCCTCAGCGGGGCGATTCTGAACACAGATCTCACCAGGTTATTCATGCCGAATGATGCAGTTTACAAGCTCCAAGGAAGATGAGGTAATCCAGAGAAATGCACTCTCGCCGCTTCCAGAATAAAACTGCCCCTCCAAAAAACTTATTCGCCTTCCAATGGAAAGTCAACAAAACATTTCATGAAGATTTTGGTCAAAGATTTTGCTGACATCCATTAAAACGCCTCAAAATTACTGAAATGTCTGTTAATTTCTCAGAAAATATTAGGAAATTGTTTGATTTTCAAAGAATATTCAATAAAATGAAATGCGTTGTGGGACTATTCTGCGGAAAAGTCCAATGCTCCAGTGGAAGTTGGGACTCTGGAAATTGCGCTCTTGGAAGTGTCGCCATGGAAGCACACTCGATGGAAAATGGAAATGGCTTTCCAATTCATTCCCACTCCATTTGTCAGTGAGTTTCTTTGACGTTTGTACTACTTTTTCATTGGGATCAATTTTCAGCTCGAAAATTCACGAAAATCGCTGCTGTGCGGCGCTTGCCAAGTGTGAAAAGTGCATAAAAGTGGACATTGAGTGGACACAAGTGGATGTGCAGTGTTATTGGAGGTGCAGGACGCGGTGCGAACGGATTTAAGGTGAGATCTCAATGGCTGGTTACTCTCATTTGCGCTCCGCTGCCGTCCGCAGGGCTCTGCGAGAGGTGTGCTGAGGTGTGAATTGCCTGGCAAACGACACCCAGGAGTGCGGCTGAAGGGCAGGTGTGCCGGGGTGAATTGGCAAACACGGTTGAGTTGCTGTGAAAATTGGGGCAAAATAGTGGTTTTGTGTGCGTGTGTGTGCGTGTGTGTTTATTGTCATCGGAACGCCTTATCGCGGGGCTCGCGATCGCGGGGCGAAGGAGAGGAAGTGGCCGAGTCATGAGTCCTTCAAGTGCACCTTGCCTTCATTGAGAATATTGTAATTGAGTGTGAAGCGAAGAGAGTTGCATTTTCTACCTGGCGAGTCACCTAATGAGCAATCCCAATCTCTCGGGTCCATTGAGTGCACACCTGGAATGTGCAGAGATCAGTTCAGCATCCGTGGGTGGACGTGCGTTGATCTCTATTGAGTGGTGCTGCCAAGTTCGCGCGCGAATCGAATTCGGTTCCAATTCAGGAGCTCTCCAAATTGCCTCTTTGCCCGATGTTTCCAGCATTTTCTGCTCTCGCGTATTTACATAAACGTAAACACTGGGAGCTGAATGCATTTTTATACACAAAATGTGTGGAATGCGGCACCACAGGGCGACCCGCACAGCAGCCGCGCTCTTGGCGAAGACTCGTCATCTCTAAGAAGCGGACACACCCTGTCGTATCCTTGTCAAAGTCGGAGTTCACTCTCTTTTTTCTCTGCACCTCTATCGTGTGGTTAATCTTCACCTCAGACGCTCATTCTCGTTGTGTTTTCTGCCCCTTCTTCACTCTCCTAAGCGTCCAACACATGATCAGCGATCAATTGTGTGCTCGCACAATTGGCTCCCTGTCTTTTCTCTCACCCTCTTCCACCTCAGCCGCCCATTTCGGTCATCTCGGCTTGAGCGACAGACTCTCACTCGATATTTTTAGCATACTTCACGAAATTCACTCCATTTCTGCGCAATTACACTGTTTTCAGGGCACCTCGAATGCCCATTTCAAAAAAATTAATTGAATTTTATTTTTGGAAGTCAACTGATGTTTCTTGCTCAACCTCGACTTCTATTGCACACTTCCTTCTGGATAATCTGGTCTAGAGTTGTGCGCTTCATCGACGCCTTGCGACATCCTAAGACGAAGAATTTGAATAGAATGCGTTGGATGTAAAATTTGCTAGAAATTGTGGCTAATTTATGTCAGTTATTCCGTTTTTGGCTGTGCATAAATCATTCTCTAAGGATATTCCAATCTGTGTGTAATTTCCTCGAATTGCTCTGCCACCAGCGTTGGTATTGATTTCGCATTTCAACCAAGTCAAGAGTATCTTAATGTCGCGACCTGGATATTTTTTTGCTGACAAATCTCATGCATGATAGGCAAAACTTTCCTCGGAAATGGCAGAGAGGAGAAAAATGGACTGCCAATAGGTTGTAATTAATTGGGCAAAGATAAAAGAGTGGAATGAATGGAGGAGAATTCCAGTGTCGGAGAGTCACAAGTCGGTGCGGAAGCGGAAATTGAGACGAATGGTGTGCCGGGAAGAATTGCAGTGTGTTCAATTTCCTCAGAGTGGCGTGAATAAAAGGGTGCATAGAAATGTAAATATGGGAGTGAAGAAGAAGAGTTAAAGGAGAAGAATGAGAGAGAGAAAACAGGGATGTTTGCTTGCCACCAGGCATTAAATGCCTGGCCGTGTGTATCAAGTGGTTCTCTTCATTGTCATCTCCCCGAAAGTGTTTGGAATTTTGATTACATCTCCGCATAGCGTGTCCCTGCGTCTTGTTTTCTTTGCAATCTCCGCGCGCGCGAGAGTGTGTGTCTGTTTGGGATCTGGAGAGACGCGGTGACGAGTTGAAAATAAACGGGTTTGCAGTGTGTGATTGCTGGCTCTTTCGCGGTTGACGACGTCAGAGTGGTCGAATATTTGGGGGCTGCATGGCGAGGAGTCTCTGAGTGGTGGCAGAGACGAGAGGCCATTGAGGAGAAACCGATACATTAGTCGTAAAAGATATCTCCAGCAATTCACTTCGTATCGCGCGCTTCTTTCCTCCCGAAAAATAACAGAACAGAAGAGAAAAGATAGTGTGTGTGCCTGAAATACCATCATCTCTGGTGCTTTGCTCTCCTCATATCTCTGGTCGTTTGTCTCCGAAATGGGAGCGGAAAATAGTATCGAATAATGATGATTACTGGTGGAAATTTAGTACTTCAGTTTGTCGAGATAGACTGGCTCTCTTTCTAAGTGTTATTGAAAGTGAAAATTCCTTGGGAACCATTCAGTGATTGGAATCCATGAGTTTGCTATCCTATGACCTTTGCTTATGCTAATGAATTATCTCACTTTTTGTCCAATACTTTTTGGCCGGTGTAGAATTAAAAACACATATTTGGTTAGTCAGAGTGATTACAACATATCTCCTCTTACACCATCTCATCATCAAATTCATCCTTCTCGCGTATGTTAAACAATGATTTTTTTGTGATGTTATGTGTGAAGATTTCACTGCAGTGAACTGAAAGATCTTCTGGGCTTGAGTTGAGTTGAGTTGTGAAAGCTGTGCGAATTTGCAAAGAGAGGACGAGGAGTATAATTGTGAGTTATGGTGACAACAATTAAGATAACATGCGACGGTGTGTGCATTCAATCAAATTCTTACCTAACGAATTTGCACTTGAGTGGCGACGTGCGGAACGGCGCGAAGGAGAGTGACAATTGTCCAGTGACCCGAGTGAGTGCGGTCAAGAGTGTGGATCAGATTGACACGCCGCGGAAGGGCCGCGCGAACTTTCCGCCGAAAGCGCATGTGTACTTTGTGAGGAGGCTGTCGATAGTTGCGGGCGAAGATTTCGCCCAGAGAGTGATCAAGGAGTCGCCAGACGCACCAGCAGCGCCTCCAAATCTTGGTCAGTAGGTCTTGGTGGACTTCTGCCACTTCACTTGGATGCTGAATTAACATTTCGATCTCTATGCATTGGCAAAGCACACACACAATTCATCATAAACGCCGGCTCACTTTTAATCGCCACTCAATTGATTTCTTCGGCCAGACAACACGAGAAATTTCTCTTTTCAGTCACTGTTTCATTTTCATGCGTGAATTTGCCTTTTTTACGTGCCACCGATCTCTTGTTTTATTACTTTCCCCCACAATGGGATTAGCATGTGTTGATGAAAATGATAGTTCTCTAAATATTGGCTCTCAATGCTGCTCACCATTGAGTGAATTACAGTGATCGCACTCTTCCTCACTCGCCGCGAGATGGAAATCATCGCGCAGTCAAGGCGAAATGAGTTGAAATATGATCAACTTTTTGGTGTCTCTCTCTCTCGAAAAATCGAGGTGAATCACTCGAGATGAATATTCACAATGTGTTTTTTTTTGGTTGTTCGTGCACAAGTGCTGATAATTTCTCATTACAAAAACTAATTGCTCAATAGAGAGTTAGAAGATGACTTCTGCCGTTCCTCGGAATGCATTATGCATTCACATTTGGGAGGAAAGTTTGAATTGAGGAGAGAAATGCTTTCATTTGCCTAGTTTTATTTTTCGCCAATGTCGAGTTATACTCCTGAAATGAAGATTAATGGCGGCTGTTTTGCCTTTTCCTCGCTCTTGATGTGCGCGAATGATAAAATTAAATTAGGTGGTTACTTTTTGATTTTGCTAATTTGCAGCCATAAATACACAATTGTTTTACAGTAGTCGCTATATTGCGCTCTTTCACAAGGAGTAAAAGAAGATTAATTGAAGAGTTTTGTATTTCTTCACCAAATATGGTATTCTGACAGCGGTTTTGGACAGTAATTTCACCTTTCTTGCGATTTTTAAACGTTTTCTCAAGGAAATATTGCTGAATATTCCTGATTTTAGCGCTTTTCAAGCTTATATCTGAACTTCTTGAATGATAACGTCAAAGTTTGAGTTTAATTTCCACTTTTAAGGCATTTTATGGACTTGTGTTTGAGGGAGAAATTAATTTCCGTAACGAATAAATACTAATTATATCATCAAGCATAGCACTTTCTTACATTATTAATAAACTTCTCCGAAATTGGATCTCTCCGCGAGCACATAAATCAAACACGTGAATTCTACACGCCATTCTGTATTCATCCCATTGAATCCATATTCATCATCCAGACCCAACATAATTATGTGGAAACTGGCCATAAAGTAGAACTGTGCGTGGTTCAGCTCGCAGCAGGTGAAGCTCAATTTGAAAACATCAATGGAATGCCACTTTCCTGGATAGAGCGATTAATTGTAAATGGCTGTACAGGCTCTGCATAGTCTCCTATGCACAGTGGAAATTGCATGGCATGTACAAAGAAGCCAATGTTGTATAATTTGTACCAATGTATCACCCGTGTGATAATTTTACTGTCGTAGTTTTTCACATGTTTTCACCTATAATTTACAATAGTCGTGGATAACATTTATTTTTTTGTGTGTCACTTTACATCGTAAGGTTTTTTTCACTATGAACCACCACAAATAGCCTACAGTTTTATTTCCGGACAGAGACGCTATTACGACACTTTAGCATGAAGTCATGCTGCTTTTGATTGTATATCAAATGGAATGAAATAAATTCCATCGCAGAGAGTACAAAAGATATGTGACAAAACCTGTGCAGATCATTTTGATTGACTTGTATCACCAGATGATATACAATTTTGAATTAAAATGCCCATTTGAGGAATGACAATTTGAGTGAAATATTCATGAATTGCAGACCCAAATTTTGTGCTTATCTAAAAAAATAAATGTATATTTGAGAGACACAATTCCCGGGTGAATTCCCACAAGTGTTGTGTGGCCAAGACAAAAGGGGCATTAAAAGTAAAAGTTTGGCACAAAGAGATTTTAATGTGTCGGAGAAGTATGAACTCCTCCTCATCAAGTCACACTTTGAGGGCACACAGAGTGGCAGAAAGTGAGAAAAAGACGCTCTTTTGCAACTATTGTCAATGGGATTCAGAAAATCCTACATTTTTTTTCTATTTAGTATGTGTGATTTTTATTGCACAAAATTCACACTCGCACAAAGTGAGCATCTCATTTGCGGGCATTTTTGCGAGGCTGAAGGTCCCCAAATTTATGATTAAATTAATGGTCATATTGTGTATTTTTGTCCATAGCGACACTGTTGTTCGTGCATTTTCTGTTCTTCGCATTAACATTACTCCTCTTCAGCCTCTGTTTGCCCATTGTGGCTGTTTGTCTCTCTCGCACTGTCCAAACTTTAAATAATAATTATATAAACACACAAGCGCGAGGAGAATCCACTTATTTGAATGAATTTTTGATAATTGACTGACTCACACATGGCATTATCTCAATATAAAGCTGTAGCCGTGATGAAACAACCTGCTTAGCGCTGACTTTATTATAAGTTATGCAGTAAAAACGGCCGTCGTTTTGCTGTGGGATGATCCTTCAGAGGCCGAGAGGAAAGCCCATTTGGATGATTGCATTGGAAAAGTCATACTTTTCAATGTGTGTAACTAAATAACCCTTATGCTGGGCAGATAGCAGTCGTTCCCTTGAGTTTCTCATTTCGAACAAGTACAGCTTTCAGACACACAAGTGCTTCATTAGTATTCTGTCCTCCTCGGCGCAGTGTATTTAAATTTTTCCGCAGTTTATCGTGGGGAAGTGACACTTTAGAGTTGAACATGCAACCTGAAGAACCCTTTCTCAGCCAAAGTGTGCTGCTCGACGGAACCTCGAGACGAAGTGTTCGAGCAGCAATTGAGAAGGAAAGTGAATTGAAAATTGAGTAAATACAGTGACTTTTCACAAAAATGGTGAGATGAAAATAAGAAAAAATACTGAACTCGCAGGGATTTGTTGTGTATTCAACAGATAATTAAACATTTAGTGCCTTCTTTCTTCTTTTTACTTGTCAGTAAATTAAACCTAATAAGACAGGGTTTTAATTGATGTTTTCCCTTCAATTTGAAATGCATGAAATAATGAGCGAAACACACCATTCCTCTGTAAACTATACAGTCGTCTTTTGGATAAACTGAAGATCTGGTTAAACGGAGACACCAATATGTGAAGTACTGTCTTAAGAATGGGAGGAAATTGCGCAACAACCGCAACAGTGATTCATAGAGTCTATCAAGAGAGTGCACATAAAATGACTGTGTAATTTAATCATCAACTGCCCATAATTTCGAACAGCTTCCAAATTAATAGATTGGCTGCTTTTTTCACCAATTTTGCCAGTCATTTTCACGTGGTTTTTGTGACTCACGAGAAGAAGTTTCCGACCGCCAATTTATTATAGGTGAATTTGAGGTTTATTCCTCTTTCCATCCTCTTTTTCGCCATTGTTCTCTTGCGCACAGACTTTGCGAATTATGCTAAGTTCTGGCTGTGTTGCTAATTTGTGGGAAAGTCAAACAGAAGTGCGATTGAGGTTCAATTAAATCACTCTTCTTGCTTGATGAAATACTTATTTTGAAGCAGAAGTTGAACATGTGTGTGCATAATTTGATTTCCTGCCGCTTATCGTTAGATCGCCTCGAAAAAAGTTAATTGATGGTGTTTCTTTTGGGAGGGATTTAAATCGATTTCGAGTCTAAAATCTGTGCTGAGTTGAATGGCGGAGTGAAACTGTTGCATTTTGCATTGCTCTCTTACACGTTTGACCTATAAAGTGGCACGTTGGTGTCACTCGATAAAAAATAACATCAATTGTCACTGGTCGTGCGCTGTTCAGGTAGAAATGTGCAATCGCCAGAGTTGAAGTTCCATTTTCAATTAAAATTTCATTTCGATTTGTGTGCGTTCAATTAATACGATTTAAGTCAGTGCTCGGCAGCATCTGGACCGAAATTCATTCGATTCCAGTGTTATTTTTCTAGTGAAGAAGCCTTGCTGAGAATTCAGCCTCTACAGAAAATACTTCCTGCTTGAATTGTGTGTGTAGTTTATTGAATTTTCCTCATTTTCCTATCGGCATCACTTAACAAATGTGCACTTGAGGTGAAGTGCAGAGAGAGAGAGGGAGGAGTTATGATAAATGCACAGGAAACTTTTATTTCTTAAACACCCGAGAGATGCCTATTTCCGTTTCAATTGCTTGAGAAATTGATGACTTTACTGGCAATCTTTCGAGCGGAGTGGGAAAAATGTGGGTATTTGTTTACAATTTGTATATTGTTTATGGCGATGAGGAAAGTCGCAATTCATAGTTTCCAAAGGCAATTGTGTATGCGTGAGCTTGACATTGAACCGACAATTTACTTATACGTTATTCATAAATTCAATTATTTGTACATTGAGACATTGTATGTATGAATATGACTGGCGAATGTTGCGTACATTGTCTTGCCAGCGATGGTGAATATTTGATTGTTTTCACTTCGCGCTCATCTTGCGAGCGGACAGAGAAGGAGAGGTATTCTCGATACTTGCTCTCTCTGCGGATGATTCACTTTGGCAGTGGAGTGTTTGTGTTTTATGAGGCATGAGTCAAAATGTTAAAGTGCAGAAATGAGCGTATGAAAATCGCTGATTTGCCCGTAATTGAGCACTGCGTGCTTCTTCATTAATTAACCGTGATTAATGTGTGCCTCCCACACTTTGTCCCTCTTTCTCACTCTTTGCAGATGGAGATCTGAAGCGACGACGATCGGATAGGAAGCAGATAGTGGCACGAAGGAATTCCAGTGGAGCGACTGAGCTGGTCGTAATGAATAGTCACGCGACAGCACTGAATTTGCAGTCATCTGGCCAAACAGCTGTTGTCGGTCACCATCGTGGTTTCTCTCAGGTTTCAGCCGGCTCTGGCGGCGGCTCCACATCGGGCGACTGTCCATGGTTTATGGCGGCTCATCAGATGCCACCGACAGCACCACTGCGCCAGCACAAGCGTCCAGCTCCCCAACCGGGTGTCATTCTCCACAGTCAGCCGCAGCCGAACGCCACCAAGCATCTTCCGCAGATGTCAAATCCTCCGCCTCAGGTGCCGCCACACTCGAATGTGGTAAGATTGCTCGAAATCTCGGTCTTGCGCCACCCACAGTCTGGCTAATTGCCCTCTTCCTGTGCCTGTTTTCAGCAACAGAATCAAAACCCCATTCACCTAACCAATCACTTGCACGCAAATCAGCAAATAACAGCGGCCTCGAATGCAGCCCACTCGCCCAAGTCACCGAATCTCCAGCCCATGCATCCGCACCAGACAATTCCACCGCCATCGAGCGCCTCCTTGGCCGCGTCGAATCTCATGTCAACGTCTCTCAACAGTGTGCAGTTGACGAGCCAAATAGCCGGCAATGGAGCGCCGCCGCCCAATCACCTGTCCGGCCTGGCTGTGCTGACGGCGTCGGGTGCCCCGGCGCCCATGTCCATGTCCTCGTCGCACAGCGGCATCGTGTTCGACAAGGCGAGCGCCTCCACGTGGAACAGCGCATCTTCACTGTCGCCCACGGTGCCATCGAATCAGAAAAAGTGTGAAGTGAAATTGAATGCAATGCCGTGAGTATTTATCTACGCACGCTTTTCCGTTCCCAATCAAATCACACAGTTTGCACGAGAAATTGAATATCCGCAACACTGGAAATATTGCAGGAATTCAATTGAATTTCACAGCTTGAAATGAAATTTGCCAGTCGGATTTGTTTGGGAATTTGAAAATACTCTTCTCGGAAAATACAAAGACGTATCGATAAATATATAAATAGATGAAATATGAGCGATAGTGTTGGGAGTTGAGTGAATTGGATGTATTTTTCTCATGTACTGACTTGGCATAAAATTAGATTGAAAAATGCTGTAGAAAAATGGAGCAAAATTATCCGGCGCCATTTACATGGAGAAAAGTGGGTGGAAGTGAAATTAACGAAGTCTTAGAACTTGATTTTAAGACGTGCACTAAATCTTGAATACTTTTATCGTGTGATATCTCATTGAAAGCACTTTTATGCCTTAGAAATTGATGAGATTCTATTGTTCGACTCCCTTCTAGACTAATATTATGCAAACAATATTCAGTAATTAAGAGTTGAGATGGCAGCAAAATTGGACAATAAAATCGCGAGTGGACAGTTTTCATAGCTTTCCGACTTGGCGGTTATTGTCGGAATTAAAAGTGAAGGCTTTTTTGGCATGTTAGCATGACGAGTGGAGGAGAGACACTATCTCACAAATGACTCACTGATTACTAAATTTGCCATTAATGTAATTTTTCCTCGACATGAGAGCTTTCAATTTGCATCATCAACTCGGTAAATCAGAGAGTGAAGTCAATGTAACGGCCATTAAGACGACATGGGCAGTAAAGTGTGGCATTATATAAGGTTGCGGATTGAAATGGAGAGACAATTTGTGAGTGTTACGATTGATTTTCACTTTGGGCGCGCGCTCGAACGTGTGTGGAGGAGGGAAGTTATGATATATTATCGTTATCAGGTGATGAATGGAAACGACACGCATTTGACGTGGAGAGAAATTCGATGGGCAGAGAGAAATGAAAGTGGCTGTGATGCACTTTTGGCCCTTTTTTGCGCGAGTTTCCGCGGTGTTGATTGATTGGGAGGAATAGAGTGAAATGGACGTCAGCACTTTCGTTGATTGTGATGTTTTCACTGACTATTGCAGATGGTTCCACGGGAGCATAACGAGAGATGAAGCGGAACACTTGCTGCAGCCACGCGAGGACGGGCTGTTTCTCGTGCGGGAGTCGACAAATTTCCCCGGTGACTACACACTGTGTGTGTGCTTCCAGGGAAAAGTGGAGCACTATCGCGTGAAGTATTTGGAGAACAAGCTGACAATAGATGATGAGGAGTACTTTGAGAATCTGGGTCAACTGGTGCAGCACTACGAGAAGGACGCCGACGGGCTGTGTACGCAGCTGATAAAGTGTCTGCCGAAGAAGGGCAAGCAGGAGTTCTGCATCAACTCCAAGGACTTCCTCGACAAGGGCTGGGTTTATCCGGAGAGTGACATTCAGCTGCGCGAGAGCATAGGGAAGGGGGAGTTCGGCGACGTGAAGCTGGGCCTGCTGCGGGGCGAGAAGGTGGCCGTGAAGATGCTGAAAGACGATGGAGCTGCTCAGAAATTCCTGGCGGAGGCCTCAGTTATGACGTAAGCACAATTTCTGGAATGATGATCTCATCCGCAATGCAAATGTGTGTGTCGCTGCTTTCAGAACGCTGGAGCATGAGAATCTCGTGAAATTCATCGGCCTGGTATTCACCAACAAGCACATATATCTCGTGACGGAGTACATGAGCAAGGGATCTTTGGTGGACTATCTCCGTTCGCGGGGTCGACAGCACATTACGCGGAAAGATCAAATTAATTTCGCATTGTGAGTATCTCTTTTGGCAGAGGCCTTATTGGTCTCGACGACGAGGCCGATGATCTCTCGGCGATGGCTGTGCAATTTGGCATGGGATCCTAATTGTTTTCCGTGTGCCTCTTTCAGCGACACATGCTCGGGAATGGAGTACTTGGAGTGCAAGAAAGTGGTCCATCGCGATTTGGCGGCCCGAAATGTGTTGATTTCGGAGAACTGTGTGGCCAAAGTGTCTGATTTTGGATTAGCACGTGAGGAGTGCTACAATCTCGACGTTGGCAAGCTGCCAATTAAGTGGACAGCGCCAGAGGCACTAAAAGGAGGGGTGAGTGTTATTTTCTCCACCCAATATTCTTCCTCATAATAAACTCTCGTGTGTATCTTTTCATGTCACGTAGCGATTCTCCAACAAATCCGATATGTGGAGTTTTGGGATACTTCTCTGGGAAATTTATTCATTTGGACGAGTTCCATACCCGAGAATTGTGAGTATAATGCATAATGATGGTGAGTGAGTGTGACTAACAAATCCACTGTCTGCAGCCACTGGCGGACGTCGTGAAGCACGTGGAGGTTGGCTACAAGATGGAAGCCCCAGAAGGTTGCCCACCGGAGATTTACGAGATGATGCGTCAAGCGTGGGACCTGAATCCGACAAGGCGACCAAATTTTGGGGACTTGAAGGTGAAATTGCTTCAATTGAAGAATGCCACCACGTGAATGTCTACTTTGATAAGCTCTTATCCATCTGCAAACTGTGCAGACACGATTGAATGTCTGGCGGTGTGAATTGTATTCAGTTTGGCCGTCGACACGGAGAAATTTTCAGTCTGTGGAGGAGCAAAAGAGTGAAATCTGTGCCACGATTTTTTTTTTAATTTTCTTCACGCTGTTTTGTTTGCACACTGTAAATCAATTGCAAGACAATATGCAGACCGGCTCTAAAAAAATATATTCATGTTTGCGGAGAAGTGCAGAAAATCAAGGAAGGAATTGACAATCACATAATCTCTGTTTAATCCATCTTTTACTTGACAGACAAGTTTTGATGTTCGTTGCAACATTTATGTCTCATAATCTCTGCGTTATCACACTGTTAAGAGGGTGTTTTGAAAGACGTTTTAATTAATTCAGGTGAAATTTTCTAATTGCCTCCAATTATCTCGTGGCGAATTGAAGGAGAAGCAAAAAAGCTATGCAAAACTTGTGCTGCAGATCAATATGAAAGTGGAATTCACGGCAATAGATGAGTTAATCGTGTTATTAAGACATTATACAGTAAAAAAGATGGCAAAATTATTCATAATCACAGCGCGTGGTGTGGCAGGAATGATGAGAAATTATTCAAGTACTGACATCTCTCCCTATATTTATATTTACTATTTAGTAATATAATATGATATTCATATTTGTAACTAATATATACAACTTAACACGGAGAATAGAAAGGAACATTACAAAAAAGGAAGAGTAGGAAAAGAGAGTAATCATTAGAGGTATTATAGATTGTAATTCATGAAGTAATGTTTTAGTGCAGAATATGATGAAATATTTTTTAGACGATCATATAGAGAAATAGAGTCACTGCAAATTGTGTGTTTGGGTCCCACAAAAGAGTTCAAAGAGGCAACAAACAGCTCGAATTACATGTTTATTTTATTATTTTACACAATCACCACAGAAATTAAACCGAAAATCATTTAATGCAAATATTCTGGATATATTCGCAGTGAGAAAAATGATGGTTTTGTGCACAAATTGCATGTAAATAGACGTCACACGATGAATACTGTCAATGGAAGAATCAAATGATATCAGAAAGAATGAATGGAATCTAATCTCGAAAAGTGTGACAAAATAATCAAATTGTTTTCGTCCAATTTATCAGAACAAACACACAGACAAAATGGCAGAGAGAGAAAGAGTGGATTTTGCAATGTAAATATTGACCTTATGGAGCACTTGTGAAGGAAAGTGCAGAAGAGATGAAATCATGAGCAAAACATTATATCATAAAATACTGTAAATATCAGCATTAATATTAGTGGACAAACTTTTTATTAGTGACTAAAAAGATCATGTTTTTGTAACTGCAATTTATGTAGGATGATAATTTCTATGTTTAGCTAAAGGAAAAGAAAATGTTTCTGTAATGATTAACAAAGTGGCGAAGAGATGATTTTTATGAGGATATAATTTAATCAATTTATGATACATTTGAACCCCTTCCCAAATCTCCAAATTAGAACTTAAATATAAATTATTTATTTTGCTGTCTTCCGTGACGCGATTATGAGGAAAATGAGGTGGAGAAATATATGGTGAAATATTGAATTTTGTGCAATTGACAATTGTGTTTTATATGTGCCGCTCGAGAGCAATATAACCAGTTAAATAGAATTGAAGGTATTCATTTTAGAGGAGATCTGATGGCAAAATTATTACATTTTAAAGTGTAGACGAGAAATTTACTGTAATTCTACAACATGATAAACATAAAATAGAAGTCTTGGCATTTAGAAATTTTTGGGTGTTGAAGAAAAAATGGCAAATAAATTGAGAAAATATAAAGGAAATGTGAACAAAATCGTAGACAAGTAATTTACAGAATAATTCCATGTATAATTTTAGTGTTGATGAGGCAAAATTATTGGAAAAAAGGAAAAAAAAACTTTGATGAAAAATTATGTGAGAAAATCGATGCGTTATAATTGCTTAAAGCAAACTTTTTTTTATAATTTGACTTAGGACAAAATGAGCAGAAAAGAACTACTTAAATAGACGCAAGAGGAGATACTTACATTTACTAAATACAATAATAAAATCTAAATCACATGTTTTATTTTATGATTTCTGTTTAATCTCACAACGCTTTTTCTTTGGTGCGTGAACGAGTGTATCGCACATTAACATTCCTTGGGGAATTAGAACCTTATTTTTTGCAAATTGTTATTGAATTGCGTCAACTTCCTTTTCTTTTGTATTGAATCAAGCAACAACTGAAGGAATGAAATTCATAGTAAACTGAGAAATAAACAATCTCTTGGAAGTAAATTCTGTCACAGAGAGTTTTATTGTCCAACGAATGAGAAGTTATTTTCCATTTCTTTGCGCAGCTTTATCATTTCCTGCGCACTAAGACGCCTTAGTGACTCTTCAATCAAGCTTACCGTCGGATTGAACGTGTTAATCCCGAGGTTTTGGTAAGCAGACGTCGGTTGAGCGTTCATGTCGTGAGTTGAAGTCGCTTTATCATAGTGGAAGGGAAAGTTTTCACAGACTTCCATTCTTTCACACTCGGACGCCCTGAAAGGATTTCTTTGCTCATAACTTTTGAACGCCATTAAACTGAAATGTTACTTACAAACTGCGTTGATTTGGTAATAAATAAAGCTGAGGCCCGAAATGTGGCTCCAAAAGAGAGATTCTGGCATCCAAAATTGTCCTCACGTCGAGTTGGTGGACGAGAAAACGCCTATTTTCAATCGTCATCGGCAATGCGCTGCTGTTAAGGATAACATAATCACTACCAACGATTTGGACAAATACATTACTTTGAGGATTTTGCATCTTCACTTAAATTTCTGCAGTCTTCGAATAAAAGCTTTCAGAATGACTGAGATTCACACAAATAAATTGCATTGCTTTGATTTCATGCGACTTTTCTCGCGCCAGAGACAAAAACCGACCAGTAAAAGCGTGCAGCATATGCTTCATGCCATGCTTAACGGTAAAGAATGATATCATCGCCAATGGATCTCTTTCATCACCTGTATTTACAATTTACCCACTCTGACACCCCTTCGGAAGACCCCTAAGCGACGATTGGCGATGCAAGGAGTCAAATTACACAGCGAGCAGGGAAATTCGATGCGACGCGGTGAAAATGGAGCGATTTGAAAGTCACCCTGCAAAGCGCGCCAGTCGTAAAACATGGATTGTAATTGATCCGAAACTGGCAAGAAGTTGTGTGTTGAACACAAATCGCACTTTGAATCATTTTATGAATGAAAATTAACACAATGCGGTATTTGTTTGTTTTTGCAATCAAATTATGTTAATTCCCGTCCATAAATTATCGTCACACAAAACATTATGGGCGCGAGAGGGAGAGACAAGGAGCTTCTTTAAGTGTCTTTTTTCTCCTATTCGCTTGTCTGTTTGGTTGTGTGGCTCTTTTTTATTGCTCCCTGCCATGGAGTGTCATCTTCTGCTTATAATTAATTAAATCACATTGAAAATATACAGAGATTTCGTAGTTTTTTTTTTCACATTTTGCTAATTCTCATGTTTTTGCTACTCTCAGGGGCCAAAAAAGGAAATATACAAGGAGAAAATTATTACCTTTTGTATTCGCGAGACTCTGCAAAATCTGGATTTATCGCTCCCGCGAGATGTTTTTCTCTGGGCGTCGTGAGAGAACCATAAAATAAAAAAGAGGCACAAGATGGCAAGAGGAGATGAATGAAATCTGAGATGGATAAAGAAGAGCTTTTTAGATCTTCAGAGAGAGATTCCTCATCTGCAGACGTCGCACAGATGAAGAAAGAATTGGATAATTCCAGTCAATTGCCATCCAGAGACACACAGAGCCAGTAAATACAAGTTTGAAGGATCGAAGGCGTTCTCGAGTGCTGCAAAAGGCCAAAAGATCACGATGGCAAACTCCACTGATTTACATAATTACACGATTTCAACGCCCAGCTGCATTAATCACGTACATAAAATACATTTTTCACTCCGAATCTCGCGCCACGGAATAATTTGTCAGCTACAAAATTCCCACTACAAGTGTCGGTACATTCTTTGACTCTCTGTGCCCAGAGATCCCACACACTTATTCTATGCCGGAGTCTCCATCGTGTCTGGAGCGTCTCTTCGCGTGGAGCATTAATACCTTTTTTCTGCTCTCGCTCAATGCAATATGAAAACCAATTGGAATGTGTCGCTTTTTCTCTCCATTTTGCGAGCCCGAGAATTCCTCCAGTGCCTCCACTGAGTCGTTATTTGCATCAGCGCTCGAGCACTTTTGGGTTCTTAACACTAGATTCACCGCACATGGAACACATTGGCTTGGAAGTTCATTAGTTTCTGTATTTCTGGGTTGTTTCAGTTGTCAACTATAAAGTGCTTTCAAGGAAGTGTTTAAGGAAACATCCAAACTGATAGCTATTAGACTGACTCGGTTAATCTAGTGTTAAACCCATTGTAATATGAGACACTGTGTATTAAATGACTTATTTGCTCCGGACGCCTCTTGATTCCTTCACTGGTGAAAAAACAAATAAGAGAAAATGAAACGTCTCAAATATTTCGGTGTGATTGCTTGCGTGTTCTCACATTTCAAGCCATCCGAGCGACAAGTTGCTCAAGTGATTTGCTTCCTGATGCGGAGGGAATATGTACATAACATATGTAGTATGCAAAAATTTTCCATTTACTCAATGGCAACTTTTATCTAAATATTATTCTTTCCAGCTATTGCTCATGTCAACAGTGTGGGAGAGGAAAAACACTTGAAAAGACGCAATGAGTTGGTTTATGGATTTCATTATCAATTACGGAATCACTAATCATTCATACTATACTTTTATGTTTGATTGCTAATAAGCAACTTTTATGACTGTATTTCCTTCCTCGCGCGCCGTCTCGAGTTGACAACAGAATAATACTGTATGAATATTTCAGGTAATTTTAATTGCCGTGTAAAAAACTATTTAGCAAACACTCATTTAAATTATGTTATGATACTTGACACACTGGTTGGATTTTTTTCTGGGCATCGCAGCTTGAAAAAATATGCTTGATCTGCGTGATTTCGGGGAGAAGAATTCGCAAACATGGCCAACAGTCGAGGGATGGAGGGAATGGACAAAACGTGCCTAAAACATACATACAATCCTCTCACATAACAAATTAATTTGTTTGTCAGCGCTCGCAAAAAATGTTGCCGCTGAGAAGATGGAGTTTATAGGGAGAGGATTAAAGAAAAAAAAGCCTCTGTAATCTCTTCCATTCATATTCCTACGCTATTTGTATATTTCAATGTATGATAATTTATGTAGGAAAGATGTAAATTAATAATAAACGCCCATCGTCACATTCATTCATGTGATGCAGAAGACTTTCGTCGAGACAATAATGCCATTGATGTGTTTGTATTAATTTAGAAGCACATAAAATGCCTGTAATTCTTCAAGTAGCAAAGAATTGATAGCGGCTTTCTTTGGGTCAAATGATCTTTTTAGCTCCTCCCACACGAAAGCCCCGCCCAATTGAATAGATTTTTCTTGAAAACAGTCATGTTTCTAGCATATCAAAGCTCTGATCTAATAGATAATATTAGAAGAGAAATACAGACATTTTGCTAATTCAATTCTGAAAATTAACACTATCGTGACGCGCTAATTTCCGAATAACATATTCGATTTATTTATTTTTTTAATACAGACATAATTGAATTCCTCTCTTCATTTAATTGTGTGCCTCTGAGAAATATTTTTGATAGCTTGTTTTTTCTCGTTGGCTGAATAAATACAGATCATTTAATCGATCTGTGATGTTTGGGAGAAGTTGATTTTGATAACAAGAGAATTTCCAGTGAAATCTGCGCGATTCCATGCGACGTTCTCGAGAGTGTTCGCGAAATTCGTGTGAATTTCATCAGATGACGATCGCGGTGAGGATGAGCTGAGATGTTGTGAGGGGAAAGGGGCTAAAGTACACCTTGACATTTTGAATTTGTGATGGACGAAATCTCATATTTCCTTAATTAGGAGTTTAATCATCGATTTTTGTTTACACACCGGAGAGTAAAATACATAAAATATGGGAATGACTGCGGCGAAAATTGGTGTGTCTGGCCATATGGCATGGGATTTGAGGTGCGCGCTCTTGTATAGGTTCACACGATCACGATTCGCAATCGAACCAGTCGTTAATCTCTCCCAGGCAGAATCTCAAGTGTGAGACATTCATTCATCCGCAAGAAGGTGAATATCAATTGGAGAGCTCGCGAATCGCGGCTTTTTTCCTCTCTTCGGCCACAAATGACTCATCGCATGGGTTCTCTGGTGTGATCTTCTGACCGACAAACTCGTTTTTTCGTCTCCAGATCGCGCGCCTCACCCAGAGAGAAAGAGCAAAGATATTGGGAAAAGATCATCCGCGATCACTTGTATTCGCACAATGCGGGAGAATTGGCAGAAAAACAGTCAAATGAACTCTTCCTTTGCCCAGGAAATTAAACTCCAGCTCAATTTTCAGCCAATTGACTTTTAATCTCTTCAGATCAACAATCGCTGGATCTTGATTTTGGTGATTTTTATATATTGGATTGAGGTGTGTCCGACTTTAGAGCCAATTTGCCCATTTTATGCTTTTATTTCTCCCTCACTGTTGTGCGGCACAATTCGTAAATTTCCTATTTTTATGTGCACATCGATAGCCATGAAAATGACATCAAACACCCAGAATTCACTGCATCAGTCTTAGATCATGATCCGAAAAAGGATGAATGCGATATTTGGCAATAAGGCAAAGATCACAAGAACAATGATTTTATTGATCTTGTGCTCTTTTTCAGTTTCTCTCGCTCAATAGCCTTGATATGGAAAATTGTGTGCTTGAAACTATTCAATTTCATCCTTTCTGGATGATCACGCACTGTGTGAAATTATCATTCCTATTCGTGATATCGGGAGTTGTCAAATGATAGAATACCGCGCAGCGAGATTTATTCACCATGTGATCTCACTAATTACAAGAATTGACACCTGACAATTATCGCATGCAGATCGCGAGGAATTAATGTCTCTTTTAAAGCCAACAGCCATCGTAAATACACATGAGATTGATCTTTATGGCTCTATGACGGTGTCGGAGCTAATTAAATTTATTGTGGGATTAATTCTTCTCAGCAATGTTAATTTCCCTTGAGACACACGATCGAAAATGCAATTTTTCATTCCCTCCCATATGGAATAATATCGCAAGAATGTCTTGTGCTGTCATAATTTATTGGGAAATGCAAAAATCATGCAAAATTGCGTCGTGTCGTTCTAGAGGTCTGCGTATTATGCGCGCCCACCTCAAAAGATGCCGCGCATCTTCGGCCGCGATAGCAGATAAAATATTTAATTAGAAAATGAATTATATATTAAGGAATGACTAATCGATTGAGTCATCCGGCTTTTAGCGCTGCCATCGTAAAAAAAGAACTGTGCGAAAGATCGCTGACAGAATGTCTGGTTTTGCGTTTAAATTATTTACTTTTGAACATCGAATGGAAAAGACAAAAAGGCACCAAAAAGTGTATATTTCAGCTCAAATCCCAATGGCCTCTTGTATGTATACGATTTTTTTTCTTCTCTCAGTTCTACACGAGCCGCGTTTTATTATACTAAACTTATTTATTTTCGCTATTTGCATATGAGATCACAGAGAGAGTTGGTGAAAAGACCAAAAAGAAGCGTCTTAATTGTCCCGCGCTCAGGGAAAAAAATCCACTGCCTATTTTATTGAGTGTATCATCGATTGCGGGGTTTGGCAATCTCTTGCTCGAGTGCCTGTGCTCCTCTTGATCGCCAGCCTCAGCCGCGCAGTGACATGGCGTGAGAGGCGGGAAACCCTCTCGGCGAGTCTCATCGGCGGTTGGAAAAGTTTCGCGAGGGGCCATTAGCATATAAAGCACTTGGGAAGTTTCTGCGATAGAGTCTGCTTCACACACAGGCCATTGAGGCTAATCTTAAATTAAAATAGGTGTGTGGGCCTTTCTGCGTTAATGGATAGATGGAACGGAACACCTTCGTGGTTTCGCGACGAAATCGGCCTTATGTTCATTTTAGGTATTTGCGCTTCGGAGATTCTTTCAGAAATCTATCATAAAGATCGAAGTTTGTAAGGATTTTGATAGGCAAGAGATATTGAAGTGAAGCTATGAAATTTTTAGCACAATATTATGATGAACTCACTTATATTTTTTAATCAATCAAAAATTAAGAACTTTAGCAAGTATGCAAACTTTATCATTTGTGTAAATAAACTGTGAAATTCAATGTGATGTGAAGTGAATTTCTGAAAATTTCATTACTCTTCAATGTTTCCCAATTTTTCACAAGACATCAATTCGGTAGGGGAAATATGTGAAAAGCAAGCGATAAGTGTCTTCGTGTTCGCTATCTCAGAGAGACGAAAATGCAGAGGACGATTTTCTGTGTGAATGAATGCAGATTTTCCCCCTGCAAGCTGTGATTGATAGAAATCACACTGAGAGTATTTCGTCACTTTCTTCTCAAATATTATGCAAAAGCCATCAAGTGCCAGAATGCAAATACTTGTAACATCAAATATTGCACTTTGGTTTATAAATAAACTCACGTTTAACCCAAAACTGATTTGCTGATGCTCTCTTGTGCAAATCTTGGAAATGCGATCAAATCTCGAGATCATATTAAGGATGTTTTCATTCGGAAAAACAGCAATAATCGCTAGAAAAGCGTGTGGTTGAGAATATAGAATACCAACACCGAAAGCCAGTCGCCTCTCTTGAGAGGTATTCGCGAGTGTGTGCGCCACAAACTCAAGAGCTCAAGCGATCGCATTGAGCGATTTAAATCAACAGACACCAGACAGTTGGAGTTGGATCGTCGGCTCGATTGCATCTCTTCTTTTTGCCTCCGCCAAGCAAATCACTGCGAAACTCGCGATCTTCTGGGCCTCGAATGGTTTTTCCAGAGTTGTTGAAAATTGCAAATTCCACCATCTGTGAGTGATCGCCTTTGCAGTGCCACACTAATTGATCCCACTTGTGACTGGTGGAGAGATTTGATGAAAACCCAGTGAACTTCGCCTGGAAAAGTGTATACACGTATTTTTCCAGCGATCGCCAGAATTGATCAGAGACCATAGCGACAAAATGTAAGATTGATGTGTATTCTCTCTCTTTCCACGGTTCTGTACTTGCTCAATGTATGTTTTAATGTTTATTTAATTGAATACCGAGTTGCATTTCAATGATCTTTTCGTGCTCGCACGGAGACATCCACAAATGTACATATTTATTCAAGGGGAAGTGAAGGAAAAAAGAGGAAAACGAGCGCAAGTGAGAAAGATGAAAAGTATCTTGTCTCGAGCAATAAAGTGATAAAATGCAGCATTTCATGTTTCTCCCCTCAAATTTACCCATAAAATCCCAATAATTCCCGGCCAATGACAGTGAAATTATGTAATTGCGCCAATGAAGGGAGCCTCTTGAAACGAGAGGTGTTAATAATAATTGAGTGACGCGCGAACACAAGAAATTATCTCGCATGGTAAATTGTGTGCAATTTTAATGAAATGTGTAATACAAATATATCACTCACGACAAACGATAAATTAGTTTGAATGCAGAAAAGGTGCTGCGCGAGGTGGAATTTATCGTCATAGCTGAAGATATATTCGCACCTCCGAGACATTATTGTTCAATTAAGCACGAATAGAATCGATTAGAAATTTTCTCTGGCAACTCAATCAACTCCACTTGAGCTGTGCATTTTATTTTACATTGTGCGACTGGGCGCAAAAGTGGGGGATGATTTACGATGATATTTTTATTGTAGATCCGTGCTAAAATAATTGCTATTTTAATTTATTGAATTATTCCTCTCGACATCGCGATAAACACTGAAAATGCTGCCTGAAACACCACTTGTGGGATGATAAAGAGCGGAGGATCGCATGTAATAAATAAATATAGTTGATGGAATTTTGGGTGAAATGAGATATCGAAATAAACATGCTGACATGCAAATAGTTCACTTCCTCTTCTCAAGCACCCAACATCGTTAAGGCATTCCCAATAGAGTGCAAATAGATGGATATTTTTCCTAAAAATCATGTTGAAATTCCCAACTTTTATACTTAATTGCTGGGTGTTGTGATTTTGTGTGGCGCCAACAGAACATTTGTCTTCAATTCACCAATTTCATTTTGCCCTCTCTTCGCCTTCTTCCCATTCTCCAAATACACTTACACACCGTACATCGTGATTATAAATAAAACCAAAATGCAGTAATTAAAAAAAGACAGAGTGGAAAGGAGAAGAGGAAAAAATCCTCACCGTGTAAACGCCCCACTTGATGGCGCCTAAGAACTTTTTCCTCATCTTCCTTCTGCCCACAAAAATTCTCCTCTCAGTTGCTGCTGAATGGATGAAGATAGTGTGGAGGTATTCCGCACAAAATCAACTTCCATTGGCATCAGACTGTGATTTTATAGAGTCTAAGTGGTCAAAATACTTGAAGAATTTGCATATCTCCAGCGAAAAACACTGAAAAATATTATCACAACAATCTTTTTTTGCTCGGCTATCAAAACTCTGTAATAATAAATTGAGATATAGGGCAAATATTTATTCTAGCCCGAGAAAAAAAATCTAAGAATCAATAAACAAATAAGATTATATAATACTTTATCGACATATTGAGTTACAAAAATATTTATCAATTGAATGTTGTTGTAATTATTGCATAAAAAGGTTGAATACTTGGATTGTCATCTAAAATCTTTAGAATTCACAGAACTCTATTTGAAATCTTGAATAAAATGGCAGATAGACCCTAGGAAAACCACAATAAATCTCACACAACTGATGTACATCACAACTCTGAGTTCCCTTCCTTTGGGCATCCCGAGGAGGCTCCTATATATCACGCAAAGTCATCTCGCTCTCGAGGAATTGGCGCCACAGCCTATCGACAATCTCTTGGCGAGGCTCAGTGTTGGAGGCTGCGAAAGGGCAAGATCCTCGGCTCCGCAACCTCGGGAATGGTGATTGAGTGCACAATGCAAGAAGTATTGTTTGCCTCGCATGTGTGCCATTTGGCGCCCCCACGAGACGCGCGCGCGCGCCCCTTTCGCGGAAAGATACGCGATCGCGGCGGAGTTCTGGGAAGAGATTGAGACATTCACGCGTGAGATTTATGTATCTAAAATTAAAAGACGGTGTATATTGCATCTCTTGAGAGTCTCAATGTCTTTCCACACATTTGTAATCTCTCTAGCGCCACTTAATTAAGATCATTTGTTAGTGAGCTCATAAACACGATTGTGAATGTTCAACAGGTGCCCCTTGTTTCTCCAACTCGCATCATCTCTCCCGCCTTCCCATGAGAGTTATGAGTGCCTTGCGACGCACAGAAGACACTTTATGATATCAATTGGAGTGTCGTCGCATTTTTAATGAGTATGAAACATAAATTATTGTGTTTTAGTGGAGATATAGAGGATAAATAAAACATGAGCCTCAAGTAGTTGCTGGTGTAAATGTACACACTAAAGCGCGATGGAAAATTGAATTGTGTGAGAAGTGCAAGGGAGTCACACATTGAAGGAAATACGGTTTATGATTTCAGATTGATGGCGCCTCGCTTAGTCTTCAGACAAAATTCCCCGCCGCACGAGACGCCAATTTCCCCATTTTTATGCATAAATGCCCCACAAATAAACGCGAGCACAGAAATGGCTCCAATTCTATTTTGCCTATGCATCCAAATATCAATTCTCAGATTCAGTTCACATGCGGAATGGTTTAATGAAATGCTGATTAATTGAGCGCCTATATTTTGGTGGTGCCATAGACATCAGAATGTGGAAGTCTGACTACGAAAATAAATCAAAATGATCTAATTTTGAGAATCTGTCCATTTTAGTGGCACATGTTGTAGAACAAATAAACACCAAATCCTCACAAAATGCACATATGGAAGGTCTTAGTTTTACGGTCGTGCAGAGAAGAAGATCATGAGGAAAACAAACAGACAAGGCGCTCAGTCACATTTTCAATCGAGTGACAAACAGAAGTTTAGTCGATTCTCTCGCTGATTATTTTGTGAAACAACAAATTGAGCAAGTTCAGATCTTGAGGAAGGACGAGAGAATGAAGTGTCTTAAAATGTGATTTGCCAGTGAAAATGTCCTGAGGAATAGTGAAAAATGAAGAAAATCATCGATAATGGTTAGTGCCAAATAAATGAGCGCGCAATGGACAATTAGTGCAATAATTGAGTGTCTTGGACGAATTAAGCGGCCAAATACAGAGAGGAAGTGCAAGCAATAAAGCAACGCGATAAATAACTGTAAGATGCCACAATTTGGGATTTGCGGAATAATTCTCTTGCTCACTGTGGGAACATCTCTTGAATTGGAATATGAACATGAAGGTGAGTATATCAATGAAGATCTCACATCTTTTTTACACACTCCTTGCCAATATCTTCTTTAATTTATTACACTCCTCACAATATATATTTCAGCCATAATTTGAGATCCGAGGCTGAGATCAAAATTTCTCTTTATTCCCATTTATAGTAAAGAAGGTGATCTTTTTCTCCTTCGGCGCTTTTCAGCATCTTTTGTGTGTGATCTGTTGCCCGGCCAACGAGCTGCAATACCTATAATAACAATCATGCATTCTGAGCATGGAGAGGTGGAGAAAGACGCTTTGGTCCATAATTAATTCGAAAAAGCCGATAATAATATAAGTACCTTCGTCTTTTTCTCTCCCTGGCGCTCACGTTGGCGCCAGACGACAAAGTACGGGAAAACACTGTCATCATAAAGAAACGTTTCTTATTATTATTGTGGCGATATCTGGAGTGCACGCATTATTCCACATTCGCTGGCTATTATTGTGTTGCGCCTCAAAGAAAATGCCATGCACACAAAACTCAGGGAGGCAGAGAGACACAAAACTCTTGCCGCCGCACTCTTCGGGCATATGTTGAATTTTTTCACACATTCTGCATTCGCAATTCTGAATGGCCAAATATGAAAAGTCCCTTTCACACAGCACCGCATCCAAAGGAACCCGCGCCAAGGTGTCCGGCGAGAATTTCATCACTAATAAGGTGTTCTCTCTTCTCTCTCTCTCTTCAACCTCAAGGCATTTACTCAAATGGAATTGCTAATGGAAAGTTAGTGATTCCCAGAAAAGTCGATCAGCACGGCAACCATGTCTCGCACTTATTGGATCACCATCACGATCATGAGGCCAATGAGACCACTCTGCACTATCACTTGGAGATTGATAACGAAACGCTGCATTTAGAATTAGAGTGAGTCACAAATTTTGCCACATTTAATTCCCATTAGCTTCTTGCCACTTCGAAGATTGAGAATATTGTTGATGTCGATGGCTTAAGTGAAGATTAATATGCAAAGTAATATTAAAAGTATATTTAGAGTGAGTTTTTGGAAGTGTTCAACCTAAATAAACTGAAACTATATGCTGATAAAAGGTAGAGATTCGTTTAATTAAGATATTGTCGACTTTCAGAGATCCTCAAGAAATGACTCTTAATTGTTCTGGACAATTATTAATTTTAACCAAATACCGAATTCAATATTTCATGATCAAGAGATTAAATTCGCATAATCAACAGATTTAGTTGCGACCACAGAAACGACAGAAAATACTTGAAATAAAATTATATTCAAAGTTCAAAAATTATTTCAAAGCATTTTCTCATCAAGTTGCCGTTTGAATGGAAAACACTTCACTAAAACTCATGGAATTTTAAGAAATTAGATGATTTCACAACCTTTTCTTTGGTAGGCCTTCGCATGAGTCCTTCATTGCTCCCCTGATGGTCGTGGAGCGCCACAAGAGGGACACGAAGGTGCGCAAGAAGTACAAACACAGCAACGCCAGTTCCTGCTTCTACCAAGGGCAGATACGGGGACACCATCGGTCCAAAGTGGCCCTTTCGTCGTGCAACGGCATCGTAAGTCTCTAGGATAATGCTCTGGGAGAAGGTGTGGTCGCCTTTCTTCGCGGCAATTCATCCGCGATTGCCGGCGATTATCTGTTGGCCATAATAGCTGGCAGTCGTACAAACAAATGGCTTGTGAAGCCTCATGCATGAGTGAAGAATTGCAATCTCTGAGGCGATGATCTTTCCGCAGAAATTCACCAGAAATTGTCAGCTAAATCAGTGCGTATAAATTACATTCGAGGCAATTGTGTGACTCTAATTTACATCTTAATTACAAGTCCGCTTTCGAGAAGCAGCCGGCATTTCTATGGGGGCAAAAATGGTCAAAGTGCCGTAAATTAATTGACATCCTAACTTCTCAGAAAGCTCATGCTCGCGGCGCGCAACAAAATCAGACTAAGTGCACTGAATGTTGGTGGTTAAATGAATGTGGCAAGTTAATTGCGATATAATTGCTCATTGCAATTATGAGCTTTCAAGTAATGTCGCGCGATGTTTGTTATACATTTTAGTGTGAGGCAAAAGGTGCGCGATTTTCGCGAGTGAAAATGACTACATTGCCTGTGACGCCAACACCATTAAGTCCGCCTTTGCTAATTCATTCATTAAATTCAATAACTAATTCCGAGATACACTCTCTCAATGGAGAGTGGCTTTCCGCCGCGCGAGACAGGTTGACCCACACAGAGACACTCATTCAGCGCGACCTGTTGAAATGCAATCCTTTTTCATCGTCAAACACCATCATTCGATGTGGAACTTTATGTTTCCCTCATCTCAATATTTTACCACAGATATTAGACACAGATTAGAGCTGCTGAGACATTAGTGAGTTGAGTGTTGGCGACAAAAAATTAACCGTTTCACCAGAAATCGCTCTAGCGACAATTTGTATCACAAAATTCGCGCGCTCAACATTTTAGGGATATAATAAGTTTTTTCTCAGACCTCATAGCTCTACAGAAAAAATATACTTTTAATTAAAATTAATACCACACGCCAGGAGAAAAAAGTTTACAATTTATTGCCTGGACCACAAGACGCATTTTTTGGCCTGGTTAGTGAGTTAATGACGAGTTGGGAATAGGCACGAGTTTGTTATAAAATTCATTCGCTGCACAATAAATCACATTGGCAAAAGGATGGCGAAAGAGAGGAATTGTGATGATTTATTCCCCTGCTTCCAGACTGGATTCGTGGCCTCGAAGGACAAGGGTTTCTACTGGGTGGAGCCCTCGAAGAGACACAAGCCTCACCATCGCCTGGGCCATCCTCATGTCGTGTTTAAGGCACAGAATGTCAATCCGCACAGCGCCTCGGTGCCGCCCAAGAAGCGCCGAAAGCACAGGCGCCGCCGGACCAGCACGTGCGGCACAAAGGAGCCCAAGAGGAAGGCTGAGACGCAAATCGAATGGCAGCCGCAGGGAAAGGTGCTCGTTCAGGGCGGTCGAAGGGCGAGGAATCGCAGCCCGAGACGGCCAAAGCGCTCCGTGAGCACACCGCATCACGTGGAAGCCCTGGTGGTGGCGGATTCCACGATGATGGCCTTCCACGAGCACGGAGACGTGCAGACGTACCTTCTGACCATTATGAACATGGTGTCGTCGCTGTACAAGGATCACACCATTGGCAATCTCGTGCACATCGTCGTGGTGAAGATCCTCATGCTGGACGACGAGGAAGCTGAAGAGGAGCTGAACGTGTCGCACGCAGCAGAAGCTACGCTGTCCAACTTCTGTCGTTGGCAGCGGAAGCTCAATCCTAGAGACGACCAGGATCCCCACCACCACGATGTGGCCATTCTCGTGACCAGAAAGGACATCTGTTCCCACAGTGGCTGCATGTGAGTAGAGTATCCTTTGTCACGCCCCCTCGTAAGCCCCACCCATTGACGCGCTAGTAGGGGAATTGATCAAAGCTCGCGGCCGCCTTCTCTAGGTCAATGGCGTGCGATTGCAATCTCTCCGTCGCGAATGCATTTATCTGGTCTTTGCAGGACGCTGGGGGTCGCAAATGTTGGCGGCATGTGCAGAATGGACAAGTCATGTAGTGTCAATGAAGACAATGGAATCACATTAGCGCACACGATCACCCATGAATTGGGTCACAAGTAAGTTTCCTTGTTTGATGTTGAATTGATGTCTTTCATTATCGGCGCAAAGCCCAAATGCAGAGACCGAAAGCGACACACACACACACACACACACACTGCGGACGATCGCGGAAGAGTGAAATCGCGATTCTTTCTCTCCTTTCTGCGAATTAATTTTTGCACCATATCGCGAGAGGGTGTGTTTTATCCAATATATCTTTCCGTATTTGCGTGCGTCTCTTTCGCTCTTGAGTGCCGCAGCGGAATTGTAAAATCAAAAGTCGCCTGCCAATTAATCAGCTGCCAGGCAATAAATTAGTGTTGCTCAACTAATTAAACTGCTGTCTGGAGATCGCGTTTCGCCCACGGAAACGAATAGAAGCTGTTTTGTACAATTATTAACAATATAATTTTCTATTTATTTACACACTTTGTGTGCCCACTTGCAATACGATACCGATCGCTGGTGATCTCGCGGATTCGTCTGATAGTGGCTTCGCGATCGTGTGCGTTTGCCATTTGATGCTCGCCATCTCTCGCGGTTCTTTGGCTCGCACACAGGCAATTTTGGCATCGGATATCTGATCAGCCGACTTGTCTGATTGATTGATTGATTGAATGATTTATTAGGTGAGTAATTACAGAATGTAGCATGCAAACCGGTCGCGGTGCGATCAACTGGAGGGAATATCACTTGAATGAATTGAGAAAATCAATCGCCAGTGCACACAAGGAGGCATTGTAATGTAAATTGCCATGTGCATGCGTCTCATTAGCCGCTCTCATGAGAAGTGCGAGGCTTCATTCCATCGCGACAAAGATGAATTCAACGCGTTCATTTGCGTCGCGCGAGAGTGCAATTATTTATGCCAAAATGATCGTCGCACACGGCTCTGCGCATTTAAATTACAAATGTGCAAAATTGATTTTGAACTTTGCTGCACACACACAATTTTCTCACAATTTCCGTTACGTGCAATTCAATTCATCATCTCGCGCGCCACCCGTTCAATCACACACAATCGCGGCCACAAGAGCGGCTCTGCGCCGATTAATCATTGCACAGAGCTTCAAAGTGGGACTGGATTGAGGAAAATGGCAAATTCACTGTTTCTTTAATTTATTGCTACAGTTTCGGCATGTATCACGATACCGAGAAGACTGGCTGCGGCCACCGCATTGGCTCCATTCTACATGTTATGACACCCAGTTTCGAAGCGGACACAACACACGTGTCATGGTCAAATTGTAGTCGTCGCGATATTACACACTTTCTGGAGTGAGTAATTTTCATTCTTGCTTTTCAGTCACAGAACGTATTTTATATCAGAACAACCTTTAATGAAATTATCGCATGAAACTAATCTGCAACTTAAGCAATCAATTGCATGCAACTGATTTGAGTTTTAACTGACAAAATCAATTATGTAAAAAAGATCCTTTCATAACTATTTGCGTCTTCTGGATCATCAGTCAAGGATTGGGAAAATGCCTAGACGACACCCCCACGACAGAAGAACTGGAGGACAAGTACGAGTATCCCGATCTTCCGCCCGGGGCCATGTACAATGCGGACCTGCAGTGTCGCCTGCAGTTCAATACAACCGACGAAACCGTGCGCGTCTGCTCGCAAATGGATGAGATCTGCTCTCAGCTGTGGTGCCAAGTGGACGGCTCCTGCATCACGCAGTTGCGAGCCGCCGCGCCGGGAACGACGTGTGGCAAGCACAAGTGGTGCCAAGAGCAGAAGTGCGTGCTGATGGAGGATCTGCCGCGGCCCGTGGACGGCGGCTGGGGCAACTGGAGTGACTGGACTGAATGCTCGCGCGCGTGCGGAGCCGGAGTCTCAATCCAGATGCGAGAGTGCAACAATCCGCACCCGTCGAACGGCGGGAGCTTCTGCATTGGCGAGAGGACACGCTACAAGACCTGCAATCTTGAGGTGTGTCCAGACGATGAGCCCAGCTTCCGCGCTGTCCAGTGCTCCAAGTTCAACAATGAGACTTTTCGCGGGAAGAACTACACTTGGCTGCCTTTCTTCGACACGCGTGAGTACATTTCGCGGTGACGCAGAGAATTATAATGCTGAGGGAGTTCTGGCTTTGCAGAGGAGCCGTGCAAGCTGTACTGCACTGATACTGACGACACTGTGATAGTGCCTTGGGGAGCGTCAGCCGCTGACGGCACGCCGTGCAATTTGGGCACAAACGACATGTGCATTTCCGGCATCTGCAGGAAAGTGGGATGCGATTGGGTGGTGGATTCCGAGACGATTGAGGATCAGTGCGGCGTTTGCGGAGGCGACGGCGAGACGTGTACTGTCATCAAGGGCGACTTCAACAAGAGGCTCAATATCTCGGAAGGATACTACCAGATCACCACGATCCCAGCCTGGACAAGGAACATCCATGTGGAGGAAGTGGGCCCGTCCAAGAACTACCTGAGCATCGGACAAGCAGGAACAGACAAGTTTTACCTCAACGGAGACAGGTGAATTTTCCACACTTCACAAAGAGCTTCCCTTCCTGACGAAGGATGTCTTTTCAGGCTCATTTACTTCTCAGGTGAGTACGATATTGCTGGCGCGAAGGGCTTGTACGACAGGAATGTGGAAAAAGACAAGGAGATCCTCAACATTCCGGGGCCCATCAAGGAGGACATCATACTGTACGTCCTGATGAAGGGCAAGCACAAGAACGTGGGTCTCAAGTATGAATACACGCTGCCATCCAATGCCACGGCGCCGCCAATCTTCCGCTGGAAGCTGGGCGACTGGACAGCTTGTTCTGCGACCTGCGGCGGAGGAGTGCACTTCAGATTCCCTATTTGCTATCAAGAGAACAAAGGTAAAGGCACCCTTCCTGGCACTGTTTTGTCTTATTATTCTGAAGAAATCCTTTGATTTTGCAACAGGAATTGTGGATGAGGAACTGTGCTGGTCCAATGCCGATGATCCGCGCCCAAATCAGATCAAAGAAGTGTGCAACGAGGACATGTGTCCGGCGCATTGGTGGGTCGGACCGTGGCAACTCTGTCCCGTGACGTGCGTGAAGCGCGGCGATCCGAACCCCGTCAAGCGGCGCTCCATAATGTGCGTGAACGAGTACGAAATGGCGCTTCCGGACGCCAGCTGCCACGAGAGCGAGCGTCCGGCCGACACGATGCCCTGCAGTCAGGTGATTCCCGTCTGCAGTGAGTCAGCCGAGGAGTTGGAGGGCGAGAAAGTGACGCCCGAGGAGACGAGCAATAATGTAATTTAGTTCTTAGGCATATTTCTGTGTTATATTAACATTCTCTTCGCGAGCTGAAAACTCTCTACTCCATTACCTGAACGCCCAGCCTCTTGTAGACGTACAACTCCGTAGGACTGCCCATGAAAATTCTCATAGAGTGAAGTAATAAAATTTATATTATAGATTCAACACTTAATACATAATAAAATTATAAATTTTCTCAATCAAATTACACAATTTTTCATCTCTTTTTCTTTCTAATTTCTAACTCTAACGTCTGTCTCTAATTACATTGCTATTGATTTTTTTTTTCTATCTTTATCATGTTAATTTATAAGTGTGCTTCTATGGATAAATGTAGATTTTTCACACAAATACTTTTAGTAGCTTTACATTTACTGCATTTAAGGTGAGACACAAACAGGTGGAAATAAAACAGGATGAGAAGCAGGATGCATTTTCCTTAATCTGATTATTTTTTAAATGAGAAAATTAATAATCAATGTGTTAAATTGTTTCAATGTCTTAATCTCTAAAGTAGCGCAGAAGGAAGTATGAGTTTTTATGCATAGAACTCGCGATCTGTCTCTTGATTTATTGCGTAAAAAAATCACATGAGTTAATCTTCTGTTACATTGTAATATGAAAAATATCCCTACACAATATAAACGCCCTTTCCTTCCTACAACTTTTATAATCATGCAAATCCTCACCTTATCGTCAATTAGTATTATGAAAATGTTATCAATTTGTTGACAATTGAAAACGACACAAATAAGTAATATAGAGTAAATAATCTTATGCTAATCATGATTAAATAAATTATTATGACACAATTTAAATCTCCATGAGATCCACACGAAATTTTTTTTTGTATAAATGAGTTTTGTAATGAAAGGTTTACTATATTAGACATACATATACTTTGTGTAATTGTACTTAAAATGGTAAAATAAAACATTCTTTCATAAAAAAAACATAAAATTGCCACTGAATTGTACCATTGCAGTTCACTTTAGAGATGGGGCGAGAGATTGGCGCAAGTACGCAACGCAAAGTTGGTCCCATGAAGAGCAAACAAGAAGGATAATGACTGTCAGAGTGGGTGGTGAGTCACTGGAAACCGTGGCGCGATAGAGAGTGATGTGAGATAGTGAGACATCTGTGATATGTTTCCCGACTGTGTCCATCAGAGAAAACATAGAGAGAGGTTTTCTTTTTCCTTTGTACTTGCAAGTTTGAGTACGTCTACGAGTAAAATACGTCTACTGTTCATCTACGAAGGAGAATCTCTAGAATTTGCGGCTCTGCGGTCCCGGATAGGTTCTGGGCGTGCTCGTGATGGTCACCTGCACGATCTTCTTGATCGCCACGGGCCGCGCGGCGTCACCCTTCGCCTCGCGACTGCCCGTCGCGTGGCTCGTCTGCGCGGCCGCGTCCTCCTTCCGCTTGGCCGACAGCTTCTGCAGATTCGCCGCCGCATTCCGCCTGGACACCTTGGGCGCTCCCGTGTTCTCCACCGGCTCCAGCGTCGACCGCTTGTTCCTCTTCGTGGGCGTGACAATGCGCGCCGCCACCGGGCCATTATCATTCACATCCCGCGACTCCTGCACACTCCCCACCGCCGCCGAGGCTTTGGTCACGGTGGCACTCTTATCAGTGATTATTTTTAGCAACCGCGTGCGACGCAAGATGTTATTGGCCAAATTTTGCGGTGGCGTGGTTACATTTGATGATTGTGTGTTAGATAATGATTTTGTTTTAGCAATGAACTTGTCCACTGCGCCAGATTCTAATCCACTGTTTTATTTATCGCACAGTTGCACAGTTGAGTAGGCATGAAGTGAGCAAGACGAGGAAGATAAATAGAGAAAAGAGAGAACAAAACAGTGTGTGATTTCCTTTCCTCTTCCCGCGAGAACATTGTCGCTCGCTTTCTTCCTCTCCACACGCAAAAAAAAAACACACACGCAGCCACACAAAACGCTAAAGCATGACAAAATACCATTTAGCAGGAAACAAGCATAGTAGTGATTTTTTAATTGCACGGTAAATTAAGCGGACTACAAACTAAAAAAAAACAAACACTCTTCGCAATGAACTCAATGCTACACAACATGCAGAACCAAAACGTGTAATTATGCAAATATTTCGCTCATGCTGCCGTATGATTCAGGGTGGATTTAGAGTAAAAGAAAAAGCCAGAACATTCACATGTAAATCCTGAACTCATAGTATAAATCAAATGAAGAAGTTTCAGGTGCCAACAATTATGCCATTAGAAGAGTGAAGCAAAGTTATATGAAAATATGCGGTAACACAACAAAATGAATTGCATGATGACTCATTAATTGGGCGATTAATAAGAGACTGTCGCTGTTTGAAAATGTCGGCAAATATTAACGCATAAAATTACTTGACAATCATTCGCTTAGGGAAAATTTTATAGTTTTTCTCTGATTTACAGGAAATTCGTGTTTCAAAAGAATACTGAGAAAAAGATGTCTTGAAAATATAAAGAAGCCCAATTAATGTAACCGTTTTATCGCGAGGTAATCGCCTTATTAGTGAGACACTCGTCAATGCAGTTAATGTGAGGATGGTGAAGAACAAAAGTAAAATGAACGCAAACTTCGGCAAGGGTGCAAATCTAAGGGTCTCCTCCCAGTGGGGCGTGCATGGAAGGAGTGGCATTAGTATAGCTTCGGAGCAAGTATGTGCTGCGAGGATTAATCCAAATCAATTATAAAAATCAAAACCGTCGACATGGCACAAGTGTCACTCACCTCTTCGTGATGTGCGCCCCCCTCTTGTTGCCATTCACCTCATTTGCCGCATTCTTGCGCTGCGCCAGACTGTTCGTGTGCATGGATTTGTTCTGAAAAGGCTGTGACTTCGCCCTAGTGTGAATGCCATACGACGGATTCCTGCTGATGAATGCATGAAAAGAAGAGTTACAAATGTTGACTCCGCCGCCTACGCGTCATCTCTAATCGATTCTCACCCATGATCAATGTTAACCGAGCGCGAGTGACGTCTTCGCGATGCCTTAATCTCATTGAGGTGATCACCTTGAGTTTTCCCACTCATGGGCAGAGTTTTAGATGATCGCAGCGATTCTATCGTCTTTGACGTAAATATTGCATTCTCATTATTATTGGGCTTGTTGCTTGGCTTGTTATCATTGAAATCCGACTCTATTGTCTCATTGTCATTCAAATTTATATTGTCCACCTGAAAGCACAGAACAACGATTACATCTTGGCTGTGAGGAAGACGCAATTCATCCTTTACCTGATGCGATATCGTTCCCAGACGATCCTTCAATAGCAACTGACGGAAGCTGTAAATGCCAAATTCGTGCGGAATTGGATTCTCCATGTTCTTATTGCTGCGATTCTTGTCGCCCTCCTGCCACAGGAAGTTCTCCTTCTCCTCCATCCAGCGCTGCTGGTGACCAATAACAGATCCCGGACGACACAGGCGCAGCCATGCGATCGCCTCTAGTGCACTAAACTTGTAGTGCTTCATGATGTACGCCCCAATCAGACTCCCTGTGCGACCGAGGCCAGCCTTGCAGTGCACGGCCACGGCGTGCGGCGTAGACTCGCAGTACTGTAGGAATTGCTTCATTATTGCATCATTGGGACAGCTTCCGTCCGGAAAGAACATGTCAATGTGCTTGAATCCCGCCTCAGTAAACTGCTTCGCGTCGTACGACTTGCAATTCAGGCGAATTATGTTCTGCACATTGTTACGGCGGAAGTAGTCAAAGTAGGACTCTGGCGAATGCTGTGGATATCCCTTCACTGCAAAGCAACAGAGACAATAAATCGATAAGGCGTCTGAAAGGCGCTTCAGAGACATTCTCATACCGATTCCAGCAATCCGATGAGGTCCACAGAGGGCAAGAAACTTTCCTGGCAAGATCCAATTCAAATCACCATTCTCCACGCGCTGCAGAGTGAGAAAATGTCGATTAATCACTTGTTTAGAGACTATGAAATCACCATTACAGTGATTACCTCATAATATTCATATTCCATCACGTTGAAATCGGTGAAATCAACAAAGTTGTACTTCTTGGCCTTATCAATCGCTCTCAGGCAATCCCTTAGGCTTATCTCGAACAGCGGTGTCATATTTGATGCATCGCGGAACTTGATATAAGCTGGAATATCTCCCGATGTGAGAATATCATAAGCCTCATTTGGTGGTTTCTTTAGGTACATAATCTGCACAATTGAGACGAAATATTAGCATCACAGCGGTCATTTTGCACACAATCATCTCTTACCATATAGGCACCGATGAGGAAAGCCGCATTGAGACGCTTCTGTGGCGTCGAATTGGTGTAATGGACAATCTTCTTGCGCGCCAGAGACTTTGAGTACAATTTCGCCTCCAGCATCTGGCAATATTGATAGACATGGCAAATGTTGAGCGGCCCAAAGTCCCAGAAGAAGTTCTCGTACACATAAGTGTCGTCTACGCAGAAGTACAGCGTATTTGCTGTGTTCTTCGGCTTCACATTGTTCTTCAGTGTGACAAAATAGAGACGATCTACAAAGGAAATAATTGCAACGAGTCAAATCGAGCAAATAGTCGAAGATTCAAGCAATCTTGCACAGTAAAACACAGTTCAAGAAACACTGGAAGGCCAAGAAGTTTTACAGCGACGCGATAATTCACTGCCCAAGAAGTTCATGGGGCATTTTCGTGTGGTAATATGCAAATTTGAGATTCCAAAAATATCGCAGGACAGCATTTTTTCAGCTCATGCTCCGTGCTTAGCCACTGAGGAAATTTCCAGTGCTCAGAATTCATAGAATTTCTACAATTGCGTGAAATGTTGTACCTTTTATAATCTCCGATGCACAAATGACTCTCTCTGCATCATCCATTGGAGAAGACTTCCTGATCCCGTCCAGAAGAGCGACAGTGAACCAGCAGGATTGCTCGTGCCACACAGAATGGGCCTAGAAGTGGAGTTGATGAGTGAGATTAGCCAGAGCCAAAGATTTGCTCAATTGCTTGGGTGCGATTCTCGCGCGATTCCTACACACAATTCCGGATGGGGTTTTTGTGTGTGGGCAGAGCAATTCTCGCGCGCTCTCGCTTCAACACCACAGCGGAACATCTGGCCAATTTATTAGACACTCTTCTAATTTCTTTCACTTTTGCATCCACGCAACACCAGCAAAACAACAAACAAGTCTCGCGTTCGCCCCACTCAAGAAAACGGATATTTCACCAATTTTGCCCTTTCCACTGTCCGGAGAGTGGAATTACGGTGGAAAACTGTGCAGAAGCGCGAGAATTACGCATTTTATTGCCACCTGGATGTGTTCAGAGGCTGTGCGATGGAAAAGCATCAATTAATTGGAATGAATAGAAGCAGGAGAAAGAATTTACAAATGGCGTATTTTGTGTACAGAAATTTTCTCCGAGAAAAAATGGCAAATGTGAAGGAATTCCAGTAGGTTTTCCCACAATTTCCTCACCTACACACACAGTGGAGTCCACACTAAACTTGTGCAGGCAAGAGGACTCATTTTTACACTTTTATCGCACAAAAAGACCACGAAATAAACGAGAGCAAGCCAATTTGTGTTTACAAATCGAAACTCCACTGCAGACTGGCATGAAGTTGGAGTTGCTGGCAAGATTGCTGGCAAGAAGATTGCCATCTGGCATGCTAGCAGTTGTTTGTTGTGGCTTTTCCAAAAATAAACAAACAGAGTTTGTCTAAAGAAAAAGCATAATGTCGAGGATTGTAAAGGTAAATTGGTAATTTGTGGTCTACAAGAGATGCGCTGTCATTCTGCAAATCCAGTTATTGCCACGCTTTAATTTATTTTGTGTTTTCAACACATTTTCTTAGGAGACAAAGCTGTGCACAGATTTGGTTTTTGCTGCACAATTATGCACACTAATTGCAATTTTCCCGGTTTTTCCGGACACTTGAGCGATACTGAAAAACCTATCTTAACTGTCCAAAGACCAAACCATCAGGGAGAACCGGAATTGTGGCTGCAGAAGCACCAAAGAAGCCTTCTAGTAAAGTCACATCGAAGGTCACGGAGGATCCTGCGAAGGCAAAGGCTTCAGGGCAGAAGAGTAAAACATCCAGCCAGACAACAACGGGGATCAAGAAGCAATCATCTATAGAGAAAACTGTGAAGAAACCAGCAAAGATTGAGCTCAAAAGTACTGCAAAAGCCTCAAGTAAACCTGTTCCACTGAAGGCGAAACCAATTCCTGAGCTATCGAAGAATAATGTAATGAATCGTGTGCACAATGTCACGGTTTCCTCTCCTCCGTCGCAGAGGAAGACTGAAGTGAGTCACTTGCCTCGGGATCGCACCAGAACCAGAACACTGGAACCCGAAGAGATTGTCGTGCTGAAGAAGAAGACACAGAAAGATCCTGAGTCTGCATCCGATGAGAGAGATTCTTCAATATCCGAATCTATTACTGTGAAGTCTGCTGTAGCCTTTGAGGTGAAATTTGATGATGAGAAGAAGCTTAGAGACGAGAAAAAGGAGAAGAAAGACTCTCCTGATGACCAAGAATACAACTATGAGGATGATTTTGAATCTTACGAGTCGGACTTCGAGTCTGAGACGTCATCCAAAGATGATAACAAGTCTCTGGATTGCCCAGAGGAAGACAAGAGTGACTCTGCAGATGAGAGTGCGTCAACGACACCAACAACATCCCCAGAACTTGCGCAGCACTCCAAAGATGAGGAGAGAAAGCTCGATTCGGGGAACTATGAGCTCCGAATTCAGAGGGAAAGATCCCCTCTGGATCACATTGAGGAGCAGAATGATTCAGGAGTGATATTTGGGGAGGAGAACATCTCCAAGAGAATCCCCAAGAAGGAAGTTAAGAACTCTCGCGGAGTGGAATTGATGAAGAAGATCTCTCTGGATGTCATGACGTTCTCTCTGTTCGAGCTAAAGCCCATTCCTTATGAATACTACATGAAAGTGTATGGACAGGGAAACACAACGCAAATCTCCACGCAAACGGAGAACAATGAAATGGATCAAGACACTCAAACCGACGAACATGACCAGGAAAGTGTATGGACACAGTTTCCGCCGACTTTCTCAAAGGAAGTCCTCAGCTTGGGCATGGGATCATCTTATCACGATGAGAGAATCGGTACGGGCAGAAGTAATAGAAAATCACTTAAATCTCTCGGGAATTTGAGTCGCATTCCTGATTACGAAAGCCTTAATCAGTTCCTGCAGAAATCCGCCGTGGCAATTGCGAGTGTCATCCAGAAGAAGACAGAAGGGAAGAGACTGAAACCCTCGCCAATATCAGAAAGCAATGGATATTTCAATCTCTCTCTCGATCATCAAGTTTTCAAGCAGTATTTCGTCGCTGGACTTTTCACAGACCGCGAAATTCCGAATCTTCTCATCACTGTTCACAAGCTAAGACCAGAGTTGGAGGGATTTTTCTACTCTCACTTAATGGGCCTGTGGAATATCCTGGATGCGCAATATCCTGTGAAGATTCTGCTCAGCTGGAGTGACATTTCCTGTGTTCTGGTCCACAAATCGTCTCCAGAAGCTGTGATCTCTGCATCGCTCGACGGATCTCTCTCACTCTGGGACACTAAAGAGTCTCTACAGGGACAGGATGATGAGCGTGCAATTGGACAAGTTCCTTGCCAGTTGATAATTCCCAGAATTCCTGGAAGTTCTCAACATTTCGGTCGGATTGTGAGCATGAAGAGCATAGAATGGAAATCTGAGGGAGATTTCTTTACAGAATTCAGTCCAATTCAGGTGATTATTGCTAAAATCCTCACCTTCTCGACTTTCAGTATTTTCAATGTATTTTTCAGATTTGTTCCCTGCATGAGGAGGGAATTCTGATTCTTTGGCTACTTCTTGAGACTTCCTCGATTAATTCTGCAGACGCAATCAATGCAAATGATCACACTTTTAGCAAATTGAAGCTAGTCCAGAGCAATGTTATCGATCTGCGAGTGCATTTGATGGAAAATGGAGCGTCAACGAATCATTTCGAGAGGAAATTATCATATTTCGAGAGCGATTTATTCAGCGACGCGGCTTTGAGAGAGCTTCAAGACAAGGATGGAGAAAAGGATTCCAATTCAGAAGTTCTCTGCACAGATTTTCAAGCATCTTCTGAGGGATACTTTGTGACTACCAATCAGCCTTTTATATTGTTCTTCAACAAGTCCACTAAAGAGGGAATTGCGAAGATTCCAGTGGCGGATAAGAGCAGTAAATTCTACGCGACAGTCATTGAAATGTGCCCTTCGACGAAGAATTTGTTGATTGGCTTCTCCGATGGTTCTGTGAAGCTGAAACCAATCCATGTGGAGCGAGAGGAAGCGTCAGGCGTTGCGGAGGAAAGTGTCATCGATGAAGATGCGGATGAAGCGAATCTGAGTGCGAAATCGTGCGCCATTCAGAATATTGTGAAAAATGAGAGGAAACTCTATGAAGAGAGCCAAGCGCTCAACAATCTCGACAGCTCGGAGATGAAGAAATCCTTCGCATCTCCACTGAAGAGCATGCAGAAGGATCGAGTGAAAGTTGGTGGAATAATTCTTGCAGGATCATACTTTCGCAGGGATTTCGTGAGGAAGATCCAAGTGACGGAGAAGCACGTCTTCGCTCTGTGCGGCCAGCAAGTGAAGGGAGTTGAGAAGGAGAGCCAAGAAGAGCAGCAAATGGAGAAGTTGGGTGTTGTCGATATTGGATCGACGACTGATGGATTCCTGAAATCACGGCTGGTAAAGACAATGATTTTCTCATGCGCAGGTGAAATTATCGTCTTATGCTATGCGTAATTGCAGGTGATTGCAACGAGGGAGGAAATACAGGTTCATAGTTTCGATATCTGCTGAAAAGTGTCCGGGCGACAGCCTAAATAAATGATGCGACATCGATGAAGGGGTCAGAGAGTTTCCACGCGACAAATTGCCCAGGAAATTCGCTCCTTCGATAATGCGATGGTACAATTAGAGAGGGACAGCGTTGAATCACTTCGCGTCATAGCGCGGTGGGCAACAACTGTTCGCCTTCACACAAATTACTAATTCATTGCTACACACTATGTATTGTACATTTTCCCTTCAATCGTCAAACACGAGACACTAAATAAGCCACACGATTAATAGGGAAAAAATAACCGCCCTCGTCGAGGAGGAAATACACTGCAGAGAGTGGTGATCACTTAACAGCAAATTATTCGATTTACTTGTTTGATTCTTGACCCATCGCCAACACACAATCTCCCGACTTTCCGTACCCGATTTTTTATTCATTGTGTTTCTTCTCCACAAGCCACCCTCGGTGTCATGAGGTTACTTAATGGCTAATCGTGTCGGCGAGGGAGGAAAGAATAAGGTGATATTTTTTTCCCATGCATTTTTTATGCTCTCTCAGTCAGGAAAGGTGACAAATTGATCAGCCATTCACAAATGTTTGTTATCCACATTGGGCAAATATTATTTTCAATAATGCCGAGCGAATTTTACAGAGGGAAGAAGTATTAAACAGAGAAATAGACACCAAATCAATTTGTTCACATATTTGCTCAGGCGGGTGGCAAAGACAGCAAGAAATGGCTAAAGAGCCACCCAAATTGGAGGGTAAAGATTGCGTGCTGCCTCACCATCTGATTTGAACAGGAAGATGGGAAGGAAATCAAAGAAGAAAAGTTTATTATGCACGATTACCCCTTTTCTGTGTTGGATATTACACGATTTTTGGGTATTTTTTACGACACTCCGTGGGAATTTCTCTATCACCTGAACATCTGCATCGTGAATCGCGGCGAGTGATAGTTTTCTAATGTTCTTTTGATTGATATCTGTTACGGAGAATTACCCTTTTTCTCCTTTTTTCCATGTCTGCCACTTTCCACTATTATTTTATCCTCTGCCCCACAATTGTATAGAGAAAACTTTCTATTTTCTTTCCATGCTATGTTCGAAAATTTTATTCTATGATGAGATCCAACAATGTTCTCTATGTGCAGATACAGTTTTTCGAGTTTTGTATATTGTAAATTGATGTAAAAAGGGTAAATAAATGGAAAAAGATGAAAACAGAGTGTTTTCCATGCAGAGGACCACGCGATCAAAAGCCGTTTTTGCGCCTTCGCGCGGTTCCAGGGTTTGAGGTTATGAGTCAAATTGCGCCAAAATTGTTCGCAAATTGTGACGTCTCGTTGTGAAATTCGGATGCGTACAAAACAAATCCTGCTGATCCTGCGAAAGGCTGTGTTTTCTCGTGTTTTTAGGAGATTTCCACAATAATTTTGTGCTGTTTGAAGCGGAAAGGAGTGAATATCTCTGAAAATATGGAGAATATGCATGAGGAATTCTCCGCGAAGGAAAGATTCAAGGTACATAAATTGAGTACAAATATTATGCCTTCCTTTCCTCATTCCTACGCTTCTTCCATGCCTCCTTCTTCAGATGTTGATGACCAGACTGCAAGGTCTGAAGGAGAAGGAAGCCAATAACAATGAGATCTGTGGCGTGGTGATGGAATTCCTGCGGGATTTGCCGAAGTTCGAGAAGGAAAGCTTGGTGGAAACTGTGGAATTCTGCGAGGAGTTGATTCGCGATCAGACATCCAGCTTCACTGTCTGGAAAGATCTCATCCCGCCCACTGTAAGTCTCATCAGCAAACTCCCTAAGATCACTGTCAATGAGATTGCGATGACTGGGCCTGAGTATCGCTCGAAAATTTTCCTGGGCTGGACGACGCTGAGGTGGCCGAAGGGGGTTGTTATATCGCTGGCTGAGATGTTCCGGGACATGGCGATGACCAAGGAGGAGCGCGAGACGGTGATGAAGAAGTTGTGCGACGCCCTGCCTGCGATCACGCCATCGGAAATCCCGTCCATGGCGTACCAGCTCTTCTCCTTGAGCAAGAGTCCGACGTTGCTGATCATGCCGATCCTCAGTTTGCAGAAGTACTTCAACAGCTTTTTCTACCAGAAGATGTACGAAGACCTCGAGAGCAACACCACATCCTGTGACTCCGTCGAGGAGCACTCGGACAAGGAGATGCGCAACTTCGAGGAGACTGTCTTGTACCATCTTAGCGGCGTCACGGAGTTCTCCATGACCGAGAGGGAGATAGTGGCGTCCTTCCGTGCCCTGTCAGCCACTCCGTACTACATTCTCACGCCCTTCGTCACCACAGCGGTGCTCACGATCTCCAAGACCAATCGTCAGATCGACATGAAGCGCCTGTCTCAATCGCTGGCGCTGCAATTCCTCAGATCAGTGATCAAGAATGCCCAGAAGGAGAAGCAAATGGCCAGCGAGTCACTCTGGTGTCGCAATACTTTCAACCGCAACTTTGTGAACGTCGAGAGACTCTTTGAGATACTGTTTGAGCAGAGCAAGGTGGGAATGGACGTAGTGACGCCCGGATTCGTGGGATTACTCTTCACACTGCTGAAGGCGAAGAACCAGCCGGACCTCAACAGCATGGCCATAAATCTGCTGCAACAGTTCCTGAGGAAGCGACAGCAATTCGGGAGGGGAATTGTGAAGGATTTGCTGGAGTTCTTGCTGGCGAATTACGAAGCTCCGCAGCTGGCTGAGTGCATGAACAACTTGAGTCTGACCAGCACTTTGGCAGTGTCTGAGTGCATAGACGGCCTGAAGAATCTCATGGACTTCCTGCTGATGATCCCTGGACATCATGCCATGAGGATTGTCACGTTTATTTACCCGCTTATCAGGATCTCCTACGTCACGAGGGACTACTTGATAGATACGCTGAGGAAGGCGATGTTCTCCAATGACGAATCGACAAGAACTTTTGGGATTTATGGCTTCGGAACGCTACTGAAGCACATGAAGAACAGCAACTGTCGCCGCGCTGGCGCTTCCAATGTTGGAGTGATGAGCCAAGTGAGCATCTCCGGTTTCTCAATGATGTCTCAATCCACGCTGGGCAGCCGAGGAAATCCCAACAGAGACTTCGATATGCTGACCATGGAGATTCTGGGCATTCTGCGAAAGGTCTTCGATGAGAGCGTGCAGATGAAGGAGATCAGCTACGACACTCTGCTGCGTGCCGTAGACCAGAATACACAATTAGCGCCTCACATTCTCTTCTTCATCGACTACCACTTCCGCAATTACTTCGAAGTGGATCAGCTCAGCTTCGTCATCAAATTCAAGGAGTTCGTCCACGAACACGAGACACAAGTCGAGGTGTGGGACAATCTGGGGGCGCTGATCTACTTCGTGGGCTTCTGCGTGTTCACGTGCGACAAGTACGAGATGCAGTATGACACCCAGATTCTCAAGAAGCTGCTGGAGGACGTGATTAATCGCATTGTGGACGTGAGCCTTGAGAGCATTGGCATCTCTGGCTCAGTCTCGTCCTTCAGTCTCGCCGTTGGGCAACAGTTTCTGCACTGCCTCGAGGGCGTGATGGCGTACTGCGCCCTCGCGTCGACTCCCTCAAATCACTACCTGGACAAGATTGGGAAGGTGTTTGAGCACTACGAGAAGTGCAGGAAGAGCCTGAAGGAGAAGTGGGAATCCGTAAAGAAACCTGGAAAAAAGGGCAAATCATTGAGTGTGACGAAGATCTCATTCATCAGCCAATTAAGTCAAGTACCCAAGTTTCATCCCGACAAGACGACTTGCATCTGGGATTTTGCCACACTTGAGCGATTCCTGATTATCATCTACGAGTGAGTAACACAAATTAGCAAGATTAGGAACTTTTTAACCAATTTTGTGCTTTCCAGGAAAGCCGATATCTTTGGATCAACTCAACAAATCACTTCCTTCCGAGAGAATCGCGACTTTCACTGTCATGTGCTGAAGATCACCAGGGATTTCCTGAGGGATTTCCCATCTCAGCCCGAATACAAGCACGTTGCGCACAGTCGACGTCTTCTGATGCTCCTGTGCTCCTGCTCGAAGATCCTCTTCAAGAACTGCGTCAAAAAGTAAGTCTTCACCTCTTGATGACACTGAAATTTGTCACGAAATCCTTCTCTTCCAGCCTGATTCCCATCATGGAGAGATTCGATGTGGAGGCAGCAGCTCTGGGCGTTGAATCCTTCAAGCAATGCCTCATCACGGCCGATGTGTTGTACAAGAAGAAGCTCTGTGACATTCTGCGCTTCATCACGAACGAGAATCAGTCAATTCCAGAAAATGTGATCCTCCTGGTGAGAGAGATTGAAGAGCTTCTGGAGAAGTGCATGACGGAGACGTCGCTGTTCGATATTGATGGCAACTCTCGGCAGATTCCTGGGTTTCTGCTCTCATGCCTGGAGATGTTGTACTCCCATATTCCGCCTGAGAAGCCTGAATCCTCGACTGCCTTCAATTGGCTGAAGGAGTTTTGCCAGAAGCACTCAATCCTCGGAAAAAATCTCGACAACGTGCACAAGATGCTCTTCCAGCAGTACATGAAGACAGACGAGGGATTGTTCCTCAGCTCTGTGGCGTCACAGCTGAGCGAGATGATGGGAATTATTCAAGACGATGGCGTCGAGCGTCCCACGCCGTCGAATCTCAAGTCTATTGAAGAAGGCACAGCGGAGTCCTGCCTCATGCATCTTCTGCAGGCGTTGAGAAAGGAATTGACGGATGTGGAATATCTAATCACGAAGATGAAGAGCATTCTGGCCAGGGTGAAGATCATGGGCGCTACCAAGTCGGAGGAACACACGGAGCCGCTGATTGCCATGGAGAAGGCAGTGTGTATGCATCTGATCAAGGTGGCAAATTGTCTACTGACTATCTCGAATATGCAGATTAAACTCGGCGCTCCTGTGGAGACCACGTTGCGCCTCATTATCAGCTACTACTCAGCAGTGACGGGCGTCACTAAGCACCTGATAGCCAGGCATCCTCTTGTGTCCGTGTTGTATTCGTCCATGCGCTTCGATAAGCTCGTGCAGAAGAGCGGCGGTTCCCTGGCAAAGTCTTGCTATCAGCTCATCAAGTTCATCTACGAGCTTTTGACCCCGGAGTCAGACACTGAAATGCCCGCCAAAGAAGCGAAAAATAAGGGCTCTGTGGCTATTGTAGTGCGCAACACGCGCTACTTATCCTCTGTGGTGCGAGAGATGGAGAATTTCAGCAAGTTCGTGAGGATTCTGTGTCGCAAAACGAAAGACAAGACGCTGGAAAAGTATCTTCAGGACGATTGCGTCCGGGATTTCCGCATCAAGACGGATAGACTCAAGGATGCTATCGAGGATGAGATGGAAGAGATCTCTTCACAGGAAAGTGACGCAATTGACTCATCTGATGGGGAAGAGCAGGAGGTGAACTTTGCCACTGGAAGCAGTGGCGCCAGCACTGTGCATGACAACGCTGTGGAGTCCGACCACGAGGAAGCCATCAGGCGAAATGTGCAGAAAGTGCGCGATAAGATGCAAAAGAAATCGTCAGAGTCGGAACTGGAGGAATCTCCGCCGAAGCGCGCCAGGAGAGGCAAGACTCCGCTCAAGCTGAACAAGAGAGCCGCTGAGATTGTCGTGCCATCGCGCAAGAAAGCTCAGAAGAAGGATTCCTCGCCATCGCCGCCCGCGAAAAGAACCAGGAAGTCCAAGTAATTTTTCCATGTCTTTTTGTTATTACTTTTTATACATTACAAATGAATTGAATTCAAATAAAAACCTTTTCAAGCTTCTCACCATTTAAACATCCGCATTTACGATTTCTTGAGAAAGTTTTTGCACTAATAATCCTTTGCATTCTGTGAATCTCCAGGATATTCTGGTGAAGATAATATTTATCTTTCTATTACTCATAATAACTCATCAACTGCATATGTTCCAATCATTAATTAAAAATCCTGAATTGTAAGATTTTTCAAATAAGACATAAGGAAGACTCCGAAACTAGCAAATATTCTCTATGTTTGAGGATTTCTTGAAGACAGAGTGCCCACAAAAATCTTGTCAAATGCAGTAAAAGTGAAAGACAATAGAAGCAAAGTTACAAATATAGTTGGCTAGTTGTTATCCCTCGGAAGGATCGAGGTCATGGATTTATGGTCACTTAACCAGCGCTGTAATCCCTCCGATTGTAGATGGGAAACATGATGGCGCGAATGAGAGGCCGCGTTGCCACATAAATAATTCAGGTGCATCGGAAAATACAAACAGATTGTTGGCTACAATTGAAAATTACCCGGAGGTTTACTTAATAACCCTCGAGGCACACAAATAGATCCAATATTATCCCTGCCACGTCGAAACGAGCGCTCCTGGACGCAAATGGGCCTTGAGAATTTCGTCAGATGTGTCGCGCAGGCAGAGGGCAAGAGGTCATCGGTCAATTGATCATCCCCGCGAGGGCGAGTGGAAGTGGCGGGAAAGTTTCAGCGGCACAAGGAAGTCGCAAAGAGTTGGATTTTAATAGAGCGGGAGTGGTTATTTGTTCGAATCACATCGTAACGAAAGGTAGTTAGTTACGCCCTCGAGTTGTACAACCCTCGTGTGCAACAGCGCACGGCATCCCATCCCTCCTGGCCGACGACACTCTCACACCGATTCCAATCACCCCAATCCGATTGGCTGGGCTTCCGCCGCGAATTGGGGCATAAAACAGGAGATTCGGCCGCGCGAGGCGTTCAGTGTGCGTTTGGTTCTTGTGGCGATGGCACGAGAGTGATGATTTTCGGTGATAAGATGTGCAATGGATCCTCCAGATCCCTCCTGGAGCCGCTCTCCTTCAACACTCTCCACTTTCTGCGCACCTACAATCGCATCTTCGCTCCCGCTGACCTCTCGCAGTGCTACAACTTCACCGTGCTCAAGGATGTCTGTCCAGACAGGCGGATATCATCGCTGCCGCTCACCATTTATCCGGCCGCTAAGGAAGTGTCGCCCATTATCCTGGCCTCGACCTCCAAGTGCCCTCTCCCGTCTCCTGTCGACTCTCAATGCCTCTACGAGGCGTCCTCCTCCAGTGCCGATACGACTTTTCCTCACGCACTGTGCAGACGCCAGCGCGGCGAAAAGCGCCCCATTCCCGATGAGCAGAAGGACGAGAAGTACTTCGAGCGCAGGAAGAGGAACAACGAGGCCGCAAAGAAGTCCCGGGACGCTAGAAAGTTGAGAGAAGATCGCGTAAATATGACAAAACCCTGTGAAATCTTCCCAGAGCGTGCTTAACTACTCACTTACCTCGCAGATTGCATTCCGGGCAGCACTTCTGGAGCAGGAGAATGCCATTCTGCGGGCACAGAATCTGGCTCTGCGCGAGGAGATTTCCACCCTGAGGGAGATTGTCTGTCCCAGTGCACAGTCGCAAATCTCCACAATTCCTGTCTAAAGTGATCCCAGTGATCCTGATCATCGCCTTCTTCAGCCCACATCTTCTCACCTCTCCTACGTAATACAATTCACAGATTGCGATTATAGTCGACACTCAGTGTACTCGAGAGCCTTTTTCGTGGTTTTGTGCAATAAAAGTTGTTGAAATTGCATTAAACAATTGGTAATTAATGCACAATTGGAGAAATAATGAACAATTGGAGTAAAATGCGGTACACTAATGTCCGTTGCCCAAATCCATTCAAATATCCGCTTTCTCGCTCTCTCCAACTAAAGTTTTTATCTTCGTTTCCACATCGTATTATCCAAACTCTCAGTACTGCTGATTGTACAATTTCCTACGTAAACAATAATAATTGAGAAGAGATAAGACATTAATCTTATCAAGCGTGACTTAGTGCACATTTACAAATTGACCTTAGAGCGTGACATCGTTTAATCATTGCAAAAATTGCACAGAGAAATTTTTATCCAACTTTCGAGTATTTTTCGAACTTCGCCATCACAGAAAGAGAGAGAGAGAAAGAGAGAGGGAGACAAGAGGGAGAGAGCCATCTCTCACTCTCTCACGTCATTTCGGACATTCATTTTGAGTTGTTTTGTTTGGTATTATTTCTCCAATTTTAGCAGTTCTCGCGCGTTTCAGGAGACCTAAAATGTTCATTTCCTCATGCAGTGGTGTCTCAATAAGTGATTTCAGTGAGGTAAGGTCACTTCCTCCGCTTAGCTTCGTGGCGGCGTGGCAAAATTGGGCGATGTCGCAATGTCTCCCCCGCGAGGGAAACTTGCAGCCAATTTCCCCGTGTGTGCAGATTACGTGGAATCCAATTGCGCTGTTCAAATTCTTGACCGCACACAAGTGTCCACAGCTGCTCGTGTGTGTGGCGATCTGTCAATCGCCTCGATCGCCTCTGGAGTGCCTAAAATGTGGGGCTTCGCAACTTGGCACACAATTTGACGCCCCTTCACCGCGTCTAGGGCAAAAACTATTTGGCAAGATGAAGAGTGAAAGTGAATAGGCGCTCAGATTTAGAGCTGAGCGCAAATGAGGTGCTGAGATTGCGACAGAGATAGCGGAAATCTTATCATTCGCAAAAACATCTCACTTCACCTTGACGTCTCAAAGTCAGCTGATTCAATTTGCGAAGTATTTTTTTCTTGTCTCACGGCGGCAATCAAATCAGGGACTAATCAGCGCGAATTCACAATGCAACACAGCAATGTTTCCGGGTTTTTCCCCATGACCTTGATTTTGACGGCACGAGTCGCTCTTGTCAGCCCATTTTGCCGCCCGGGTGGTCGTCCTGGGCCGACTTCGGCGCGCCAAATCAGATCAGCTGTGACCTCAGAATCAGCAAAGGTCACTCAGATTGTGTTCTCGTGGATCTCCAAAGTTCACAAGCGATTTAGCAAGTGGAGAACCCGTATATGAATTGATTCCTCATTCGCGACTGAGCAGCGATTTCTGCTGAAGGAAAGCCTTTTTTCTCATAGCGTAAATTGAATGAGACGATGAAAAACCGAAGAGAAAGACTAGCGAAACTCCGCCTCTTTAAAAGCCCAGCCCAATGAAAATTCTATGTTTTCTGAGTTCTAGGCGTTCTAGACATCTGGAACAGTGCTTAAAGTAGAATTTCTAGACACTTTATTATCTTAGTGTCTTAATTCGGCACGTGTGACCATAATTTGGCAGTATGATGTTCACTCTCTTCTCATTTTACTGCATATTTCTTGTTTCCACCTCGGTTTTTATTATAGACTTTACGACTTAACACGTTGTCTCAACACGACTTTATCCTTATCTTAACCATCCTTGTTTATTGATTTCTTTCAGATGCTCTGCGGGATGGATTGACATGGGGTTTTTTGCACACAAGTTTCTGTTCCTGAGCACCTTTGGCTACAGCTAAAATAAACGCACGCGTTGAGAGGAGAAAATAGAACTATAAACAGGTGATTTACAATTACATGAATCATCAGAATGTTTGCTGTCTTATGTGCTAACGAGTCTGTTTTTCCATGGTCAGATTTTCACACATCATTCGATAAGGCATCACACTTAAACAAGAGCAGCAGAGTAGATTATTATATTTTTGCAAACACGGAGAATGGACAATCAGGACAGCATCTCTTCGGGCAGAAGTCTTCCGCAGTGGATGCGTACAAAGGTGGACAGCAGGTGAGATGGCGAATGGGTCTCTCGGTGAGTTGCTTGATTAACTGTTGTGCGGCGCTTTCAGGATCACCTCCACCGACATTCCGTTCTCGCCGCCGACGCACGATGAGTCCTTCTTCTACGTTCGCTATCCGGCGGGCGACGGGAAGCGGCAGGAGGAGCTGAGCCAGATCCGGAGCGTCCTGGAGGACGCCGGCGTGAGCAGCCTGGCGGGCGCGCGGGACTTCTCCAAGCACACGGACCAGTGCAAGATGTTCCTCAATGGGGCCAATCGTAACTATGACCATTGAAGCTAATGCCGCAATAGGCAAACTCACCGATTGTGTTGTCTGACGTAGAGAGTGCCAAACCCGGCGCTGGAGCGCCGCTGAAGCCCGTGGGCACGGATGATGGCTTCAAGGGTGGCGGAGCGGCGTGCGGCAGCTCGATTGTCCGCATGGCGCAGACGATGGTCAACAGCCGGCCCTTCACACGTGGATTCACCGTTGCAAAGTAATTTGTGTTGTCTCTGCACATTTTCTCTGTGTCATTTGCCACTGTCGCCCCGCAATCTCGCATTATCTCTGCGTCTGTTGATCAACAAACATGTGCGATCACTGTCACAGTGTCCCTGGGAGCGGGAGCTAGAGCAGGGCAGGAAAAATGTTTTTGTTTTGTGTATTTCTCAGTTTCGAGGAGGCGTCGCCAGACGTTGACTTTCCCGTGATCAATGCCGAGGAAGATATTGCCATTGCCAACGCGAAGAGGAATAAGATGAGACGCGGCTCAAAGTCCCTACCAGCCTCGCCACTGGGATCACCCAAGACGGCCAGAAAGATCAACCAGAATCCATATTTTGCCACAAATCAGACGACTCTCGTGATAGCAGATCAAAAGTAAATGACTCAAAACAGACATTTGTGGAGCAATTTGCTAATCTGTTGCTTGCAGGAAGTGGAATTTATCGGATTTTCTCGGGCTGCAGCGCAAGACGGCGATCTCATCGCAATTCATGGCATCAGAAGTGGACGAGAAGGCCGAGGATGCACTGGAGCTGGAGAGCAAGCTGGTGAATCTGGATCACGACAGGGTGAATGCAGAGGCCAAGCTGAGTGAGAACGCCGAGCCGCCGACTGTGCTGAAGGCTAAGCCGTCTGAATTGCGTGAAATGAATTTTTGGTCACCGACCTCCATGTAGAAAGTCACAGAAAAACACACTGAAAAATGCTCTTTCAACTCTCTTGTTTTGCGTAAGTTTCTGTGTAGAAAAAGGTTTGCTCACTAAATCCTTCGATTATTTCGGCAATCAAATTCGCCTTCCTGTAAAGTTCATTCCCTTCGTAGACTCTATTGTTGAATTCTTTCTTGTTTTTTTTGTATACGAATTTTATTCTTTTATCTGCTTGATAGCAGTGAAAGCGTATTTTAGTCATTCTCAGAGAATCACTCGCAAAATAGCTTTCGTGTAGTTGTAACAAATAACAAAAAAGACATCGTCGTTTTATCTCTATTTTATCACTGAACAGACGAAATTGATATTAGGCAATATTATGCGTTCGCCGAGCGGAAAACAAAGAGTGAAACAAGAAGGTATTCTCTATATGTTCATTGAAATTTTAATAAAAATAAATCTTGTGAAAATCAACACATTTATTTTTGTCCTAAAATCGTCATCCGAACGGCGTATATTCGTGCGATCTTCCAGTTAAATATGCTCTTCATTTCCCCCACATTGTCTATATTAGCGCTTTTTTTGTGTGTTTATTTTTCTTTTGCAATTTCTCATATTTTGACACCCCCTAAAATTGTATCTTGTATTATTCCATAATTATACTTTTGCTGAGAGAAAATCGAAATCATCGGAAAGTTGCAGGTCATTGAAAAACTCTTTCGCAGCAGCAGCTCTTTTCTGTATGGCCTTCAGCGCTCTGTGGCTGATTGTTATTGCTGGATGCGCACTTTTGTACTCTCCTCCTCCTCGGGATTCGTCGTGGGACTGAGCGAGGTGTCCTTGGGCGAATTCGAGCTCACGGGACTCGCACTGCGAACGTAGTGCGGCGTTGAGTTGCCGCGGACGCACTTCTCGTCGATCAGCACCTCCTTCACGTCTGACGCCGGCACTTCAAACATCGGCTCGAGCAGCAGATTCTCCTGCAAAACACAAACACAATTCCATCCGATTAGCGATAAAGTGTGCTGATTGCGCAGCGCAATGATGCAATATCACCATAATTGCTCGCAGTCCACGAGCGCCCGTTTGGCGCTCCATTGCCAGGTCAGCGATGGCCTGCAGAGCGTCATTCGTGAAGGACAACTCCACCTGATCCATTCCCAGCAGCGCACGATACTGCGGCACGAGGGCATTGCGAGGCTCCGTCAATATTCTCACGAGCATGTTGACATCGAGACTGTGGAATGGAACCAGCACTGGGAAGCGTCCGACGAATTCCTTAGGCAAGAGAGAATGCCAGTCAGCGCGAACATCACGCAAGACAGAGAGAGAGAAGGTCAACTCACCGGAATCATGCCGAATTCCACTAGATCTTTCGCCTGCACCTTCCTCAAGCACGCATCGCGTTCCGCCTGGTCGTCGTCCATCGGCGACGCGACAGCCTGAGCGGCACGGCGACCCTCAGACGACGACGCCGGCATCCCGAAGCCCAGGTACTTCTCGTTGAGGCGTCTGGCGATCAGACGATCGAGTCCTGTGTAGGCGCCCGAGGCCACGAACAGTATGTTGGTCGTGTCCACCTGCACTGTCTCCCCACGCAGCTTCCGCGGTGAGTTGCGCTCCGGCACATTGACGATCGTGCCCTCTAGCATCTTCAGCATGCCCTGCTGCACCCCCTCGCCGCCCACATCGCGCAGCTGATGGATGCCCGGCACGGCGCCTATCTTGTCCACCTCGTCGAGGAAGACTATGCCCATCTGCGCGCGCTCCACACTGTAGTTGGCGTCCTGGAGCAACTTGGCGATCACACTCTCGATGTCCTCACCCACATAGCCAGCCTGCGTCAGCGTGGTGCAGTCACAAATGGCAAAGGGCACGTCCAGACACTTGGCGATCGTCTGCGCCAGCAGCGTCTTGCCCGAACCCGTGGGCCCCAGCATTAGGATGTTGCTCTTCTCCAGCTTCAGCTCGTACGTCTGCTTGTCCAGCAGCACTGATCCCGAGGCGTGGTCCACCGCCGGGCCCTGCTGCGCCGGCGCCGCCCTCGGCATCTCCGACGGCGAGCTGCTCATCATTGTGTGCCCGATCCCAGAGATGTGCAGGAGATCGTTGCGCGCCAGAGTCTCACTCTGCGCCGCGGTGTTGTTCACAGACGACGGGATGTTGTGGTAGATGCGCTTGTAATGATTGTACACAGCCACAGAGAGCACCTTTTTGGCCAGATCCTGACCCACCACGTGACGATCGAGGTACTCCATGATCTTCTTAGGCGGCGGCGGCGGGCGGCGATGATTCTTCACCTCCTCCTTCACCGTCTTCTTCGAATCCACTTCCGACAGCACCACGAAGAAGTGGTGACAATTCTCGCACTTGACAAAGCGCGTCGACGTGACGAAAGTCTCAACGTGTGAGCAGGGATCGCCACACTTGGGACACGACAGCACGTTCTTCTTTGACGGCGGCTCCTTGCCGCCTCCGCTGCCTGTAGTGCTGCTGCCGCCGCCGCCGCCAGAGGGCGGTGTTGGACCACTTCCGCCATCCTTGGCAGCCTTGCATGTGGGAGCGCACAGGTGAAATCCCCGGTGCTCTATCGACAGATGACTGGATGTTGTGTTAACCGCTCCCAAGCACAGCAAACCTGCGAAGAAGATCAAGATAATGTCACTGCATAGCCTTAAGACCACGCCTCTTCAAAAGCTCCGCCCACACAAGGCGATGTATTCTATCACTTCTTTTCGGATGATCTTGGATTCAATTGAGCGTTATTATAGAATTAAATAGATTTTCTGAACATAAAGAGCCCAAAAACCGATTTTTAAAGGTAAAATAGGCATGTTAAATTACTGTGTTGATTCGCCCTGTTATGCTGGCCAAAACTGCCCTACGCGCAGTGCCAGATTTGCACACGCCACCCACAAATCTCCCACCTTTTCCTAGGAACCGAAAGCATTGATATCAGCTATAAATATTTGAGAAACTAGTGGAATAGAGTGAAATCGAGCCAAAAAACAAGGACAAATAGCACAAAGGAAAAGTCTAATTGCGAAACACAGACATGAGACGCGCTATTATTGCTTGGCGGCAAGAAAAATGGCCAATAATGCCCTGTTTGTGTCTCTGAACACTTGATAACATTTCGGTCACTTGTGGGCATCTGATAAGATTGCCCATTTGGCGTCACTCACTTGTTCGTCCCTTGATGTTCTGGCTGTTGACGGCGAGCCTCCCGAGAGTGAGGCTTGTCCGCACGCTCCGCATTGTCCCTCTGGTCTCTGGCCTGGATTCGGGGTGTGAAACTCTTCCCTGAACGCCTGAATGTGAAGCTCGAAAGTGTCCGCGAGCAACCAAAAACAGTGTCCAAACACGTCACTTCTCTGGCAGCCTCTATTGTTATTTAATTCCACGCCGAATTAATTTTCCATCCACGAATCGAATTATCAATTCCGATTGCGTCAGGGAGTGAATTTGGCTGGAAATAAAGAGTGGCAGAAATACATATATTTTCACTGTGTCTCACTCGCACTCGCGCGATATTTTGGTGGCTCGCGCCAGCCATGGGCAGCCGCGAAGGGGGGCCATCAAGGTGGGTGAGATCTCTGCAACAATTTCATTCTCATTCCCCCCTAAAGATCATTGCAAACTGCTTTTTCCACGCTGCGCGCCGCGCAAACTTGAAAAGTCGCTGTCCCAATCTGCGTAGAATCTATTTCTCAGACACACCATTGATGTGTCTCAAGGTCTCTAAACTTCTCGGGCTTTTTTATCAACTCCGCGCTCTGTGTGGTTTTTGTGCTGATGGGAAATTCACGAGATCCTCCCGTGTCAATGGCCCCTGCGTGGCGTGAGCCAGCAAAATGGGCCCGTGGGGCGACAAGGGAACACTCACACGTATCAGCTGGCTCGCCCGTGGCAATTTTCGCACAATAATTTGCCTGATAAAGCACTGGTGAATCGCAATAAAGTGAATTGCGACTATGCAGATTTATCCACTTTTTTCTGACACATGTCACTGCCTCGATTCCCACTGTCACCGCTCATGGCGCTGCGGACGATCTTCTTTCTCTCACGCACACTCGCGCACGGGAAAACTTAACGAATCGGCTCTCTTCCTCTCTCTTTCGGGGCAGGAAATGTCCGTGGAAGTCTTCTGAAAGTCCACACAGCGTTTCAAAGACTCTTGATTTGAAATTGAAGAGAGAACCTGTAAAAATTATTTAAATTGCTAAAAATTAAAGAGTATCCCAAAGAGATCAATAAGAGCAATGCCATTGGATGCTTCGAGGCTCCTTCTCCCTTCTCAGGAAACTCCTTTCGTCCATTCAACGATCTCTTCTCGAAGATTCGCAATGGGGTGTTGCGATCTCTTTCACTCGCATTCCAGTTCGTCCAGTGGAAAGGGCGACTTGCGCGTGTGTGCGAGAGAGTGTGTGTGCGTGCCTGAGGATAACGTCAAAGTGTGGTGTTTTGTATTTTTATCCCTCAACTGCATTTTTGCCCAATTTTCTCACCCCAAAAATGCTAGAAGCCCGCGAAAAGAGTACATAAGTGTCCAGTGCATGGCTGAACACTGTCGGAAGGTCGATTTGGTGTGCAGAAGGACGGGAAAAGTGCATTGAAAGAGTCAGATTGGTCGCAAGCTTGGCTCTCTTGTTCGCCATACATTGCCTTCTCTGTATGTATGTCAATAATCTCGGTGGAATGTGACAAATTATGTGCATTTTCCCCAAGTGCCTCGCACTCGAGTAAGTGTCTGGCGGCTGATGTGCTGGTGAGGCTGGCCAGGCAGTTGGAAAATGCATCGCAGACGCAAGAAGAGGCCCAGCTATGGGACTCGCACGGTCGAGGTGTGTCGTGGCATTAATGGGTTTGGCTTCACCATCTCCGGACAGCAGCCCTGCATCTTGTCGTGCATCGTGAGCAACTCTCCGGCCGATCTGGCGGGTCTGCGCGCCGGAGACTTCCTGATATCCGTGAACGGGCTGAATGTGTCGAAGCTGCCCCACGAAGCGGTGGTGCAATTGATCGGGAATTCCAGCGGCAGCATCCGGATGACCATTGCCGAGAACTACTTCTCGGACAGCTCGGACGAGGATCAGGTCACCATCCACAGCAATGTGCAGCGCGTGAGGCCCAAGTATCACAACAAGATAAAGGCCAACAGAGCCATGATGAGGCGCTCGATGGAGGAGAGAAACAGCCCGTCGACGATCCTGTCGGACTTTGCGCTGCACAATCTCGCCCTCCGGCAGATCAGGGAGAACGAGGCTTTGATGCCGCTCTCGCCAACTGCTCACGACATCATCCTGAGCCCAAACGCCAGCAACAGCAGCGACGTGCGCAACGTGAGTGCCATGGTGAGGAGCTCGAACAAGTCTCGCGAGGATCTGCGTGTGAAGCCCATGGCGCCCAAGATGACGCGCCTGCGCGAGTACCGAGTGATCGTGGGCTATCTGGGCACAGTGGAGGTGCCTAGACAAATAGCAGTGGCCGGATCGAAGCTGCAAACGGTGCGCGGATGCATCCGGAAGCTGAGGCACGAGAAGAGAGGCGTCACCACCGTTCTCATGACCATTCTGCCCAACTGCATGACCCTGAAGAACTGCGGCGACATCTTGCTGGCCACATTCCCCGCCGGCACCATCAATTATGTGAGCAGTGGCTCACAGAACGACAACAGATTCTTTGGCGTGATCACATCGGGACTTTACTCCGATGGGCTGATGTGTGATCCTACGGAAGTAATTTTGCGGCACACGACATCACACAGCTGTCATGTGTTCGCCATCGACACGAGAATCACTGATCACTCCTGGCATTTCGAGAAAGTCAACCAATTCAAGATCACCTGCTCAAGAGATCCACTTACGAACACCTGTCAAGAAGTGCCGAGTACATCGGAGTATGTGGTCAATTTGCTGCGCAGCATGTACACTCTCAAGTCGCTGGGCAGCCGTCAGGAGGCTGGGATGCACTTCCGCACGAAACCACCCATGGGCAGGGGAGTGCGCGAGCACAGACTCAATCCGCGCGCTCTGGACGATCACGATTTCATGGCGAACTCACCGCAGCCGAGCAACCACAGCGAGATCACCACCACTTCCAGTAACTCAGACTCCGGGATTGGCTTCCACAACGACTGCCCGAACCTCTCGGATCGCGTGCTCGTGGTGGACTTCCCGGGCATTCAGAACCACAAGCTGATTCCCAGCTTCCGTCCGAATCCCATCGGCAGCAGCGACACTTCTCTGCGTTCGTGTGGATTGTCCAGCGCCCAGCAAGAGTCTGAATCTCTAGGCCGCAAATCCTCCATTGTGGAGTCAATTGAGGGCAAGCTGAAGCCTCATCACTCTAAATCCAAGTCTGCAGATAACATTCCTAGGCCGTCCACGTCCAGAGACGCTGATCCCAGGCTCACAGTGAGAGCCATGCCGGATCCCAAGATGTTCAGCGATCTGGGTCGCGACGAGGCGTCAGGCTATGAGATGGTCTTCCCCATTTTGCCGCTGAAGTACTGGCTCTCCGGCAAAGTGGTGGACGACGAGGGAAATATCGTGCAGGAGAATCCGGTGGATGTGCCTCAATCCGCAAACCGTCCATTTAGCTGTGAAACCGAGGAGTCCACGGAGGATAAGCAGAAGAAGTTCCTCCAGACCGCTCGCTCTTGCGATGACATGATACTCACGCTGGAGAAGGAGTTCGACAACAAAGTGAATCTCATGAAGATGTCCCTGGATGATGTGTCGGTGCTGGAAACAGCGCCGAAGCCGCCAAAAGTGCCTGACGTGAAGGAGGATCACGTCTTCTTGCCGCCAATGCCAGTGAAGAAGTCACGAAAGTCTCACGATGGACGGAAGAGCAGCAACATGAACAAGATCATGTCGTACAAATTGAGCCCCAAAGTCTTTGGGCTGTCACGACCGGTGTCGGCGAGTCTGGAGAATATTGCGCGATCGTTCAGCAAGAAGACGCCCGACAGTGCCAAGGACTTGAACAGCAATTTTGGCAGCCTGAAGGATCTGAAAGATGACGAGTGCACATTAAGGAGGAATCTGCTGGACAGCAATGCTTACAGTGAACCAGATCTGCGATCGTCAGAAGATGTAAGTCAATTTTTGATTACACTAATCCTCATGCAGGTCTGATGATGATGTGTAATTTTCGGAAGGCTGCATGAGGGTTAATTGATTATTTTTGCTTTGTTTACGTTTACACACATTTTTTCGATTTCCTCCTTTCCATTTCACTGTTGGTGGGTTTAATTATAAACCATGTCAAATTGGCCAAATTTATCATTCTTACCCCAAATGAAAGGGCTCTGATGCTTAATTATGGGCAATTCTCCTCGGTTTTTGGACACATTCTGCGATATTTAACATACGCGCATTCCTTCATTCTCTCTCTGTGCGTCTCATCTATTCAATTAATGAGGAATTTCCCTCTTTTGAAGCACACTCAATCAATCCCACAACACAACAATACTTGAGCAATGTGCTCTCGATGTTTCTTCTCTGTCCCATGAATTCACTCTGTGTGGAAACTCAATGTTGTTGTCGCCTTTTCGGGCTGAAATATTTGAGATACAAAAATGGGAGAAATAGAAGAGGAAAAAGGGGGATTGGATTAAATTGTACTTGGCTCTGTCTGTATGACTCTCTGGCATGCAGTTAGGTCTGGTTCTTGATGGCAAACAACAACAATTGGGATGTTCTGGAAAAATGGTGGGATCTAAAAATATTATCTAATCAGAGCGGAGAAAAGCTCCACAAAGCGGCAGAGTTTTCCACTGGTGTTCACATGGAGTTTCTGTGGCGGTTAGTTTACAGGGCGGATTGTATTCTTAGTTTGTGCCATGAGACAGTTGAAATCAGTCACGCGAATTTAGTCTCACTGGTGATTTACTGGAAGATTTACAGCTCTGTGTGACTTGCTGGCTAAAGTGCCTCGCAATGAGTGAAACCCTCGCTCTTGACTGTTCTCGCTGACAATAAGGAGGAGGGCGAAATATTATTAAGTGAATAATATAAAATCAGAGAGACACTTTCATGGAGTCAGTCGAAGCATGAAAAAGAGACTTCGAGTGTGTGTGAGAATATATGCTTGAGACATTGGAGTGCGCGAAAAGGCGAGAAATATGTTAGTCAGGCCATGACGTCATGAGGGAGGAAGATTTAATTCCATGAACCGGTGTGTCGCGCAGTGAATAATAATAATAATAACGAAGTATTTTTGCGCCCTCAAATTTGTGGACACACTCGTCAAGCTATTATTATTTGTGTGCCGTGGAGCTTTTCCCTGTCAAGCCTTATCTTGGACTGGTGTTTGCCCGCGGAGAGCCACTCCAAGTGCACAATAGTTTGGGTTAATGAGGAAGGAGAGTAGAGCGAGATATGTAAATATGGCAATATTTCGACATGGCCACATTCGGGAAAGAGAAAGCGAAAAGGGGTGCTCGTGAAGTGCTGTTTAGTGGGTGTATATTGCGACTGCTTGCGAGCACGACTATGGGTTCAGTGATAGTCGCACAATAATCAGAATTATCTTATCACAACGGTAGACACCGCATTCCCTTGTGCAAAGGTGATAAAATACGGTATTTTCTATTTTTTACCACTTTGCGAGAAGTGGTGAAAGACAATTGAGTGTGTGGAAAATTTCATGGACAAATTTTTGGAAATTCGAACGCTGTGCAATAATGTTGAGTTAAAGTCAGCAGAAAAAAGCACAGACTTGAGCAGTGAAGGTGTAAAGTTACTCTATAATTTCACATGAACTAAGCTTAATATTTTTTTGCGGGTGATTTTCGGTGTGCAAATAAGGAGAAAATAATAATGATGTGATTTCTGTGCAATATGTCGAAAGTGTATGGATTAGTCTGTGGCTACAACTCAGCTGAAATATCAGCGGTAAGATTATGAATTCAGTGAGCGCAAAATTAAGGAGTGAATTCACATAATATTAGTTTGTACAGTAAAACTACTTCACATTCATTGGGAGATCAATTTGGAAATTAATAAGGCACAATATGTGGAATGACTAATTCATTGAATGTGAAAATGTTTTCTCAACGGGTGAAACGGACATAAAATTTGCATTTAACTGAGCATTATAGTGCATTTGGCGTTTCTTTGAGATATTAAATCTTCCACTAGAATGGATTTTCCTCACAATTTTGCTTGTATTCTGCTTCGCTGGATGAATGAACGTGTGTGTTTGTCTGTTTGGGTCGATTAGCCACAAGATGCTGAATAAAGTGCTGGTGATTCATTGACTTCAATTGGAAATTCATGCTCCAGAATTAGCTGCTGTATTCTGTGTGCTGCATTTCTCCTCGATTGTGGCGTTTTATGTATGCATTTTACACACCATTTCAATATGTCAAAGTCATTATAATTCTCTATATGAGAAGACGAAACCACACAGAATTGAAATAATTATCCGACAGAAAGATTGCCCTAGAAATATCAATGTGAATATTGTGAATTGCAAACTGAAATGCTAGATTCTTATTCATGGCATTGGAGAGACATAATGAGAAGTGTATTATCTTACGGTACAGAAAAAGAACAATCACTTGGAATATATCGTAACTTTTTTAGTGCACGCCAAGGTTGGAAGAATGCTTCATTTTCTTCTTCTATTCGACGTGAAATTAGCTTTTACAGAATATTTTTAAATGCTTTGGATTCTTCCACATTGCATAAGAGTAAAATTATTAGTTTTATGGATGAAATGTGAGATGTTTGATCTGAAAGGGTTAATTTATGTGGTCAGAAACGTTCACTTGCAGTGTTAAGAGAGTTATAAGTTAATGTGTTGCCAATATTATAAGATCGATGCCTGGATTTTATAATTATTAACACGTGTATTGTTGATCCACGTTACATGTCTTCAGTCTCTCCAGCCCATAACAAGGAGTAATGATGCCAAGATGGTAATCACTCCTGTAATACTGTTATTAATTAATGGGAAATTTCTGTTGTTTCTTCTTTTATCTAGAATCTCGCTCTCAACAATGTGTTCTAATAAAAACAAAATAGTACTATCTTAACGAGCGTCAGAGTGAAAGAAAAATCATGCGCAAAAAGTTTAAGGTGTGATGCAAAGGGAAGATAGAATAGTGTCATAGTGTTCGCATTGAGTGATGTTTATTGTCGTCTTTATTAAGAAATGACGGTTAAGATAATTTCCCGGCAATGTGTGCCGCTGAATTCCATAATGATCGCGTGCTACTTGAGAAAATGAATGAGCCATTATGCTAATTGTACATCTAGAAGTAAATTTGTGGCGGCTGAAGACCGAATTTACCGCGGGACTTTCGTACATTTTTTTTCACTTCACCTGCACGGACTTGCCGTTAATGTCAGGTGGTTTTTTCTTTAAAACCTCTCATTTTTCCGTACATTCCCCTGCACGTTGTGCAGTTTTGTGTCGCTTTAAAAGGCAATTTGGAGTGTTTCCCCGTGGATGAGCAATGGTGTGTAGATGGGTAAATAAGCGCGTGTTGCACATGGCAAGGCGGAGAGGCGAGGAACGAGGAAGAACTAAGAGGATGGCAGTTGTTTCTTGCGGAGGGACTCACCTTTATGTGCTCAACAGTTTCTTCTATGGCATTGTTGGTAATTTTATTGGGTGAAGATAGGGCAGGAAGTTTCCCCTCGGGAATGATCAAAAAATGGACGATTTGAGGGGCGAGAAAAGACATGGTTTCACCTCTGTTTGAAGGTATTTTCGTATTCATTTGGTGTTCATTTGAGCTGTGAGTCACACAGAAAATGTTCAGCCAGTTTTCCAGTGCGACAATTTATCAAGTCAATTGAGAATTCATTGCACAATTGAGGGAGTGATTGGTTTGTGCACAGACACACACAGACATTGCTGAAAAAGTGTGGGCTTTTGGCGCTGTGTTACAAATGGAGCAGATCAAGAGAATTGATTTGATAAGACAAGCAGTGGCAGATAAAAATGCCAGAGACGATAAAGTCTATTCAGTCAGTGAGAAGAATTGCCTTCTAAAGCCCACGAATGATTCCTCATTTGAGGCTTCTCTTGAGTATAAACCACTCGAGAGTTCGATTAATCTGAGGAGAATTGCAGAGGGAAAATCTCGTGGGCACTGTGAGAGGATAAGAGTGCTGAAGAGGAGGAAAAAGAGTGGCGTTGGTGTGAGAAAATGTGACAAAATATCCATTGGATCTGTGACTTTGCCAATTGATTTGGCAAATAGTGCCTTTAGCACTCTGCAGACAGTGAAGAATCTGAGACGTAGAGAAGAAAATGATGAAAATCTCTCGCCAAGAGCTCTAGAGTTTCGCCAGAGGAAAATTGATCCTTTTTCCTCGTCCACACCGATAAAGAGTGTCGAAATGAGGGCGGAAAGTGAGCGAGAAGTGGTGGGCAATGAGAGGAAATTTGAGCTAGAATGTAATGAAATTTTGATGGAGGAACAAATGAGAAACTCGATGATTGTTGATTGCGTTGAGATAGACAAGAGTAAATTGGTGGAGTCAAAAGAGCACGTAATGTGTGTTGAAATTTGTATGCCGCTAACGAGAGAAAATGTGGAGAGGCACGAAAGTGTGGAAAATTCATTGTCCGGCGACGAGGGAGCGGAATGGGGACAATATTTTGATTTCTCCTTCATCTGCGAGCCATCAACGTCGGATGCTGAGGAGGAAGAGCACGTGAGTGTGCTGATGCCGGCGCAGCCGATGACTAGGAATTGCGTGAAAATGGCCAAAATCCAGCAAAATGCCAACAGTCTCAACAAATACACTTCAGCCATTCAGTCGGCATCCATAAAGAGCCTCAAATTATTCACTGTAAGTTTACATAAGAGAGACGGTGTCTTTGGCCAAGGCGGGTGTGATATGATGGAAAGAGAGATAATGAATATCTTGGGGAATTATTTTACAGCACATCTGAGGAGGTTGTCTCGTGCATTTTTATTGAAATGACTGACAAAAGAAATGTGTCGGTTAAACTTGTTTGCCCATTTAGGTTGGAAGGTAAAAAAAAAACACCTCATCCCTCGTCACACTTGCAAATTTTGCGCGCCGCGAGAAGAATACACAATAAAATGACGGGGCTATAAAGAGTAAAAATGGCAAAGACAAGATGGAATTTGATACTTCTTCCCATTTTACAGTCCAAGATCACACCAATTTCCGTTTCGTTTTCCTCACAATTTGCCGGTAAGAGCAACTCTGTCAAGGGGATGTGTGATTATCATGTGAAAGAGGAGTGATTATTGTGTGTGAAGAGAATACGGCGCACTAAAGAGAGAGAGAGAGAATTTTCGCTATCAGATAACCTTCCGTCTCGAAGTCCCCTTTTTGGGTTGTCTTTCTTTTCTCGAACATGCTAATGATATGAGGAATTTCCTGTGCATTTACCACCATTTTTGTGTTCTGTTATATAAATTTGCCAACATTACACATTAACATTTACATTTAGAATCCATCTTCATTCACACCTCGCACTGTTTGCGCGCACTATTGAGAGAGACAGAGGCAAAGAATATAAGTTGCCCGGCTAAAGTTTTGTGTTACGCCTAGAACATTGTGGTATGCGGCTAACAAGGAGAGTGGCGAAAGACAAGAACATTGTGCAGTAGAAATGTGAAACACGAGAAAATTGTCCTGCAAATCGTTGGTTAAATCAGCATTTATGCTATTTTAGAGATTCCTTAATTTTCTAGAGATATTTTTATGCATGTCAATGTATAGTTTGTTTGTCTTTTCTTTCATTTTTTGCATTTCTTGATACTTCAAACGTTAAATGTATCTAATTTATGTGAGACAACAATAGAGTAAAAATGTGTTAAGCATATTCCAAGAATAAGTGGAATTTTACTCGATCAAAATTTGATTTCTAAACCAAATTACGATCATTATGTTAGTTAGCACAAGTCTACAATTGCGTTTCGTCTATGAAACGTGAAAATTTCGAGATGAATCTAATACTATTTTGCTCTGGTTGACATATTTAACGCTCTTATGGATATTTTCTTGCTAAAATCATTTCTTTCACGTCTCATTATTCACAGTTTGGCGCGTAGTGAAAATGTGCAGTTAGTGTAAATGCTGATAATGGCAACGAAATTGCTCTGATAATGTTGCAAACAGCGATTGATCGCTTCTAAGTGTGTTGTGGCAAGGAGTGTAAATTGAATGTCTTTTGCTGATGTTTTTGATCGTGGTTCGCAATAGATTGAAAATGTCTACTTTGAGAAATTACCACTTGGCGGAAAAAAAGAATCAATTCCGGCCTCTTGAAGTGTTGTGTGCTTGTGACCCCTCAAGTCAAGTGATTTGTCTCTCTTTTGCTGCAATATTCTCGCGAGAATGTGTGCCTTTTTATTGCTATAAAAGGTGATTCCACTAATATCTTGTTTACCTCTTCATTATTGCACTTCTCCGCGGCCCCGACACGCATCCCAGATCATGCGTAAAGAGGTCGTGCTAGAAGGACAAGGATTTGATATTGAGGATTCCAGAGGAATCTTCAGCTGTGGTGAAGAAAGTTGGGTCTTTTTTCTGCTTGCCAGCGACACCATTGCCAGCGTCTTGCTCTGCGGCAGTTGTGGGGGAGCGGCGAGCGCTGCTTGTATGTGGGTCTCTGGCGAGCTCCCCACCCAACAGATGACTGTGGAAACTCTGTGTGGCGGTGCTTGAATTGGGCACTTGTGCGATGTTCGTAGATGAATAGCGCTAGATAGAGCAGCGGGCGATTCAATTGACGAGCGAGTGTACAAAACGTTTGGATTCTCTTTTCTCCATTCATCGTCAGTTCCTAGTTGTGTCTCTCAGGCGACCAGACGCATCTTCAGCCTCCGCAGCCTCAAGTGCTGTGTGCTGTTCTCTCAGAAAAGACAGACTTTCGTTGATTTTGAAGTGGGCTTTTTTCGTATTGCATTAGAGCGGAGGATATCATCAATTGATGCAATTATTGCCATCAATTTAAATTCCCCTCTCACAAACTGTGCGATTGTGTGTGGTTTTCTCGGTGATTAGTTGGAGCAAAGGAAAGGATTAATGCTGAATATCTCAATGAAAGTGTCTCTCGATTAATGTGTGGAGGACTTAAATGTGAATTGCAAATGATCAAATATGATGCTCGAGTGTGTGTGGAGAGGCAGTGTAAATGTACTCAATGAAATTAACTTTCGAATGCATGCGCGGGGTGAATTGATGTGATTTGTTGTTGATTTATCGACAGATATAATGTGTGTGTTTTTTTCGTGCTGAACTGTAAAAGACATTGAAAGTTGGCATTAGGCAGACGGAGGGAAACATCACTTAAGTTCACCCTTGAGTGAATATCGGCAAACAACAGGTTGGCGATCGCAGAGGATGCTTGTGACGTCCCGCGATCTGCAGATGGTTGTTGGCTTCATCAAGGAGGATGAGGTACTCCTTGTCGCGCGATTTCGATCGCGATATTAGCATGAAATGTCGGTTAACATAGCGGAGAGGTTGTGAGATTTCAATGGCTATTGTGCCGGGCGAGCAAGAAGTGGATTCCCAGCGGTAATTTAAATGGTGAATTGTAAGAGTTGAACGAGGATGGGAAAAATGAGGGGAGGAAGTGCAGAATAATAGGGAAGAGAGAGAGAGAGAGAGAGCGAGATAGAACGCAGAGATTTTGACGGTTTTTAATTTTGAGCAAATGAAGTACACGTTAGACACATAATAAGTTTCTCCACTAAAAGTGATGGGAAATTCCAATGTGCCCAATCTTCTTTGGTCGATTCTTGATGAGACTTTATTCAAATCACCTCCGCCGAATTGCTCATAAAACCATAGAGAAGACAAATAAGCCATATTCTTATTATACAGTCAGTTCAGGTCGAAGTTTTACAATTTGCAGTCGAAAAAAAAACACGCTGCCGGTTGAACAAATTTAGAGTATTATGGTTGATATGTATTTATGAAAATCCCTCTGAGGAATTCGCTGTTAACTGTTGTGCGCTGAAGAATGGGTGAAATTCCACTGTGCGATCTCCCTTAATTGGTGCACAGAAATTGCATACATACGATGGCCTTTGAGGAATCAGATAAATTTCGCAGAACTTGTCTTACTAATGACGCTATTAATAGCGAATTTATCGCATCGCACTGACGATTCTTTCTTCTCTCGCCTGCAGACTCGCGCTCTCCCTACCAATTCGGGTGGTTCACCGTTCAGGCGATGGGGTCAGTCGTCGTTTAGGTCACGATCAAATGAGCAGCGCAATCTCCTCCCCAGGAGGCCATCGTCGCTGGCCGCGTCCGAGAGTGATGTTTACACAAAGGTTCGTAGCGGCGAAATTGAGCTTTCATTGTTTGCAACAATATGAACTAATTGAACGATGAAATGCAATTTAGTCCATCAACGGTGAGGCGGCGACGGGCAGGATGAAGGGGGAGTTCTCGGGTGAAGCCAGCGAATCTGGCGGCGTGTCTGGATGGAGCAATTCGTTCGAGCGACTGCTGGAAGACACGGCTGGTCTGCACGCGTTCGCGGAGTTCCTGAAGAAGGAGTTCTCGGCGGAGAACATCTACTTTTGGACGGCGTGCGAGCGCTATCGGCAGATTGAGGACCAGACTGAGAGGGCGAAGGAGGCGCAGGAGATCTTCGCCAAGCACTTGGCATCGACAGCGCAGGAGCCCGTGAATGTGGACTGCCAAGTGAGGACGGCGGCTGAGGGAAATCTCCAGTGCGCCAGTGTTGATCTCTTTGAAGCGGTGAGTGATTCTTAACCGATTTTGATGCATCTTCACGGCTTGAAAGTGTTCTAAACATGTGAATATTGCTCATTTTCTTGTAGGCCCAGAAGCAGATCTTCAACTTGATGAAATTCGACAGCTATGCGCGATTCATTCGATCGGATCTGTTCAAGAGCTGCCTCGAGGCGGAGTCCAAGTGCAAGCCACTCCCGTATCCCGGTGATCAGTTGGACGTGGGCTTGCGCACGGGTCCAGTGATGCCGACGCCGTCCAAGCTGAAGAAGTCACTGAGCAATGCTGAGGATCGTCGTCGGAAGTCTCTCTTGCCGTGGCACCGCAAGACTCGCTGCAAGTCAAAGGATCGCGATGATCTGAGTGTGGGCAGCAAGGGCAGTAGCCTAAAGGTGCCACTGATGAACTACAACAGTGATCTGCACAGCTCGCGCAGCTCGCTCTCCAGCTTCGATGCGGCCATCACGAAGCTGAGCACGACTGAGGAGGAGGGCAAGAGTGCGCTGTGCAGAGTGATCCTGCCGGACGCCGCCACGACAATCGTGCAGACGCGCGCCGGTGAGACGATGAGGGAGCTGGTGGACAGACTCCTGGACAAGAGGGGGCTGATTTACAACAGCTATGATGTGTTCCTGGCGGGATTCAGCAAGGCGCTGGATTTGGAGGACTTGTCGCGCAATGTGGCGGGAAAGGAGGTGCAGATCGAGCAGAGAGTGGTGTTCAAGCTGGATCTGCCCAACAGGAAGGTGATCTCAGTGAAGAGCAAGCCCGGGAAGGTGCTGGAAGACGTGTTCCGGCCCATTCTGCACAAGTACAACTACCGCCTCGACATGGTGCAGGTGTTCGGGAAAGAGTCTCCAGATCCCATCGATGTGAAAGTGGCTGTAACGTCGGTTGATGGACAGAGATTGCAAATAGTAATCAAGACAAGCGATGGTGAGTAATATTTTGCACTTCATCTTCCGCATTTATGCTAATTAATGGTAATGAAATGTGTAGTAATAAAAAAATGGTCTGTGTGGCTGCGAAATTCAGTTAATTGAAAGTACAAATTGTATTTGTAGGCGGTAACAATGTGAAGCAAACGAGCAAATTGGCCTCTGCTGGAGCCATGGATGGTGGCAATTGTGATGTTGCGCAATTGAAGAGCGCCCTGGCAATGCAGCACTATCCGTGCATGACCGGCAACCTCAACCAGAGCACTCTCGATGAGATCACCAACAAAGTGTTCAACGAGCTGCTCCAGGGAAAGGTGGAAACGCTGGCGGAAGCATCTGGCGCCACTGGACTGGATAATGCCTTTCCCAGGGCCACGATTGATCAGCTCTCGATGAAGGTAATGAACCATGTTATTGGGCAGTGAAGTCAATTCAACACTTGACTGATTTCTGGACATTCAGACATTTCTAATAATAACCCTTTTGGCCATCTTTTGACTATGACGACATTTAAAATGCCACCTTATTGAATTAACTGGATGCTAATCAATGTTTTCTCTTCCTGCACACAGTCTGAAGAGTGGGGATCGGAGGCCTCTTCGGGGATCTTCTCCAGGGCGCGTCGGCATGAGATCCTGCCCAAGCATCGAGGGCGAAAAGTGGTGCAGTCGCAGAAGAACTCCCAGACGGAGTCTGAGGACAATGGTGATGGCATGAAGAAGCCCCTGATTGCCAAATGGAAGAGCGGGGCGAAGTTGCAAGTGACGACGAGGAGTAGTCCGGGTGGAGATGATCTGCTGGAGGGCTTGAAGAGGGCTCAGCGATCGCGCCTTGAGGATCAGCGCGGCACGGAGATTAACTTCGAATTGCCGGAGTTTCTGCGGAACAAGGAGAACATGAACAGCAATAAGAGTCGTCGCGATAGTCGCTTCGAGGAAGCGGCAGGCAGTGAGGATGTCAGTCATCGGAGAGAGTCCAGCGATGGCGTTTCTGGCTTCCCGCCCAGACCGCAGCCCGCGCCGAGGCTGTCCATCATCAACAAGAACAGTGGCAATCACGCCGCTGCACTTTCACCGCGCACTCCGCCGCCATCCGTGAGTCTGGCGAGCAACAACAACGAGGCGTCCGGTGGAAACTACAGCAATTCGGCGGTGATCGAGAGATCGCTGCTGCAACTTCTGGAAGCGTCGCCGCAGGCGAGCGCCGCTGAGAAGCTGGACAACAGCGCATATCTCACGCCATCGCGCACCGGATTCACAGATCCTGAGCTGTTCTACGGACGCCAGACCGGCGACAGGAGTGCCTTTAGACACGGTGATCTCCTCAATTCCAGCTTCAGCAGCACGACGACGAACAACAGCACGAATTACTTCGAGGAAATGGGCGGATTTGGTGGCGAGATGGAAATGCAGGGTGCCAGAGGACCGCCTCCGCTGCCGCCCAAGCCCAAGATGGTGCCCATGAAGCCCTCCAACTGGAGCCAGAGCGCTCAGCGCCAGAAGCAGTCCAGATTGTCTGCGGCGAGTATGGAGGAGAGATTCAAAGTGGCCGCAGAAATGCCGCGGATGAGCGAGAACACGAGGAAGCAAAAGAATGCGTACTTTGATCAGCCCAGCAGCAGTTTTGTCTGAATTTACTAGCACTTAAGGACAACTATACTTTCTTACTTCTTGATAAGTTAAGTGGAATATTTAGGAAAAAGTGCCAATCGCGGAGGAAACTTCTGAAATTTATAAATTTCTATTTATACTGCTGATATTTTATAGAATCTATACTTGGATATTCTCTATTTTTTATCTAATAAAAAGAAACAAGATATTTAAGCCGTGGCCACTTGCTTTTCTCCCTTTTCACTCTCCGCCACCTGGACGGCGTCCGTGGTCTCTTCCTGGCTGGCCTGCAGCGCTTTTGGCGGAGTGTCGTCAATTCTGTACGTGATTGGGCCGGGTTCCTTGGCCGGCACCCATTCGGGGACGATCTTCTCGTGCAGGCGCCACTTCCCATACTCGTTGGCCATGTGGCGCTCAAAGACAACGTACTCCAGCACATCCTTGGCCAGGATCTCGCTGCCATGCAGGAGCCGGCCGAATCTGTCGTAGATGGCGAGCAGTTGCTGCGTGTGGAAGCGCACGGTGACCTGAGCGAAGACATTCTCCTTGGTGACCAGATCTGTGCACCGTGCATGAACAACTTTGGGTAAGTCCAGAGTCTTGAGGAACTTCCAGTGAATTGTCTTGTCCTGGATGTTGTGCATGACTTCCGGATAGGCGCGCTCAGTGATGAGTTCTCTGATGTCGTACTTCTTCTTCTGCATCATCAGCTCGTGGACTTTGATGTAAATGTCCTCGGCCTCCTTGGCGAATGTTGGCGGATCGAAGTCCTCTTCATACGTACGGATCTTCCTCAGTGCCAGCATGCTCTTGGACTTCTTCTCGAGCAACTCGATCTTCTGCTTGGCGCCCTTCTTCGTGATTGACGACAGCTTGCCGTCGCCCTCAGGAGGCACATAGGGCTCGAAGATGCCGCCGGTGCAGCTGATGTAGAAGGGGCGCTCCATCCAAGGCCGAGGCGGCTGCAGTCCGCGCTCCCTCAAGCGACTCTTCAATTCTTCGGTCGACAAGTCGCTCATCTTCTCATTGAGGTTTGGGATCTTGATTTTGATGACCTTTCTCGCGCGCCACCACTTGAACGCGGGATTCCAGTGCTTGTGGAATCTCTTCTGCTCCAGGAAGCTGCCAGGAAGTGTGCCCAGAACTGCCGCTGTGCTGCCCTAGAAACGACAGATGAGATTTAGTTGCGGCAAAAGTTTGCTTGTGAATATTCCTCACCTGAGACAGTTTCAGAGACTTCCTCACGCCATTCATTAGTAATCCCGACATGGTTTCGAGGAAAATTCACATTAGAAAACACCTGAAAATCCTAAGAAAAACACACTGGTCGGCCGGAGAAAATTTCAGGTTATTTAGACCAGTTGAACCCAGCGGAGGAGTTCACAATTCGAATAGCTTCGCGTGCGCATAGAAATCATGACCAGACCGATCAGATGAAAATTACATGCCTCAGAATCTCTTAACGCTTTCTTAAATCATCGAATACATCTCTTAAAAGACACACTACAACTTAGCAAGATCCCAAATCTCACAGTTCAGAAGATTTTCCAAGGCATTTTCCTGAAAAAAAAACTCCAGGCATTTAAGGGGAGGAGGAAATTTTTACAATACAAAGCCTTAGTGTACTCTAAGAAAATATACAATATAAAAGAAATCAAGGCAAATTTGTGGTAGCAAAAATGATCTATTCCAATGGAATGTATTAAAATGCAATACAAGTAAGACATGAGTTTTGTAACCGCCACATCGAAAATCGATGAACTCGTCTAATCGACCGCTGGATTGTTGTCTCGCTCTTGCGCTAATGGAGCGAAAGAGACGCAAAGTCCGCCATTTTTCGACATTGAATTCTGGATTTGCGAAAAGTGACAGATTTTTGTGAAAAAGTGATCTACAATTTATTAATTTTGTAAGTAGATTTTCACGTGAAAAATCAGTTTTTCCACCACAATCGCACGGAAAATTGACAGTGCTTGCGAGGGCGGCTGCGATTGGGGTGAAAAAGGTGGCAAGAAGGTTGATTTTCCGTGTGATTTTGGCGCTTTTCTCATTGCGAGCGGAGCGATTGAACAAGTGAAGAGACGCGCCATCACTTTTTTTCCTCCTCTAACAGCACGTTTTTCTCTTTTATTTATCCCCTTTTCAGCCTCTTTTCCTGCGTGTACAGATCTTTTTTTGGTTGATTAATTGAGTTTCTCATCAATCCTAGGATCACACACATTTGGATTTTTGTTTGAGACAACTGAACCTGAGTAAGAATTTTACTTTGACTTTTTTTTTGCCTCCTTTTCGTAACAATGTGACGTCCACATTTTCTCCCATACATTTCTCATCAACTTTTTTGGCCATTGACCTCAAATTTCGTACGCAAATGCAGCTGACGCCGCGGTGGGAACAGTATGCCTTCTCCCTCTGCTGGGGCCGCTCGCGCGGGGGCGATTCGGGGGGTGGTTTTCGGGGCGATAATGAGCGAGACGGTGCTGAGTCGCGGGCAATCGCCATTGTTGGGCACTTTTCGGGCTGAAAGTCACCCGACTTTCACAGCAATTATGCGTGCCAAATCTCTCTCGAGATCGCAATTCATCAGTCGGGGCGCCAACGGGAAAAGCCCACTTAATGCAGAAGAAAGTCCCATGGCTCTGAGTCACGCGGAGGGGAATTTGCATGTGTGCGAGCGAGAGGGAGACACATTAATGAGGTTATGTTGCCTGAAATTGTGGCATTTCCGGTTCTACTTTGCGATGCGACGACACGGAGAAGGCATAACTCACTCGTGGCGGCGACGGCGGCTTTTCTCCCAGCCCAGAGCGAGACCCAAAATGCACCTCAACCATGCTTTTCTTCTCTCGTTGCAGCAAATTATTGTATGAGTCAGAAAACAGAGAGACCAGTTCTATCAGGTCAACGAATTAAGACCAGAAAGAGAGGTGAGAATGTGCGGCATTTTTGGGGCTGTGCGGAGGATAATTGGGCGCTTTTTTCGTTTGCAGATGAAAGAGAGAAGTATGACCCCACGGGCTTCCGTGACGCGGTCATTGCTGGACTTGAAAAAACTGGTGGGGATTTAGAGCAAATCTCCAAGTATCTCCACAACGCTGGTAATAAATTGGATTATCGTCGCTACGGAGAAGTGCTCTTTGACATCCTCATTGCTGGTGGTCTTCTTGGTGAGTTCTCAGCCTCCATGGCGTTCGCAAATGCACCGCTAATCCCTCTTTTGCCCCCTTGCAGTTCCCGGAGGATCAATTTCTCAAGATGGCGAGAACCCGTGCACGCAGTGCTGTATCTTCAACTCTCCTGAAGATATGGAGGCCCTCCGCAATCAGGAGCAGGTAAGGCAGTCTCCGGCAGCCCTTTGCACCTCATTAGAGCCAATTTGCCTGGAATTTGCTGGACAAATTGGTGTCGGTTGTGTGCTAAATTAAGCATTACGAAAGAGCCCGTTATCACTAATCTGCTATTTGCCAAAGATTAGAGGTCCAAGTTCTTCGACAGATCACACAATGATCGTCTCTCAATGCTCTCCCGCTTAACTCTGATGCATTCTCGTCTCTCTGCAGGTCTTCATCAATCTCATGCGTCGACATAAGTACTTGGAAAAAATGTTTGAAGAAGAAATGAGGAAAGTTCTCGTCTTCATAAAAGGTTTCACACCAAGCGAACGAGTTAAATTGGCTCGTATGACCGCATTATGGATTGGTAAGTTGTGTGTTTTATTGCTTGTTGTAATTCAGAAGAAATTACCCTCCAGAATGTTTACCGTCGAGTGTGAGCAAAGAATGATAATTTCTCTGGCTTTCACGCGCATTTTGGGGATATAAAAAATCAAGATTTACTGGCTTTTAAATGTCGAGAGCATCGCGCTCGTTTGGTTTGAAAGTCATCACATGTGAGACAGATGATTTCCAGAAAAATGCGATCGATTCTTGCCTTAAAAGTGATTAAATTGACGACAGATTCATTCCATCAATTCAATTCTTTGTATAGAATTTCTCTAAATGATTTTACACAGATTTGATAAACGTGTCCCAAGAACATTTTCAAAGTCATCATTATCAGACACAAAGAAAATTATTTTCCTCTCACGATTTCTTATCACGCAGTGCATTTGTTTGATTCAAAATTGCTCAATTTCCGTCAGTAAAAGTGATAAATATTTCTGTTTTTCTCCATTTGCACTTGAATTGAGACTCTGAATAGATGAGAATCCGTCAATTTTGCCACTTTTATCGATCGGATTTGGGATTTGAGAAATGTTTCGACGGCCAATGTTGATTGTTTCTCTTTGGCTTGCGCAGGAAATGGATCTGTTCCACCAGCTGTTCTCTTGGTTCTCATCAACGAGCACTTGGTGAAGGATGGCATCGCCCTGGACTTCCTGATTGAGGTGTTTGTGACGTTCAAGCAGGAGAAGGGGATGTCGTCACTGACGCAGGCACTAAAGAAGGGCAACATTGAGAAGCGCCTGATGGAGTTCTTCCCGCTGAACAAGCGCTCCGAGGACTACTTCAAGTCGGTGTTCATCGGCAAGGATCTCACGGACATTGTGAAGTTGCACGAGCAGCGCGCCAGCCAGGAGGCGAAGCGCGAGCTGCAGCAGCTGCTGAACGATGCCATCAATGACAACAAGTCGCCGGCGGAGATCATTGAGGATGTGAAGGAGGCGGCGCTGAAGTCGAACATCTCGGAGCACGAGGTGATCGGGCTGATCTGGACGACGGTGATGTCGCTGGCGGAGTGGAACAAGAAGGAGGAGCTGGTGGCCGATCAGGCGCTGAAGCATCTCAAGCACCACACGCAGCTGCTGCAGGCCTTCACCACCACAGACCGTGCGGAGTTGGCGCTCATCCTGAAGGTGCAGGAGTTCTGCTATGACAACATGAACTTCATGAAGGTCTTCTCGAAGATCATCCTGCTCTTCTACAAGGCCGAAGTCGTGTCCGAGCACTCCATCTTCAAGTGGTACAAGGAGGCGCACTCGCCCAAGGGCAAGATGCACTTCCTCGAGCAGATGAAGAAGTTCATCGAGTGGCTCCAGAACGCCGAAGAGGGTGAGTTTTTACATCCTTTTCTGTGCTCTCTGCTTGTTGCTGACGCGAATCTTGTTTGCTTTTCAGAGTCAGAATCCGAGGATCAGGACGGTAAAGTCGGAGAGTAAAAGCTACTTTGACGTGGTGACTTTTGATATGAAAAAAAGATGCTGAAGAGAATTGTAGATGTGAAGAATTATATATCCAATTTCCATGGTGGCGAGGTTTACTAATTAAAAAGAGGAAAAGAGAAAATTACACATAATAATGATGATAGTAAGAGAGAGAGAATCAAGAGGAGAAAATTTTTAAAATGATATACATAAAATAGTAAGAAATCTTAAGTAACGGAATTCATATAAAATATACTCTTAAAAGCGTTTTCTTTCTTGTTTTACAAAAAAAAGTGAAAAAGGATTTTAATTAATGGAGAATGACTATAAAAGGGGGAATTCCTATACAATTTACACACGATGAATAGTCTCTAGAAAGTTTATTTATACAGAATATATAAATGTAATGAAATCAAGATATAGAAAAGTTCAGAGATTGAGAATGCTTCAAGGAATGGAACTTAATTTTTTGTACCCTATTTTGAGCCCCTGAGTTTGAATGAGAAAGAAAGGAAAAAGATACAAAATATTAATCTGTTATGCGGAGAGTAAAACGAAGAAAAAATTGAGAATTGTAAAAAATACCTACATAAAAGTGGAGAAGTTAAAATATGCAAGTAATTTATCAATTTTTGTGGAAGTAATTTAACAAATTTTGTAATGACACATTTAACAATTTTATCCAAGAGAAATGAAAAAAATATATCTACGAATCACATTTGTAAGTTTTTCACTATTCGCTCCACGACGCTGCTGCTCGTGACCAAGAGAGGCTCCAGACTGGAGGCGCTTCCCATGGGGATTTCAGATGTTTCTTGGCTCTTGGGAAGTCGCGCAGAAGCGTGAATTTCCTGACAATCAGTCTCGTCGATTATCTTCTTTGCATTCTTATCAGTCACTCCAGCTCCCGGCATGATCACCAGTCTTTGCCGGAATTTCTCATTGAGCAACTTGATCCTCTGCATTCCCTCTTCAGCAGATGTCCGGAAGCCACTGGTCAAAAGCCTACAAAAGCCAAGATCGGCAATTTGCGCGCAAGTTTCCGCACTCTTCGCCTCTTCTGTGACATCAAATGCCCGGTGGAATGTGACTGGAAGACTCCCGGCGGCCTGAATGATCCTCCGGCAGTTGGGAATGTCAATCTCTCCACGCTCAGTGAGAGCGCCGAAGACAAATCCATCAGCGCCAGCCTCTTTCAGGACTTCCAAGTCCAGCAGCATCACTGCCATCTCATCGTCGCTGAAGCAGAAGTCGTTACCCCTCCGCGGACGCAGCATCGCGAAGACGGGAATCTTCGGCTCAATCTGGAAGAGGTTCTTTGATCATTTAAGCCTGGAAGAGGAAATTGCTCTGCTCACAATCTGCTTCACAGTCCGCAAGAGTCCAACTGTGGGCGTCAAACCGCCTTCGCTCAGAGCTGAACACAATTCAATTCTGCCGGCGCCTCCTTTGGCCGCCTCTCGAACCGACTCGACGCTGTCCACGCAAACTTCCAGAAGAACTCTTCCCATTCTCAATTTTTCGGCTCTTCTAAAGATTTTCAAGTGGATAAACAACGTGACACGATCAAGATGCTCCGAACTGTCCGACAACTCATCACAGATTTCCGCGGATCTTTCCCTCTTCGAAACGTAAGGCGCTGATGGGTGACGAAGGCGGGAAATATGAACTTTTGAAGAAATCATATTCAAGAAAAAAGTCCATTTGGTCAACTTTTCATCTGTATGTTTATTGTATACATTTTATCACTACAGAACTGTTTGTTTTTCTCCTCATTGAATTCTCAGAAATTTGCCAATTAATACAATCATCGCATGTGTGCAGGATGTTGGTGGCAATACGACATTTGTGATTAAAAGGTCAATTTATTAATCGGCTTTACCTTAAACCTCATGAATTAAACTTGGGTTAGATAGAGAGTGGAATATATTAAGTGGAATCAAATGGTCTACATTTTAAACTCATAAATATTCACCTACAGAGTTACAATTTGCTCTTTGGGACAAAAAGGGTGTTTTCTCTTAGAACTTACAAGTAGTACAATTTTCTCGACTATATACAATGAAACCTACTGATAATAAGAGAGTTAAATGATAAAGACTCTTTACTCATCCTTCGATGTTTACACTAAATATCTATAGTGATGTTTCCACTTTTTTTCTCACTTTACTGGTAAAAACTCACTCGCAGTGAGTAAAGGTGATGGATTTTAGTAATAATGTTTTGCTGTATATAATCACTATTATCTATGCAACTTCACATGTTTTTTTTATCCTTTAAATATCATGTAAGATTAAGTGTGAGGGCTACATTTTTTTGCTTCTTCCTTCTCTATATACTTTGGGATTCGAAGCGCCCCTCGACTATGCGCAGAAGGGCTGTTTTTTCATACATTCTGCAGAGTAACTAGGCCGACATATCAGCAAAACCACGTGCTCTATGCCCTCAGCGAAGCCCCCTTCGCTCTGTCACTAGGATTATATGAAAAGAGTATTAAGTACATGTCTCTTGCATACTATTTTAATGTGGAAAATCATCTCAAATTCATCTGGAAGCCAAAATTCCTCTTCCACCGCTTTATTTTGTCCGCCACGACAGACAATTGATGACAATTTCTCTTCACTTTTCATCTCTTTGGCAATTGCTTTTCCCCACAGTTTCGGAGCTGGAGGGAGCGCAGACTGGATGAATCGCCCGAGGAGATATAATTGAATTATTGCACACAGAAATTGACGCCGAAATCCCTCTCGCTCCCTCCGCAAAGTCCAACATTCCGAATTACTTTTTATCACTTTTATCACAATTTTCTCCCCATTCCCGTGCTCTCGTGGTGATTCAAACAACGTGCAAAATGATAAACTAAGTCTGTGATATGTTCCTGTTTCTCCCAAACGAGGCGCAGTCAGGCACTCTACAGCAGCTGCGCGATCACCGGCTCCAGCAACACCATGTGCTCGGCGCCGCGGATGGGCAGCCGATTGAGGCAGAAGTGCCTGATCATCTCGGGAATGGAGTCGAAGGGGCGACTGAACTGGCCCAGAATGTATTGTCCTGCGTCATTCTTCTGTATCCGCATGTGCATGAATCCCTTGGCGCTCCTGCAAAGTCAGCAAAACCGTGAGTTATGTGAATTGAAAAGACGGTGATGAATACTCACTTGAGCGACAGGGAGTAGTCCTGCCTCGTGGACTCGCTGTTCCTCACCAGAAAGCTGCCCTCGTTCAAGGGCCGCAGCGTACACTCCGCCTCCACGCGACTGATGGCGCCGTGATACCATCCCTGCCTCTCCAGCGGCACCGTGGCATCGATGAGATCCAGCCCGGCAGAGTAGGCGCCCAGATTGAGGTTCAGCAGCCCCTTTCCGCTCGACTTCAGCTCCAGACTTCCGCCCAAGCACTTTTTGCCCGACGCCGCTTTCGTCTCCATCAGATTGAGTGTGAGATTCTGGCGGAACATTCCCGTGCCTGAAGGGAGAGGAAGGGAGAGAGAGAGAGAGAGTGGTAAGTGCACGATTTACAGCACTGGTCACAGATGGGAGATGCCTAGACGAGGGGCAGAATTACATGCGATGCTCCTCGTGCGGAAAAATCAATTACATCTCATTAATATTCCCAATAAGTGCCAGACATTGCGAGGTCCCCCAATTTCGTGCACATGGTGTCCACTCCCATGCATCAGGACACTCACGACCAACCGCACAGCATGTTCTCTTGGACAAATATGTACACGACGATTTGCAAAATTCATACGACCATCCTTCGAGTTGTCCGCAACATGCAGGGCGGCTCAAGAGGGTTCGTTGCGGAGGAATTGCCACAAAAAAACGCCAGCGCATCCTCATCTATACATTCAGGAGGACAAGCGACACACACGAAGGATTCAGCAGCAAACAGAATCCACAGTGGCGCTTGTCTTCTGCAATTGGTCGGGAGAGTGACTCGAACATAACACCATTATCCATTATACATATGCAAAATGTATATAATATTTAGTCTTTTTGCGAATATTCACGAGTTTTCATTGGATTCTATGGCTTCTTCTTGCCTGTAAATCACTTAAATCAATTTCAGGGCGAAACAACTCACCGAGAATCGGCTTGTCCTCTCGCACAGAGTGACTGGACGATGCTTGAGAGACTCCGCTGGATTCTGTGCTGGTCTGGATCACGCCGCTCACTCCGCACGCCGGCTGAGGCGTCAATCTCACGCGCCGTCGAAGCTTTGGCATATCAAATGGAAGATCACCCAAATCCACCGACGTTGCGCTGCCAGATGTGCACGCATCCTTCGTGGAAAAGACCAGTTGAAAAGCCATTCACTTCTCATTCACTAGAGAGCATCACTTACCGGCTGAGTGATGATTCTGCGGCGTCGAAGCTTTGGCATATCGAATGGAAGATCGCTGAAGTCCTGTGGCAAGTCCGCTGGAGCAACATTATTGTCCACTTTCTCAATTGTGGGGTTGAACTTGTTCACGGTGAGTGGCTGGAAGGCGCTTATTCTCGATTTGGCACCGTCTCGCGAATGCAGCGAGATTCCACTGTCTGAACCTTGAATTTCATCACCTGTTCATTCCACGCAACATCACCAGAAAACTACTTATAAACAATTCTAACGACAGGACATAAAGCACTGGATTCTCACCTGTGATTAGGAGGAGTGTCTTATTCTGTGGTATACGCCGCTTCATCTTGGCAGCCGCATTGTCGGTTGTGAAGTCCTCATTTTGATTCTGCTTCGTTCCGTCGTCCGGAGACGCTTTCTGGCTGTTGTTGTTCCTGTTGTTGATATCACTTGTCTCGCTGCCCGGCTCCTGGCTGGACTTGTCCGAGATGGGACTCAGGATGTGCAGCTTCGAGTGGATGACGATGGGCACTCGCAGGGGATTCGTGCCGCCCGGGCCGGAGTCCGAGCTGTGAGAGCTCAGAGAAGTGGAGTGTCTGGACTCTGAGCTCGAAGTGCTGCGATTGCCTTCGCTCGTGCTCGACCGAATGGACTCCATGCTGCCGCCACTGCTGGACGTGACCATACTCTCGGTGGAGGAGAAATTCCCGCCGCGTCTCTGTCTCTGGCCAGTGCCATGATGACTCCCCTTCAGCTCCAACACCCTGCCCGACTCCAGGACCACCGAGCGCGGGCGCTCAGCGTTCCTGGGACTGTTGTACGAGCGCGTGTCACCGATGCTGCCCTCGCTACTCGCGGGCGGATCGCGCGGACACAGCGACTTCAGCGGCAGGTGGAGATCCTTCAGCCGAGCGTTCTTTGGGGGATTCGTGGATGGCAAATTGGGCGCACTCTTGATGCTGTTCATGAGGAAGCGCTCGTGCTTCCCGGGGAATTTGACAGGAAGCGGAGCTGTCGACGGTGGAGATGGTGTATATCCTCTCAGAGGCAACTGAGCAGCCAATCCTGCCTCATTGGCGTTCGCGGAATTCTCCATGAGATGCATGTTCTCCATCTCCTGTGATATCGTCGAACCACTGCCCTCCTTCTCCTTACTACTGTGAGACTTCCCTCGTGAGTGTCTCTTCGCTTCTGAGGACTTTGATGACTTCCTCGAGCGTTCTTTGCCCTCTTTCGGGCATGATTTCGGGGTGTCCACAGTCTGTGGCGTGGACGCGAGCATTGAATGGCTCGTAAGACGATCCAAATTATCGTCCAAGTCATCGTCAGATCTGGTGACTTTGGAGTCAAAGGCCGTCTCGTAAATCTGCCTGGTCTTCCCACTGCCTCCAGACTCTGTGGCCTTCTCCGATGCAGGCTTCTCTCCGCAGTCTGCACACTCTTGCTCGCCCACTTGGTGAACGTAGAAGATGCTGCGCGGCCGGAAGAGATCGTCGGGATCATCCGTGGCAGTCAGCGCAGCGGTGCAAGCACACATGGCTGGCCCAAGGAGTCGATGGGGTGGCATTGAAGAGTCCTGGACAGCGACGACGTTGCACGTTTCGCGGACTAGGGCCAGCGCTTGGGCATGCCACTCTCTCCTCTTCTGGCACTCCGTGCAGTCAGAGTCATCAGACGTGGTCGTCGACGGGGACTCGCATCTGATGATCCGCACGCCGTCCTCAGTGATGGAGTAGCGCCGCTTCTGCGGCTCCTCCTCCTCGCGCTCGGCACACGGGACGTCGAGACTGCTGCTCTTCTTGTAGTACTTGTGGAACTGTGTGGCGCTCCGCTCGCCACTCTGACCGCTGCTCCTTGAATCGACTGTCTTCGATCGCAGCGATCTGTGCTGCCGACTCTTCTGTCCGCCCTCTGAACTGTCGCGCGCCTTCAGCAGGTCAGAATAGTAGTACGGCGACGGATTTCGCTTGGACGTCTCCGAGGTGCCAGTGAATCGCTTGGGGCTCTTCTGGGGCTGCAACGGACGCACCAAATCCTCCGAGATGCTGTCCGGCGAATTGAGATCAGGCACTCGATCTGGCTTTTCTGCGCCGGCTTCCTCCTCTTCGTCTGCGGATGTTTTGGGCCCGGCAGAATCTGCGGAGAAATGATGCATGGCATGATTAAAAGCCACCAAACGACTGGCCATTATTTCAACAATGTGAGCCCATTCGCCCCCGCACTTCGCAGTTTGGATGACAGCATAATTCAATAAGTTTTGCCACCACCGGTCGTTTAGTGGTCCGGGAGGCATTTTATCAGCGTGGCCATTTGTGTGGCGACAAAAAAGGCCGAGGGTGAGCGCGACAAAGGAGGGGACCTGCAACAAATCGTACAAATCACAGCCGGAAATTTTGTGCTTCTGGCACTTTGTGTCGCCCTCGGCTATTATTTACGCCACTATTCTCACACCCAGCCCCAGAGGGAATTTGCATTGTAACCACTTCCTTCATCCGCGTGGCACTCCTTTCAAAGGCTCCCCGACGAAGAGAGGCAAACTCGTGAAAGAAGTCCAAGAGATATCATAAAACTGATGTACACAAGTGGCTTTAGTGAATTTTCTAGGTTGATGATAACAATTTCCACACTCGAAAATTTACGTCACACTACTAATGACTGCCACGGAGTACATCAATTGCAGGAGGAACAGGCGGACAGAGCATGAGAGGACATAAAAGTAATTTATATGGTTCACCACAATGACCAAGAAAGTCAATGGCAGAGGGATTGTGTCGCCAAGGAGGGGACAAGAGACCATATTGATGATGATTTTCATCTTTCTGCTCACACGGAAAGAAAGGGATGCTCGTCGGTCACTCCTTCTTGATCAGACAAAATCACCTTTCACGAAAATTCCCTTATTTCCCAGAAAGGGAGAACCGATGGGTATTTCTTATCTCTCGCAGATTCATCCAGAGCAGAGGTGGAATTGCCAAGTGCTCAAGTCAGAGTCTGATTCTGAGTTGAACCAGTGAAATATCTTGTAATCTTATAGGTAAATTTATTTGCTTTAAAGGAAAATTTCTCGCATGATTCTGATTAAGAGATACATTTGCAGTGTTTGCATCACTCGAACTTAATGTTATTAGTGAAGTCGGAGACGAGAGACAGATTCTGACCTGTTCACTCTGTGCTTCGCCCCCAGAATTGCACACACGAGATTAAGCGACTCAGCAGCGAATCTCGGAAATTGATTTTATACATCATGAAGGATTTTCGGGAGGCGAAGGGGAGGTGAAAACGACAAAGTAGTAAGACATCCCTCTTCAGCAACAATAAATAGTCTATTGTGTGACTTTTATTGTGTTCAGTTTCGATTCATCAAATTGGCAGCGGGTGTGAGACACCCGCGATCGGAGGCTGAGCTTTAAAGACATCAAATATTGGAATGATAAGAAGCGCTAAGCTCTGTGCGATACATTGCGGAATTAGATTTCAATCTCCATCGAGAGTAAATTGAAAAGTTGATTCTCCACATGGATTTCCTCGCTCCACTTTCCTCCCAACTGTGACATCAGCATGACGAGCAATGGACAGAAGGAGATATAATCTTGTGAGGAATCGCTCTGTTCGATTTCACTCCCAAAACCCATGAGTTTTCCTTCCCCTTCCACTCTGCAAATCACGCGAGAGAACCTAAATAAATAGAAAATGTGCACCCTTTTCGGGGATTTGATGTGCATATTTTTCCAATTCAGCACTGACACTTATCGAGTTGCCTCCATATGCGCAAAGGGATAAAGACATTCCCATTTCTATTTGACTAGTCCTGAACAATAAGCTCAATTTGCAGTATTCCTCCATTGTTTGTTCTCTCCCCGAATTTCTCTATCTCAGACTGTCCGATTTGGCATTCGACGTCCCCATTTTTGGCGTTCATCCCAATCTCTGCATGCGGAAAAAATGGTAATGTTCCGATGAAAATTCTCTCTGACGGTGACTTTAATTGTTGTCATTCATCCTCCGTGGTTGATGATGGAAATGCGCCACAAAAAACAATTCCACCACGGAAAATACCATCGACATTTGATTACCTTTGCAATCTGGAAAATACCACGAAGCCTTGGACTCATAAATCAGGAAAAATGTGTCAGAAACATGTTATACATATTTCCAGCATTTCCAGCCAGAGAAGCAAAAAAAGCACTATTTGGGGTGTAATACTCAAAGGGTTGGAGGAGGAAAATGAAACTGTCGCCTCACTTGTCGATTTCTACAAAAATTGATTTATCCCTAAGAATAGATATTCCCATGAATTTGTCAGTTTTTTTTCTATAAGTCACGCTTATGCAAAGCACAAGAAACACATGTGTGACTTTTTCACTCCCCAAAGAGAGAACTGAAGAACCGAAAAGCCACACATTTCAGGCACAGAATTTTAATATTACACTCCTTCAGCCCTTCTCCAGTGCCTTTTTGTACACGCCACTTGACAATTTTCAAGAGTGAATGTTTGCTTTTATCTCGCTAATGATTCAACTTTCGTACAATTTCAATCGCAAAATCGTGAAATTTATACTTTGTCGAGTTACTGAATTTAACTCAACAAACAGAGCGAAAGTTTACAGTGGATTAATTTTAGAAAGGGGAAATGGAAAAGCTACTGAAAGTCCTTATCAGCTATTGTGGTGTGTTTCGCTGCTAGGAATTATGGGACTTTATAAATGTTGCGAAGCATTGCAAGGTAAATAGATGGGAATGCATTCAATTGGCACTCTCTGCAGTCGCTTTTTTCCACTCAGAATCTCCCCTTTGACCACGAATTGCATGCACTTCGAATGAAATCTGCAGTGATGGTAAAATAATAATGGTAAGGGTGAAAAGCACAGCATTGTTGAAATGCAAATTTATGACCATTCTCTCTTGCATAATTTCTCTAAACTCACACTGCATTTAATTGCATATTGACTAAATTCACCCAATCGCTGTGCATTTACGGCATTTACAACAATGCCACTGACATAAATGAAATGCAACTCTCGGCATATTCAATCAACGTGTTATCAGCGAGATTTGGCAGGAAATCCCCGCAAACAATGCACACAAAATAACTGCACAGTCGGAGCTTTTAAAGGAAGTTGTGTAGCACCCACTGTTTTAAAGCCAAAAATGTACAAAATTAATTTCCACCCCTCTTGGCAATATAATTTCCCAATTTACTACATTTATCATTAATATGAACAAATTGGCAATTAACAAATACAAATGAAATGCCGTTGGATTTAGTGATATTTTGCATTATGCACCAGATAATTAGTAATCAATTTGGTCAGATAATATAATAACCAACAATCAGATTTATAATCGAATTCCATATTCATGTAGCAAATTATTTTGGTGTTTGCAGCAAATTCCATTGTTATGACCGCTCTTTGCGCAGCTCTTTTTCCAGCATCACCCGATAAAATTACCATATTCAATTTCACCAGTTCAGCGCTAAATCTCAATTTACCACGAGTTTCCCCACTCAATTGCTGGGTCTTCGATGGAATTTCATTATCACAGTAACTATGTGCAAGCGCCCCCAAAGCATCAATCATTTCCCTCCGAAAGTGACGCTGCAGATGCTGACCGGCGGGATTTTAAAGCGCGGTGGAAAAGAGGGTGATAATTGGGCTTTTCGAGGGCATTATCGCAGTATTTACATATAGTGAAATGATAATGTTGTGCCTGTGTGTCTCTAATTGTTATTGCATACTAAGCACTTGAGAGTTACATTAATGCGACGGCGGGTAATTTTGTGCAAATCCCTCTTGACCGTATGTTGGAAAAATCAATTAACCACGAGGAGACTTTCACCCTTTTGCCATTTGCATACCTGAATCACTGCAGAGGCGATTGTAGGGCTTGAAGTTGCCGAGTGATGTTGGCCTCTTTGACTGCTCTCGCCTTCCTGTCCTGTGTTGCCTCTTCGAGTCCTTGGGATTGCTGTAGCCTTCGACGACTTTCACGGGCGGCTGAGGCGCTGGCTGCGGTGTGAGTGTTGCCTTTGCCGGATTTCCTGGATCTGCAAATGTCACCTGCGGAAGAGAATACGCCATAAGCGTTCCGAGTACAAAATATGTGGTTTTCAGCACAGTTTTCAATGCAAAGCATACAGAACCGAGAATTTATGGTATTTTTCACGAATCATTCTTGAAAATCTGAAACATTGACGTAGCAAAGCATTTTCCAAATCTATTTTAGACTACAATCGTGGCTATAATTTACCCAGAGAAATTAAATGTTTTCTCCACTGCGAGTGTTGAAAATCACATTGATATTTCTTGAAGGCTCTTATTATCTTCCAATTGAGTTGAATTATGCAAAGAAATTGATCGTATTGAACGGCAATATCAAGAAATCGTTGATAAACCCAAAAAATCACCCCAAAATTTAGGTACGAATTGAAATGTTTACGCACTCTAAAGCGAAAGTGCGGCATAAACTCTTTGTGAGCAAGTTTTAAATTTGCCACGATGAAGAGTCAACTCATGGCTTTTTGTGCAGACGACGGCGAAAAGGATTTCACCTGGCTCTCTGTTGAGTGATGACAAGCATGTAAATGAGCATTTTAGAGTGGCAAAAAATAAATGAATCCCCATGAAAGTGTCCTGAAAGTCCTGGATATTTTATTTTTCTCACGTCGCCCACATTTATTGCACCTGTTTATCAGCATAATTCTGTCTGTGCGCACTATTTACTAGAGTTTCTATTTACGACTAATTTAGTTCAATTCATTCGCGAGTGTGTCCGGAAAATACTGCATTAAAGCTCTGAACAAACATTAAGAATAATTTAATGAATTTAGTTCTGAAAGCACATGAATTCAAGATACGAAAGCACCTGACTGACGCGATGAAATGCTTCCTGCCGAATTAATTTCTCTCGACATTCCATCGTTTTGAGTTGAGCAACACTTCAAATATTTCCCTGAAGATTCTCTCCGCTTCAATTGCACTCCAAATTCATTCCTAATAATAATTTATCTCGAAATTTCATTAAAAGCCCAGTGATTTCGCTCAACACGTTGCGTTGAGAGCAAATTTAATGACACTCCACAAACTGCACAGGATGATTTTAATTGCATTTCATATTTTCACGCTAAGATGAACCTTTAATCGAATTCCCTCGGGAGCCATTGCCCTGAATTCGCTTGCGAATGTAGCATTTGCTCTGCAATCGCACCAGCAGACGCCCAAGAGGGGCGATTTGAGAGTGTTTTGAAGACAGATAATTACGGGGAATTTTTCTATCCGCCCTGACGAACGCGTCTGGCGTTGAAGATGAAATTGTTTCGCCTTGCATTAATCACGCTAAATTGGGAATAATTTATGGTGGACTGTTTTCGATGGAGATACAATATTGCGGCGCATCATTTAAGAAATTGCCAATGTACCAAAGGCACAGAATTTAATTAAGCAAATGGGATCTGTTATCAAAAAAGGGGAGAGATGATTATTTTGGGGTGTCACAGCGATGATGAAGTGCTCTGCACAAGGATTGCCACGAGATATCCTTTCTGTTGCCTGTGCAATTAAAGTGAAATACACACGATGAGTTAATTCCATGCATTATCTGATTTGCGTGACTGTAATTTGATGTTTAATTTTCAATATACTCTAATGGCAATTCATTAAAATTCATTCCATTCATCACACGCCAGTGAGAATGACTGTCATCAGTGCTGATTGGCTTTCCCGTTAAATTTCGCGGTCCATTTCTGAATGAAAAAAAAAACTCCTTTTCCAGCCAATTTCTCTCTCGCTCGTTCAATTTAGAGCGTTGCGATAAGAGTGAGAGATAAAATATTCATAAATGCAAAATTGGTGTGACAAATGAGACATTTCCACCCTCCGAAATGGCCGACTTCTCATATGTTTCCGTGACATGTGAGGAAAGAGTGATTGGCCGATTTTGGGAGCACCGCTGGAGGCTCAGCTCAATCACCTTGCGACCACCGCCGTGAAAATCATTAAAAATAATAGCTGTCATCCATAATTGGCGGAAGGGAGGCGTGGAAAATGAATGCGATATGTGGAAATTTGTAGTATTTATGCGAGGAAATGGACAAAATTATGAAATGATACCCAAGCTTTTGGGTCGGTCCATTTTTTACCTCTCGCTCTGATATTTATGGTCACAATCCACCCACAAACCATGCACATACTGACCGTGTTGTAATCCAGGGTCTCTTCTAAATTCACAGAATTGCTACCTGTGGCCCTAGGAAGGGCTTTGTCGGTTTATCTGAATTTCCGCGAATTCGCCTTGCATTCGAGGCTTTAACTGGAAATTACAAACCCACGGCTTTAATGTGAATATCCCGAAAGGGCTGAAAAAGGGGATTTTTTTCTTCACCCCAGCGGCGTTTTATGGCTGAGCTTGGTTTTATGTGCAATTCACGAGAAATTCCACCGCGGGCAGAAATAGCGACAAAGCCTTGTGTTTTGCCCACAATAATTGTTAGCATATCGTCGTCAGTTGCGACAATTCTGCTATTACAAGAACTCACACGTTCTCAATATCACAGGATCGAGTGACAAAATATATAACATTTGTTATACTTAATGCTAAACTTACGTGTTCTGATAAGGGGCTCGGTGTTGTCCAATTGTTTGGCACAAGATCGACCAAGCAAGGATCAAAACTGGACGGCCGTTTCTTTACAAAGTCAACTGGCAGGCTGTAATCATCACAGATGGAGATCTGCAAAGAGAAGGAGAGGAGAGTTAAGCTCCTTAACTACACTTTCCTAATTACTTCATTACACCTTAGATTTCTTTTTGCGTCCCTTTGCAATAGAGGCACGACATTTAATTAAATATTTTATTAATATGGCACATTGAGACACAGAGAGAGAGAGAAAGACACTGTAATTAAAGACTCAGCCAAGTACAAATTTTCCGCCATAACAAAAGGATTGGACGGGAAATTTACAACCCTCTCACTCTCTCACTGTATGTTCTTGACAAGCTCCATTATTGCGTCGTTTGAATTATGAAGTAGAACATAGACAGCGCTTGAGATTTCATATTTACCGTCCGGAGGAGAAGCAGCGAGAGAGAAGAATTAATAATAAAAAAGCACTTATCAGGAATCAAGATAGAAGTCATGCTGCAAAGGTGCAAAGTGTGTGTAATACCGAACTTACAACTTCTACACTTTTGCAACCATTAAGTGCCGGAGGAGTTTAGGAAATTTACGAGTAGACACACTATAATGTAGTTTCTTTTATCACATTTTCCCTTTAATAAAGTGGCAAGATCTCGTGCGGCTATCTCGAGACTGCAGTCACAGTTCCACCGTGAGCAGTCTCGTGTATGTAAATTACCTTCAGCCCAGCTAAGGCTGAAGAGGGAGAAGTGCGATGTCACCAGTTAGTACTGCTTAATCGATTAAACGGAGCGAAAAAGGGGTTACTTTCAACAGGACTCCTTCTCAACATTGCCAGGATCTGAAAATTATAAATTCTACGACGATTTAGAACGTCATTTTTATTGAAGTAATTATAACTTCTCTCCCTCCCGCAATTCACCCGCAAGCCTGGGAAAAGCTTTAATCGTTCCACGGCTTAAAACCATGCGCCATTTACATATTTGCGCCGTAAATAACATTTAAGGGCGTCTCACACTTTCTTCATCGCGTTTTGGGTGCAAAATTGTATCCAGAAAATCCAATAAGTCTGCTGTAGACTCGATTTCGCAGCACATCCGGAATGCCATCGAAAGTGTGCATGAATTTAACACCCACGAGTCGCGCTCATAGTCGAAGAGCGGATGAGATATCAGCTTTATTGAATTTGGGTGAGCTTTTAAGCATCCGATGATGGGCGGGATGGATAACCCGCAAAGTGATACACTCAACCGCCACATTGCAAAGTTCCTGCGAAAACACGCCTCGTCGAGGGGAGAAATCCATCCTGACCGAGCGAAATATACTCCACAATGCAAGACAACTTCCCAAAAACGCCCCAAATTGTGGATTCGAGCCCTAAAAAAGGTGGGTTTATGTTGGATGATAAATGCCAAGGGTCAAAATTAAATAATAAACACAAATAATACGGAGCAACATGGAGTGAAAGTCTCGCTTTCATGAGTAAAGATTGGGATTAAATTTTAGAAGGGTTGTGTGACACTTTTTGGGCACGCAAGCCTCTTTGGAGGTGTTTCATAGAAGCTGAATTAATGAAAATCAAAGAGATTGTGGGATTTTCGAATGAGATTTATTAAATTTCACTTTGATTTTAGAGGGATTTGGTCTTTAAAGGATTGTTCAGTCAATCGATATCATTCGAAATGATATTGAAATCGTTTGAATATTAAACAACCCCACAATAATTCACGTTTTATTTAACAACAATATTCCCTTGACCATTGAGTACACTTGTTACTCCTTCACGATTCAACAAGGGAGAGCCGATGGCCAGAATTCATGAGGGGATGACTAGATGAACATCCCCGATATCAAGAGACATCGTCAGGTCGAGTGAAGGGTGTGATTTAATTACAAATATTTGCTATCTTTGGAATTCAAAATCTCCCGCAGTGTGATTTATTGCCGTCCCAGAACGTGACACTCTTCCAGTTGATAAGGAGTCTATTTTTAGACACTCTTTTCCTGGATCTGTCACGAAATTGCAGTCACGAGAATTGGTGAAAAGTTTCCAAACCCACGAAAGCACTTCATAACGTTTCTGACCATCTCAGCATGAAGGCGTTTATAGTTATTTCTCTGGCAGTTCTTGCCACTTTGGCCAGTGGTGGGAATGTTCCTGGCGATGGCGTGATTGGATCCAAGCAAGCCCTGAGACTCAGTCTGCAGAATCCCGGAGATGTTTACTTGGTCACGAACTTCATGGCCTGCCTCCATGCATACTCTTGGTAAGAACGGACAAATTCTTTTAGCGATTGCAGCTAGTTTTTAACACAATATTTCTCAGCAGCATGGACACGGCGCTCAGCCTGGAGATGGACTCTCCTCTGGGATTCCTCGCTCAGAATGTCTTCATCTACGAGTACGACGGCTATCTTGTGTTCTTCAACCAGATCAATGCGAAGCTGCTGTTCATGCTGCCCGCAGCCAAGATGAAGGAAGTTCTGACACTGGTCAACGTGACTGCGGATCTCAACAGATTGTCTCTGGCTGTTGCCTTCAACTCCTATCTTGGCATCAACAATGCGAAGCAGACCAAGAACTGCGTGGAGATGTTCAACTACGTCGGAAACGTCTTGGCCGAGCTGATTGGAGTCGGCTGCAAACCCACAGCTGCAGTGAACCTCCTGGGACTCCTCAATCTCTACACCGTCTTCCCCAACGACCTGGTCGTGCTGCAGCCCTACAGCCCTGTCAAGAACTTGCTGGTTGAGTCTGCGTCGGATTTGGCGCTGCTCATCGCTCGCTGCTCCATCGTCGTGGACGCCGCTGCGTTCTACAACAAGAATTTCCTCTTCCAGGACATCATCTTCCCGGGCAAGACTCTCAGTGGCAACAAAATTGGCAATATACTTGGTAACAAGGATATTCTCGCCAAAGTACCGTATCTCTTGAAGCACATCCTGTACAATTTGCCCTATCACGATGTGTATGAGTTTTTGGTGAATCTCTTAGTAACTGTCACTCTCGATTCTAAGCCTCTGGAATTGTATGAAGATTTCTTCTCGCTTGTCGCTCTAAGCGGATATAAACACAAAAATGACTATGAAACTACTACTTATTACAGTACTACAGAAGCAGAAACAACCACAGAGTACGATTGGGGCAAATGAAGATAAAAAAAAGTAAATGATTATTAACTTAATGCAAGTGTAGGGATTTCGAAGACACATGTAATATTCTTGTAAACCCAAAATAGATATTGAGAAATAAAGAAAGACATATTTTGCAAACGGAAGTTTTTTGTCTTTTTATGGCTTCAGAGGAACTTGCGTTGGAAACAAGATATTTCGATCAATATATTGATATAATCAGCATCATCGGCATGACAACATGCTAATAATACTGACGATAAGGGGACATGCACATTCATGATCCAGAAACGTGACTTAGTGGTTTCTAAGGCGCTTCACTGCTGTGTTTTATGATCAACACAAGTCCTAAGGATTCGTTGAGTTAGAAACAAGCTGATTTGGCTGATCGTGTCAGCGTGTCACGATCAAAAAGCTTTTGCTGGTGGAAGGGATGACGTGTGATTTGGACAAGGCAATATTTTAAGCGAGAACTTCCCCAGAAATCTTCAGTCTTTAAGATATCATGAAGGTATTCGGACAGAATATTCCAGTCTTTGCGCTGCTCTTGGCAGTTCTTGCCATTCAGTGTGTTAATTGTCAGCACAAGGCTTACAACGACCACAAGGGATACAAGGATCACAAGGATTACAAGCAAACTCATCATGTCCAGGCAGATGCGAAAGTAGACACTTGCCAGGCTGGCGATTACTACATCCTCTCACATATCTTGGGACTTTTCACCGCCTACGCTAAGTAAGTCTTTTGCCACCATTTTATTCTGCAGTTTTCGAAATAACATCGGAAACTCCCTCTACAGGAAATACCACGGATTCCAAGTGACCAAAGATTGTCCCCTGGATCTGCTGTCTAACCAGTATTTCGCCCACACGGACGGCGAACATGTCTACTTCTTCAAGAGATCCACCGGAACTGTCAACGTGATTCTTAACCAGGATGCCATGAATTACTACGTCAACTCCCTGAGTCCAGTCGACGTTGAGTTCTGCTTCAATGAATTCGTCGGCGTTGACGGAGCCACTCTGTCTCCAGCCACAGCAACTCTGGGTGAGAACCTGAAGGTTCTGCTGGTCAACATGCTGGATCAGCGCAACAAGTACAGGCTGTTCATCAACTTCAACGGAGCTGTCCTCTACCCCGAGTTCCTGCCCCAGCACGGCTACTACCTCAATTCCAAGACATCTGCCCTCTGTGACCTTGTTGACGTGAAGGATGTCATGGAGTTCATGCACTTGCTGGATGATCAGAGCTCTATTGTTGTCTACTTGCGCCAACTCACCGCAAGCTTGGATGTCGGCTCCAATCAGCTGGACTACGTTCTGCCCAATCACGATGCTTGCTGGAAGTACGTCTTCGGATACTTGTCATTTGTCGACACTCTGCCTAATGAGCTCAAGACGCTGTACTACGAGGCTGGCCTCTCCACCAAGAAGGTCGATTTCGACAAGCTCGCTTTGGTCAGTTTGACTGTGAGCGGACTTTATACACAACTCAAGGATTGGCTGTACAAGCTCTGGGTTGATAAATACACCAAACATGGATACTAAGAAGACAATTGATGACAACCAACGCAAATTAAGATACCTGGCAACCAAAATGTAACATTCAAATAAAGCAATGAGTGAAAATGAAACCTTTTGGGTTTGAGGTAACTTTCTCTGAATTGTCCAAATTGCCCAATTTCAATATACTTTTCCGATATTCTCACACACCCTTGCATATCCAAAGTCCCCTCCGTTGAAGACGTTGAAAGGTAGAACGCATAAGCTGAGAAGCATAACATGGTTTAGGAGTAGTTTGTACTTCTTTTGCACCCTTCACTGGGCAACTTCCGCAGGGTGTTTGCGTACACTTTGAACTCAATAAAAACAACAATTTATAAAGCTCTAATTACAATGATATTCAGGGAGGAAAGTAAACAGAAACACGGTGGGTGTGAAAGGGGGAAAACATGACGAAGGGTTCATCAATAAGAAGGTACACTTTGCCAGAGTCCGCAAAGTTATTGGCGGTGGCAGATAAATGACCCTCTCAGGTTGCAACTGTGGCACAACTCCCAATCAATCTTGATCATTTGCCACCAGAGAAAATGAGAAGAAATTCACTTTTCTGATGAATAGATAAGGTGGAGAGTTGTTTTATGAGTCACAGGATTGAACCAATCAATATTCTTTTCATCCTCGCGCCTTGTGGTGAATGAAGGGATGAGAGGAGAATGTATTGGAAATCCCATTACCACTCCCAGGATTACCGCCAGCCGTATATTGCGAATATGGGATTGAAAAGAAACCAGTGAGATATTTGTTGCGGGATGATTTGTTGAAATGATTTTAATGGAGTTGTTGCTCCTCTTCGTCATCACTCGCAAGTATTGATTTTACACTCTTCCACGGCACGAGGAACGTGAGGAATTTTCCACACTGTGCCGTAAAGACACTGATGAGCATTTTCGCAGGGCCTCATAAGGCATATTGCTCCTAAATTGTGGTAATTTTCACGAAACAGTCTATTAAACATTTATGTAGTTTTCAGTCATGAAACCTCAGGCAAATTTACTGCATACCATGATTTTATTCAGCATTTTATGTCAGCAGCAGTGACTTCATAAATATTTATACATATTGTGATACTCGGCAAAACCCTCTAAAAACATTTTGCCAGCATCAGGCAAAGTTCCACTCAAAAGGGAAAATTATTCCACATTTTAATTTCACCCCTTGAGTATGCTCAAGTCGTCTCAAGGAGTGACTGAAAGGTGAGAGACTGCTAAAAGAGCATTTACATCAGCACTTTTGTCTCTTCTGCAAATAATTAATTCGATGCTCATTGCATTTCTTTTGCCCTCGTCAAACTGCAGACTTGGCACAAGTTGGTTTCCCAACAAGTAATTCAATTAGTTCATTTGTTGTTCTTTCTTGTGCGACATAAGAACCTTTCTGAGGTTCACAAATTGAAAGATTTGTGTTCATTAAGACTTCCGGTGAGTGAAAATTCACCTCATTGTTTCACGTTTAGAGATTTTTCTTGTCTCCCAAAGGAGATAAAAAAAAACAATATCGAGAGAAAATTCTTCCTCATTTCACATTCCGTGAGATGAGATTTATTTCTTGTACACGAAACTTCTCTCTGCCCATGAGAAAATGACTGAAATCAATTGTATTTTCCTGCAATAAATTTCCAACGCGCCATATTAAAAATTCACCCCTGAATACAATGCAATTGGAATTCTTGGTGTTGTCTCTCTTGTTTTCTATGCCTCTTCCCCCCCACTTCACGATCCATTCTTCATGGCTCTCTGGAGTGGCCCATAAAAAAGGAGCAACACACTCCAAAGGAATTCCTACTAGGACATAAAAAGAGAAGGAAAAGTAGACGCAAATAAACGTGTTAAGAAGAAATAAATTTAAAACCATCTATTTTCGCCCCTTTCACTTCCACCCTCTCAGATCTGCACGGTTCTCACGAAATGAGACGATTGATGGTGAAATTTGGCAAGCAATATGTTGACGGGCGAGAAGGTCCAATTTATAAATAGACGCACTTTCACCAATTTGTCGACTAAGCAGAATAACCGATTTTCAACGAGACGGAAACAGGAAAATTATCCAACTAACAATAGAAGGTGAGAAAACTCCCCCCGAAGATGTGGTTGTAAAGTGAATGCTCTGATTTTTTACTTCGCCATCCGAGCTTCTTGGCAATCAACTTGGAATCCACTTTGCATGATGTGCCAAAGCAAATTATCCATAAAACTTTATGGCCTGGAAACTGTCGATTGAGTGAGTGTGCATATCATTACGATTTGGCGTCAATTAGGCATTCCACCTTGGCAGAATGGTAAAGATACGGACAGAAATTCGTCTTTAGAACACTCTCTTCAATCAATGGCGAATTAATGAGTCTTGCGCGTTAATTCAAATTTAACTGCGTCACGACTTTATTGATTTCTACACATAATTCCCTGAGGCTCGCTTCGTAACAAATAAGAAGGAAATTTATTGTTATTCATCGAAAAGTGTTTGCAAGAGAGGTTGGAAGTTGCGAGGATGAAAAACAAACAAACTCGCACCCTTGAAATTGAATGCTAGAACTTCTACACATCATGAAAGTCAAGACTTTTTCATTCTCCTCTCTCTTTCTCTCTCTCTCTCTCTGAATGGTGGAATCAATTTTTATAATGTGAAAACACATCTCAAAATGCTTCAGCCTCTCCATTGTTTCGGCACCACCTGTAAGAAGCACCACAGAAAGCGAGGGTGTGCAGAGAAATGACTTTTCCCATTGGAAACTTTTCAAATAAAGAACATAAATTGTCAACTTTCTTCTTCTGTCTCTCCTCGCGTCCCACAAAATGTATGTATAACTTCTCCCACATTCACAACCGTCTTTTTTTCCCGCCGCCAATGTGAATAAAATGCGTGAATTTTTCCGTCTATCGCCTCCCCTTATGAAAACCACCCAGTAAAATACTGATTGCATCCATGCGAGCTTGAAACACGTTCTTTTTGTCAAGCTTTTTTGCTCGCTCGCCCGTCTTCAGTGGATCATTTTTGATGTGACATGCTCAGAAAAAGTGTTATGACTCTCCGCCGCAATCCACATGATACGGCGCAAAGTATATTGTGCAAATATTTATCATGAATTATGAGTGTTGAGTCATGCGAGGAAAAAGTGACTGATTCGCCCTTCCATCGTCTTGAGACATGCCAAGAAAATCATTTTCTGAGTGCCCATAAAGCCCAGCAAGAGAAGCGACTTTTTGCCAAGGATTTCCCTGCCATAGATTCCACGCACTAAGACGTCTCTTATCGGCACAAAGCTGAGAAACTTGCCACTGATTTTGCGGAAATATTCCACAGCATAAAATCACATTATATTTTATGTCTCCATATAACCATACAAGAGTGAAAAAGCATAATTTGACGGAAGTTGCCACATGAATTTGGATGTGAGGCCTGAGAAAAAACCCCCTCGACCCAAACTCAACTCACGAGAGACGAGTAATTGGATAGTCGAAGAAGAAATATGGCGTTTCACCCCCAAAAAACTGAGAGAGAGAGGGAGAGATTCAACAGAAATTATTGATACTCTGAGCCGCACTTTAATACATTTTTGGATTGGGTCCAACAAGCACGAAAACACTATCAGTTTCGTAGGCCCTTTTCACGAACATCCACAGTAAATTGGACGCGATAAATAGCATATCGAAATAGGTTTAAAGTTATACTTTTTACGCTCTTTCGCCCCACGATAAAGTTCACCGCCACGGAAATGATAAATGGCTTTTGGCAAATGGCGAAGGAAGAGGAAAGAATTTATATATGAACGAACCCACCTAAGCGATTACATTATACAGCGGAATTTGAGGGAAAAACGCATATTAAAGTTGATGTGCATAGAGATTACAATGTGAACGAGATTGTCCTTTAAATTGCAGATATTTTGTGTTGTCATTTGGTTTAATGCAGAAAAGAGCAGAGGTATTGCAAAGTTTCATTGAACTAAGACCTCAACCGTGCAAAATAGTCCCGTTTTCCCCTATTTAGATATGAACTTTTATATGGACAGTCGGAAATCCCAATGAAAGCACAAATATCGTGTCGAGAGCATATTTACAAAAGGGGAGACACAGCATTTCATGTGTCAGTTTCGAATTCTATCCCTGGCCGAAGGATTGCGCGAAAGGCCCGAAGACAAACAATTTGCCAGAGAGAGCAAAAATAAACAGAATTTAATTGATTGCTTTTGTCACTATATGTGGTCCATTTCGCACTCACTAATCCAGCACAACGGGCTTGCTTGATTGAAGCCCACAATTAATCGCAAGGGCAGCGAATTGCAGGGCGAGTTCCTCCAGATTGAATTAATGGTTATGCGAGAGGCAAGAAAATATGATTAATTCTAGAGGAAACCACATAAATAATACCGGATTCCCGGATGTGTCACACCCATAAATTATTTGCAATCAGCGAAAGTGTTCTCAAGTACATCGCGCTCCCCAGTTTTCGCCTGAGGAGCAAAGCTCTAGGGCATTCCTTCACATCCCCTTCGACGAGGTGTTTGATTTTTATTTACAACGCATCAGGGGTGATCCTGAGCACTGGCTGAACAGGATTCGTGCATCATCCCCACTATATCGCCCGAGGATCTGTCGGGAAATCCTCTTTTACATGCCCTAGATAAATAAAACCGACACAATTGAAGCCTGAGGAGATTCTTGATATGGTGTAGATTCTGTGAGTCATGTGTCATGCACAGAAGGAGATTCGCTGTGTGAAGAGCTCGCAATTTGTGCACCACTTGAACTTCATTTGTGGCATTTGAGATTTAGATCAAACTCCTGGCTTCCTGGATACTCTCACTCCTAATGTTGGGTATTTATCACAAAAGGCCCCGGAGACGCCTCGTTATAAAAATGTGTCATGAAAATCCTCTTCAGCCTGTCAAGCGGGGGTGGAGAAGTGCAGAAAAAAGATCGGTGTATTTTATGAAAAAGAGATTACGCAAGTAATTGAGGAGTGGAATGATGATGAAGCATAAGTAAATTACGGTAATAATTGCTGCCGCTTCTCACAGGCTCATTTTTTATTTCATTATGCACGGGATTTATTTTTTCCTCTTGAAAACACATTT